TCGCCGGCGCGCGGCGAGAGGGCGCCGGCGCGGCGACCCCCGCGACGCGAGAAGAGGGAGAGCGAGGAGGTGATACGGAAGAGGGCGACGCGCGTCGCGGAGAGGCACGACGTGGACGTTGACACCGCGCTCGAGGTACTGCGGCTAGTGAAGAACGACGAGCGACTCGCCGGGAAGTTGCTGGGGACGATGACGCGCGGGATCGGCGGCGGCGGCGGCGCGGCGGCGGCGGCGGCGGCGCGCCGCGCGCCCGCGCCCGCGCGCGCGCGCGCCTCGCCGCCTCCGTCGCCGCGCCGCGCGGACGCGTGGCGTCCGACGACGCCGGTCGCGGAGGACGATCGCACCGCCGCCGCGGCCAACTCCGGGTCCGGGTACGACCCGGACGTGAGCGAGACGTTCATGTCGTCGGACGTGAAAGTCGTGGAGGACCTCTCCGACGTCTCGGACGAGGAGCTCGCGCGTCTCATCGGGGACTTGCAGCGCGAGCTGGACGAGAGCTGATTGAGAGGGTCGCCACGTGAATGGTGTTATTGTATCGCTATCGCGCCACCGTCGCCCGCGTCGCGACCGTCTCTCTCTCTCTCTCTCTCTCGTGGACTACCCTCCGGCGGTTCGCGCGCGGAATTTGCCCCCCTGTTTTTTCGGGTATTTCCTGCTCTTCGCCTTCGCCTTCGTCTTCTTCTTCGCTTTCCTGCTCCCGAAGAGGTCGTCGTCGAACCCGTCGTCGCCGGCGCCGCTGTCGACGCCATGGTGCGCGGACGTGTACACAGAGCACCTCGAGCCGCAATCGTCAGTGAGCGGCGCGACGATGAACGCGTCGTCCCCGCCGCGCGCGAAACACCCCAAACCGAATCCCCGCGCCGCGCCGCCGCCGCCGCCGACGCCGACGCCGCCGTCGCCGACGCCGTACAACGCGACCGGGGGATCGTCCACCGTCCCCGCGTGCCATCGATCCCTCGTCAGCGACCGCGGCGGTCCGGACGCGCGCCGCGTGTCGAACAGAGCGACCGCGTCTCCGCCTCGCGCGCCGAGCCAGACGGACCAGTCGTCGACGCAGCACATCGACTCGCCGATTTTAAACCCGTCGACGCGGACGGCGTCCGTCCCCGCGTCGCCGTCGTTCCCGAGGTCCCAGTGCCTGCACATCGCGACCGGGACGTTCCGCGACGACGACGCCGTGCGCGTGTCGTACACGCCCGCGCAGTGCGCGGACGCGACGACGACGACGTGGCCGCGCGCGCACGCCGCCGGCGTCATTCCCAACGCGACGTACGGATCGTAGTGCGACATGTGGATCACCTCGGTCACCGTCCGCGTCTCGACGTCGACCGCGAGGAGGTCCGGATGCGCGCACATCCACAGCGTCGGCGCGCCCGCGCCGGAGTGGTGCCCGCCGCGGTTCGCGGCGCGCCCGAAATCGTTCCCGTGCGAGCTCGGGACGCCCTGGACGGCCATCGCCTGCGCGGTCCAAGACAGCGTGGTCTCCGCGCGGAGCTCGTTGTCCGCGAGGTCGATGAAAACGTCCGTCTCGTCGGCGTTTTCATCATCCGCGGGCCCCACGCGCATGAGCCTCACGACGTTGTGGTTCCAAGACCCGACCGCGACGATGGAGGGGCTCACGAACGCGAGCGCGTTGACGTCGACGACGTCGTCGCCTTCGTGCAACTCGACGACGTTAGGGTCCAAAAACGGCACCCGCGGGTGCCGGACGTCGAGCGAGTCCGCGTCCCACACGGTGACTCTGCCGTGCCGATCGCCCGCGACGAAGACGCCGTGCGCGGACGCGAGCGAGCAGTAGTCCGCGCCGGTGGTCGGCGTCCCCGCCGGGTTCGGGAGCGTCGCGATGCGTTTCCCCGGCTCCGTCGCGCCGTCGCCGCCGTGGAACCAGAGCTTGATCTTTTCGGAGTCGCCGCTGATGGCGGCGGCGCCGTCCGCGAGGAGTAAACTCGCCGCGCTCGGGCCCACGCCCGCGTGCTTCGGTCTCGGACGCGGCGTCGACGTGGGGGTAAGGTTGCGTGTGCGCGTTGATTTGGATGCGTCGCGCACGACGAAATCGCCGTCGCCCTCGTCGAATCCGAGGTCGCCGTCACCGTCGTCGCCGTCGTCGTCGTCGTCGCCGTCGCCGTCGTCGTCGTCTCCTTCGCCGTCGTCGCCGTCGTCGTCGTCGTCGTCAACAGACGCCTCCTTCTCTGGAATCCATCGCTCTGCTTTCAGCGCGGACGCGCACGCCGCCGCCCACGCGCGCTTCCCCCCGAGCTCCTCCATCGCCTCCTTCGACGTCTCCACCGGCGGCGCCCCCGGTCGTTGCGTCGGCGGCGGCGGCGGCGGCGCGACGCTTCCGAATATCGCCGCGTGCGCCGCTTGCCTCACCTGCGGCGACCGCGCGACGTCCCGCAGCGCTCGCGACGCGGCCGCGAGCCGCGAGATGCTCCGAGGGTCCATGAACGACGCGACGATCTCCCAGCACGTCGTCGGGATGAGGTTCAGCGGGTCCCGCGGCGGGTCGTCGACGCGCATCGCTCGCATCCCTCGCGTCGTCGCCGCGACGTCGTCGTCGTCGTCGCCGCCGCCGCCTCCTCCTCCTCCTCCGCGCGCGGCGAGCGGCCACAAGAGCTCGTCTTCTTCGTCGTCCTTGCGCGCGAGCCGCCGCGCGACGACCCTGCGGACGAGGTGGTACGGCGGCTCCCGATCGCGGTCCCCGCCGCCGCCGCCGCCGCCCACGACGACCGGAGATCTCGGCGAGAAAGCGGCGTTCGACGACGTCGGATCCCACGACCCGCCGACGCCGCCGCCCGGGGAGACCGGCATCGCGTCCTCGAAACCGAAACTTCCTCCCCTGTGCGCGTTCATCCTCAAAAACACCGCGAGCGGGGTCTCCTTCTCGCCGCGTTTGTTCACCCGCGCGCTCCACGCCGTCTCTCCGCTTTTCCTCTCGTTCGCGACGGCGTGGTCGACGGTGACGACGACGACGTCGTCGATCCCCAGCGCCGCGCCCGTCGACGGGGAGACCCCACCGCCGTGATCGATGCGCCCGAACAGGCGTTTGAGCTCGCGCCGGGGGTCGCCGGCAGACGACGCCCCGGGGGAGTCTCGGGGATGATGAGTTTGATGATGACGATGTTTGCTCGGGATCGCGCGCTCCGGCGTCGCCGTCGCCGTCGCCGTCGCCGCGAGCTCCTCCTCCTCGCGCTCGCGTCGCTCGCGCTTGTCGTGGTTCCTCTTCTCGCGCTCGAACTTCCGTCGCTCGTTCTCTAACCGGAGCTCCTTCGCGCGCGCTTTCTGGTCCTTGCCGCTCATCCCGGGCTTGTACGTCTTCGTGTTTGATGAGTTGTTACGCTCCTTCGGGGCGGACGACGCGCGTCCGCCGCGGCCGCCGTCGTCGTCGTCGTCCGGGCCGCCGTCGCCTCTGCCGAACTCGCTCGCGAACGGGCCCCAGTCCTTCGCCTTGCGCCCCATCGCGACCGGCGCGCGGGGGGGGGGCGGGGCGAGGCGAGGCGCGATGTTCTGAAGTGGACCGACGCGTATCGCAAACCTCGACACCAGACCGAGCACCTGACGCTGACGCAAGTGGCCGACGTGACCGACCGGCCACTGCCAGCGCCTGGCAGCTCCAGTCAGCGTGACCCTGGAACGACTAATTTGGATTGACACGATCCGCTCGACATATCGCGCAGCGCCGGGCAGGTTCGGACCCGTCGCGCGGAGGCTTCCGGCGCGTTCGCGACCGAGACATCGAAACCACGGCGTCGATCGCAGGTCGAGACGTGAAGACGCGCGCGTTCGACGATCGCGCGAGAGAATCGAGAATCGCGCGATAATAAAGACCACGAGAATCGACACCCAATTCGCCACGATGGTGAAGACGGCGGGACCGGCGACGCCGGCGACGGAGACCGAGGCAGCCCCCGCAGACGCGACGGAGACGCCGGTCGCCGCCGAGACGGAAGCCCCGGCGGAGGCGGAGGCCGTCGCGGAGGAAGAAGCGCCCGCGGCGGAGGAACCCGCGGCGCCCGAGGAGGCGGAAGCGGCGGACGCGGAGGCGCCGGCATCGGACGAGGCGCCGGCGGTCGAGGCGACCGAGGAGGACGCGGTCGAGCCCGCGCCCGCGGAGGAGGAGGAGGCGGTCGAGCCCGCCGACGCGGACGCGGACGCGGACGCGAATCCTCCGCGCCCGGACTCCGTCGCCGACAGCGCCAAGGCGGAGTCCGTCGCCGGCTCCGTCGCGAGCAGCGCACAGCTGTACGGCAAGGACATGGGCGCGACGCCGAGCTACTCCAACTTTTTCGCCGACGGGACGCCGCGCGACACGCCGATGGGGTCGTCCGCGGATCTCGTCGCCGATCTCGCCGCGGCCGCGGAGCCGACGCCGGAGACGGCGGCGGCGCCCGAGCCGACGCCCGAGCCGACGCCCGAGCCGGCGCCCGAGCCGACGGAGCCGGAGAAGCCGAAACCGGCGGCGGCGGCGGCGGCGCGCGGCGCGAGACCCCCGTCCAAGGCGTTCGTCCCGAACCGCCCGCCGCGCCCCGCGCCAGTCGCGGTCCCGGACACCCCGGAGGCGTCCCCGGCGTCGCCGAATCGCGCGAGCGTCCCGCGCACGCCGAAGCACACGAAACAAGACGTCCGAGACGCGGTTGACGTCGTGTACGCGTACGCGAAGAAGGATCCGTGCGACGCGCTCGCGGAGATGGCGGAGCTCATGTGCGTGAAGCACCGCTCGGAGTACCCGAACGTGCACGTGCTGTTCCGTCGGACGCTGCAGAAGATGAAGGAAGACGCGGAGGCGGAGGCGAAGAGGAAGGCGCACCCGCCGTCGTCGTCTTCCGCGGATGAGGATAAGAGGACTCGGCGAGGACGCGACAGCGCGACGTCGTTGGCGTCCACCGCGCGATCGAGCGACGGCGGGGTGAAGTCGCCGATCAAGAAGAAGACTCGGCTGGGGAGCACGCTCCCGCCGAGCGGCGGGCGGCAGCGACCGAGCGACACGATGCGCTCCGCGCCGGACGAGATGCACAGGAGCGCGAAATTGTCCGTGAAGGAAATTTGCAAGCCGAACCAGTCGACGAGGAAGTGGATGCAAGAGAAGCAGATGAAAGAGAACGAACGCGCGCGGATGAAGGAGCAGATGCACGCGAAGGAGCTGAAGTGGATGGAGGAGATCACGATGAAGCAAAACATTCGCAACAAGGCGAACGCGAAGCTCAAGGCGCAGGAGGAAGAGCGGGCGAAGATGGCGTCTCGGGAGGCGCGCGAAAAGCTCGCGTCCCGGTAGCGGCGCCGTCGTCGGGCGTCGCGCAATCTCACGACTACCTATAAGATGATATCAGATATCACCTCTACATCTATTCACGCGCGTCGGCGTCGCGCGCGTCACACCCCGAGCGTCTCCGCGAGCGTCTCCACGTGGCCTTCGACGACTCTTTCGACGCACGCGCGGCCGTCGCTCACGCCGTCACGCAACACCGGCAGCGGGTGCGCCTCGGTGTTGAACACGAAGCACTCCATCGGAAGCAACGCCGGGTCGTCCGAGAACGTCAAGTACAGATACTTCAGCGTCTCCCCGAGGAAGAAGCTCTCCATGCGATCGATCTTCGCCCCTTCCTCGCTGTTGTCGCCGTTCTCTACGTCGCGCAGGCTCGCGTACCCGCCGCTGGGAACTTTCGCGTGGATTTCCCACGCCCGCCACATCGCCCACGCGGCGTCGCGCCACTCTCGCTCGTTCGTCGTCTTCCACAGCACGTACAAAGACTCGACCGTCTCCGGTCGCAGTACATTATGCGCGTCCTGGAGTTTCACGACGAAGTCCCCGTGCGACGTCGTGGACTCCTTGCCGAGCAGATCCCTCCACGCGGACGAAACAGCGCCCTCCGCGGCGAAGTGCACCATCTCCGGCGCGAGCCCCGTGCTCGTCCGCGCGTACATCTGCACACACGTCCGCGCGAGCTCGCGCGCGATGTCCAGGTGCGTCGTGCTCGCGGGGAGACCTAAACGCGCGAGCGCGGCGTGCGCGAGCCCTCGCCGTATCCGGTTCCCGCCGCCCCAGCGATCCCCCAGGCCGTGACTCGCCCCGAGCGCGAGGACGCCCGGGAGGAAACACGCGAGGTGGTCCATCTTGTGGTTCAGCTCCCCGCCGACGTTCCCGGCGCGTTCCGCGACGTACAGCAGACCCGTCGTGTTGGCGGGGATGCGCGAGCGTCGCGGCGGCGACGGCGGCGGCGGCGGTTCCGCGCGTCCGCCCGACCACCCGGCGGCGGCGGCGGCGCGCGCCGTCGGTTTCGGTCTCTTCGTCTCGCCCCGCTCGCGTCGGCGCGCGGCGTCGCGCTCGTACCACCGCGCGCGCGGTTTCCTCGCGCCGCCGAACCCGAGCGCGAGCGTCGTCGTCGTCTCCGCGTCGTCGCGCGCCTCCCCCTCCTCCTCCCTCTCTTCCTCCTCTTCGACCTCCTCCTCGACCTCCTCTTCGTCCGCCCGCGCCGCCGGCTCCTCGGCCTCCTCCTCGGCTTCGATGAACGTCTCGAGCGCGAACTCGTCCGGCTCGTCCACCGCCTCTCCCCCCGCGCGATGCAACAGATACATCAGCACGCCGTCCATCGCGTTCAAGTACGCCCTCTCCCCGCCCGCTGGTTTCCCGGCGTGGATCCAGTGCTTCAGGAGGTACTCGTAGTACGAATCGCCTCGAGCACCCAACGTCAGCGTCGACGACGCGTCAAACGTCGCCGTCACCGCGCTCACGGAGCTCGGCAGCAACCCGCCGGTCGCGGGGTCCCACAGCCCTTTCGTTATCAACTCGAACGCCTTCCTCGCCGGGGTCGCGATGTCGCGCGCGTACGCCCGCCCCGCGAGCGACGGCAGCGTCGACGTCGCGGGCGACGCCGGGCACCGCGACACGTCCTCCGACTCCCCGATCGACGACGACGACGCGGGATCCAGGTAAATCTTCACGAGGCCTTCCTCGTCGAACCCGTACTCGTAGTCCGCCTCGGGGGGCTCCCCCGCGTCGCGCGCCGCGGCCATCGCGGCGGACGCCTCGCAGACGCCGTGCATGACCCACCGCTGTCGCGTGCGCGTCGTCTCGCTCCTGTTCTCCGCGACGAGCAGCGCTTCCTCGAGCGCGGCCCACTCGAGCACGAGCGTGCCAACCTCCGCGAGGGACGCGCGGTTCGTCCACGTCGGCTGATGCGCGTCCCCCGTCGCGAAGTTGACGTCCATGATGGGTATCCCGCTCGCGGTCTTGAACGCGGGCAGCAGCTTCTCCGCGAGGTCGAGCGCTTTCCGCAACACGCCGCCGTCGCGCGTGTCCCCGCCGAGTTTATGCGCGGACGTGAGCCCGCCGAGCACGCGAATCGTCGCCTCGAACACGTTCGCGTTGACGTCCGAGTCGAACGTCAGCCCGCCGCCGCGCGTTTCGGCGGCCGCGGCGGTCGCGCCGGTCCCGTCGCCGTCGCCGCCGCCGCCGCCCGCGATCCACGAGATGGCCTCCGCCGCGTCGTCGTCCAGCCCGACGATCAGCAGCGTGTCCAGCGCGTCCACGATCGTGACGCCGACGTCGAGCCACCTCAGCCCCGATCGCGACAACGGCGCGAGCTCGTCGTGCGGCCACGCGTGGTCGCGGTACCCGCGCCACGCGTGCTGCACGGACGCCTTCACCGCCGCGCGTCGCGTCTCCGTCGGGATCGCGCGGAAGTCGTCGTCCGAGAGCGAGAGCAGCGCGTCGACGTCGGACGGCGACAGCGCGTCGATCGCGGTCGCGAACCCGAGGCCGTCGCGCCAGTCCTCTCGTCTTCGCGGCGACGCGGAGGTCGCGCGGAGGAGCCACTCCAGGTCCCTCGGCGGCTCGGACGCGGACGCGCCGCTCGACGGTTCGCCGCCTCGGGAGCGGCTCGCGAACGTGAGGCGCCGTCGCGCGGACGACGACGACGACGACGACGACGACGACGCGTTCGCGACGCGGAGTTCCCCGAGCGCGTCCGGCTCCGGCGCGGCGACGACGACGCCGGACGCGAGCAACGTCGCGAGCGCGAACGCCAACGCCGCGGCGCGATGCGTCATCCCGCGCGCGACGCCGTCCCCGCGCCGCGGGCGGGGTCCACGAGGCGCGCGAGATAAAAATGCTTGTGGTCGCGCTCTCTGGTCGTTCTTCTCGACGCGACGTCAAGCTCACAGCTGTGATGAATCTTACTTACCGCGCCGCGTCACTACCTACGCTACGTCTAATGTACCCCCCGCCGCGCGCGACCCACCCACGGCTCGCTCCCACCGCGCCTAGTCCTACGACTAAAACCACTCCACTCGCGTCGCCGCTCTCGCCCTCTCCGCGTCCTCCCCCGGCCCCGACATGGCGGCAACCTCGGCGAGCCCGGCTGGAAATTTTCCCGCGAGCGCGCGCGAGATGACGTCCACCTCTCGCCAGTGCGTGTCCAGCGCCATCTTCCTCTCCGGCGTGTCCGGGTGCGACGCCTCGATCGACTTCGCCCACTCGTCCGCGTGGACGACTTTCATCAGGTGTTTCCGCATCTCCGGGCGAAGCAACGCGGCGACCTGCGCGGCGGCGACGTCGCCGCCGTCGCCGCCGACGCCGCCGTTCGCCGCCGAACCCGACGAACCCGCCGCCGACGACGAAACTGATGAACCGCCCGCGCTCCTCGCGAAGAACCACTGCGTGAAACACAGCCGACGCGCCTTCGACGGCAGCACCCGGTGCAGCATGTTCGCCGCGCTGAACAACACCACGCGTCCCATCCGCGGCTCGATCTTCACCGGCGGCGACGGAAACGGATACACGACGAGCTCGCCGCCGTCGCCCTCCTTCCAACCCGGGTTTAAATACGTCAACGCGGTGACGCGTCGTCCGTCCAACTCCGCGGCGGAGTCAAAGTGCAACGGGAAGCACGCGCCCATGCCGAAGTTCACTTGCAACTTGACGACCTGGTGGTGGAGGTCTTCCGCGCGCGTCCGCGGTGGCGCGTGCGCGTTGAGGAGCGTGAGGAACGTTCGGTCTTCGCGCAGCGCGCGAAACGCGGGAAAGCGCGACGCCATCTCATCCTTCATCGCGTGCACCTCCGCCTCGAAGATGTTCGCCTTCTCGAGCTGGACGACGCGATCTTTTTGGACGAGGACGGTCGCGTTGCGCTTCATCCCGTCGGGCGCGCGCGAGGAACCCGCGGACGAGGCGTCGGCGTCGGCGTCGGCGTCGGACGAGGAGGCGAGTCGATCGAGCTCGCGTCGCAGCGTCTCGCTCAGGGACGCGCCGCCCTCGCCGACGGTCACCCCGTCCAGCGCGCCGTCCACGACCGCGTACCCGTGCCTGATGAGGTGCTCGCACACCTCCGGGAGGACGACGCGCTCCGCGGCCGCGGCGACGGCGGCGGCCTCGGCGGTCCCGGCGGTCGAGGGAGTGCCGTACGTTCTCGGAACGACGTGCTCTGCTGGCGCGGACGACGACGACGACGACGACGACGACGCGCGACGCGCGGTCGCGGCCGCCGCCGCCGCGGGGAAGGCGGACGCGCGCGGGAGCGAGACGCGCGTCCTCGGGCGCGAGAGCACGCGGCAGAAGACCCTCGAGAGAGCCCTGCGCGTCGCCATGGCGCTGCGCCGGTCGCACCGCCGCGCCCGGTTGCCCAATCGATCGCGGCGAGGCGCGGCGCGGAGTGCGGATCAAGAGGGATCCGATCTTGGTTCGTTTGAAGCAGATGTGGACAGGGAACCCTTCGCATGTCGGAAGGGTCACACCCCGGGGCGCGGCACACGGGCGCGCGCGCGAACTCAAACTCGCGCGAACTCGCGCGAGCGGGCGAGGGAGAAGACACTACCGCCGCGCGCGCGCGCGCGAACCCGCGCCGCATCGCGCGCGGACGGCGTCTCGGAAGAGGCGAAAAAGCGCGCCAACTTGTTTTTCGGAATTGCCGTAAATCTGATTGGACTGGCATCCCGAGGATAAACCACCCGAGGGCGAGGCCATCGCGCGCGCTCGGACGCGATGGGGTGCGCGTCCTCCAAGAACGCCGACGCCGGCGCGGACGCCGAAAAGGCGGGACCGCGGAAACCGCGCAAAACCCCGGTGACCGCGTTCGACGCGCCGGGAGACGTCGACGCGTCGCCGCGTTCGAGGAAAAAAGCATCGGCGCGCGACAAGAACGCGAGCGCGGGCCCGTCCTCGTCCGCGTCCGGCCCGCCGGTCGACGACTCCGCGGGTACTTCGTCCTCCTCCAAGTCGGAGCTGGCGTCGATCATCCGCGAGGTCACGAGCGAGCTCGACCCGGACGTGCGCGCGGCGCTGTCCGACGTCCTCTCGCGGTCGTCCGCGCCGAGGAAGCTGAGCGACGAGTACGAGGAGGTGGGGGACGCCAAGCCGCTCGGGAAGGGCGCGTTTTCCGTGGTGTACCTCGTTCGCGATAAGCGCACGGGGTCGGAGTACGCCGCGAAGGTGGTGCCCATGAAGAACTATCGCTCGGATAAGAAGCGCGATCAAGTCCGAGCGCTGCTGTGCGAGGCTGGCGTCGCAGCGCTCGCGAAACACGCCACCGTCGTGGGGCTGCGCGACGTCGTCTTCGAGGAGAGTCGGATCGTCGTGATTCAGGAGTGCTGCCACGGCGGCTCGCTCCTCGCGATCGTGCAGAAGCACGTTGATAGGAAGAAGGCGGAGAGGAAGGCTGCGATCAAGGCTGCGGGGAACGCGGGGCCGGGGGCGAAGGCTGCCGCGGAGGTGGCCGCGGGGGGCGGCGCGATGCGCGAGAGGGACGCGAAAATCGCCGTCAGACGCGTCGCGGAGGCGCTGGAACACCTCCACTCGAAAGGGTACGTTCACAGGGACGTGAAGCTCGAGAACTTGCTCCTCGCAAAACCGGGGGATCTGAACTCGTTGAAGCTCGCGGACTTTGGGTTCGCGACCGCGGTGAGCGGGAGCAAACCCGTCGAGAAGGGTTCCGCGTTTGCGCGAAAAGACGACGTCGGCGACCGGCTTCGAGGAACCGTGGAGTACGCCGCCCCGGAGGTGCTCGCGGACTTGGGGTCCTCCGTCGGGAACGGATCGATACACAGCACGTCTCTCGGGAACGTGTACGGGAAGAAGAAGAACGACGACAAAGACGACCCGCCGAAGCCCGTTCGAAGCGCGGCGTCGAAGGCGCTCGCGTCTAAACCCGCGGTGGACATGTGGAGCGCGGGCGTGACCGTGTTCTTGATGCTCGGCGGGTACCACCTCTTCGACGCGTCGCAGGACGCGTACTCGAATCGGCTTCGCATGCACGTGACGCTGCAGAAGGAGTACCAGAAGCCGGCGTGGCAGACGGTGTCGAACGAGGCGAAGTCGATGATTCGCAAGTTGTTGTGCAGCGACGCGGGAGAACGGATGACGGCGTCGCAGTTGTTAAAGGATAAGTGGTTCTCCCAACAAACGCGCCGGACGTCGCTCGAGACGGACGCGTCGCCGACGCGGAGTAGTTTCGGCGTCGACGCCGCGCGGCCGAAGAGCGCGAGGAAAGCGGACGGGGGATCCATGAATCGCTCCAGCGTCGCGAGCACGACGAGCGGTTTGTCCGTCGATTCAAACGCATCCGGCGCCGGCGGCGGGTCGCTTCGGACGACGCACCAGAATTTCGGGAACGTGCTGCGACCGGCGTCGCACTCACCGCGAGGGGCGCTCGTGCCGATGTCCCCGCGGTCGCCGTTGTACGGAAAGCAACCGGCGCTGGCCGCGCCGACGCCCGTGAGCGGCGCGAAGCCGCCCCGGCCGCCGACGGAGGACGAGGATGAGGATCCGTCGAATTCGGAGCTCCCTCCCGGCGGCGCGTCCCCGCCGCCGGGAGGGAATGGGAAAGGGCTCGGGCGGCGTCGGCGGCGGTTCAGCACGGGAGAGGCGGAGGTCTACGCGAAGAGGATGTCCATGGCGAGCGTGGACGAGACCGAACATCTGCCGGATTCCCCGCCGGCTCCGAGGCGACCGCCGACGCCGCCGACGCCCGCGTTGAACATGAAATACGACTCCGACGAAGACGACGACGACATGGACGAGTGGGCGTTCCAGCAAGTTGGCGGTAAACGGAACAGCAGGCGGCGGCGGTCGTCCGCGAGCTCGGCCGGGTCGTCGGAAGGGAAGAACGGAGGCAGTCGGCGGTCGTCCGCGACGGAGGACGGCGACGCCGCGGGGGTTTCGAAGACGACGCCGAAAAAGTACGTCGAGAAGTACGGCGCGTAGGAGGAGAGAGGCACGAAGCGAAGCAGGGCGAGTGACGAATTAGTTAGATTTGACGTTGCACCCACACCGCGCGAGATGACATCCCACGCAGACCTAGTATCGACCAGGGGGAGGCCCTCGGTCTGGCCACCGGCCGCCGCGTCCGCCCGGCGGCGGGCCCGGAGGCCCGGGCGGCGGGCCGGGAGGTCCCCACCCTCCGCCGCCGTTTCCTCGCCTGTCGTCCCTGTCCCCGAACCTGTCGTGCCCGTACGACCCCGGCCCCGGCCCCGGCCCCGGCCCGGGCCCGGGCCCGGGACCTCCACGCCGATCGTCGTACCCGCCCCGATCAGGGGGCGGTCCACCTCCGAACCCGTGTCCCGGTCCGTCCCAGTGCCCTCGCGGGGGCGAGCGCCGGTCGCGGTCGTCCCAGTGCCCGCGCGGGGGCGAGCGTCGGTAGTCCCTCGGCGGCGATCGATCGCGCCCGCGCGGCGGCGACCAGTCCCGCGGCGGCGGCCCGCGGCCCGGTCCGGGTCCGCCGCCGTATCGAGGCGGCGAGCGATCGCGCTGGGAAAAACCGCCGTGAGGGGGCGGAGGGCCGAACGAGTCGTACCCGCCGCCGCCGCGTCCCGGGGGCGGTCCCGGCGGGAAACCTCCGCCGCCGCCGCCGCCGCCGCCGCCCGGCGGGCCGCCGCCGCCCGGCGGGCCGCCGCCGCCAGCGCCCGGCGGCGGCAGCGGAGGGAACCCGCCGAGAGGGGGCGGGAATCCGGTCGCGGGGAGCGGCGGCGGAGGGTAGTCCGGGTATCCCCCCGGCGGCGGCCCCGCGGGGAACGCCCCCGGCGACGCCCGCCCCGGGTTGAACTGATTCAAAAGCCGCTGGATGTGCCCGCCGTCGCCCGCGGCGGCCACCGGCTGCTGCGGCGGCGGAGGCATCGCCGGCATCGGAGGCGCCGGGTCGCCTAACGCCTGCGGCGGCGACCGCGGCGGCGTCGTCCCGTCGTCGTCCGGCGCGCGCTCGGGGATGACGATCTTCTTCTTCTCCGCGCTCCCGCCGCTATCTCGCCGCTCCTTCGCGTGCCGCGACGACGACGCGCGCTTCTTCTCTTTGCTCCTCCCTGACTTGCTCTTCCTGCCCGCGTCGTCGCTCCCTCGCTCCGCGGGCATCGCCTTGACGTTCGTCCCGAGTCCTCGTCGGTGGACGACGACCATGAGCATCCCGGCGTCGCCGTACTGCGATATCCGACCAGACGCGGGACCGATCCCGGCGAGATCCATGAGCAGTCTGTCCGCCAGCTTCCCTTGCGGGATGAGGTACGCCTCGACGACGCCGCTGACGGGCTCCGCGATCCCCGCGCGCTCGCGTTTCTTGTATTGCCCCGCGAGAGCGATGACCGCGGCCTCGTTCGTCTTCGGGTTCGGGCCGTTCGGGTCCGGCTCCGCGGCGGCGACGGTGACCGCTCGCGATCGCGAGTTGTCGGAGATTTGCCGAATGAAACGGTTCGTCGCGTCGAACGCGACGCGTCCCTTCACCTCGATCGTGGACGGCAACACCGCGGAGATGTCCGCGCCCTCGCCGCCGATCGGGATCGCCCTCAGGCGGCACTCTTTCAACCCCGCGACTTTCACCGTCCCGGTCCACGCCCCGGGCTCGCCCCCGGCCGCCGACGCGCCGGCGGGGGGTTCCGGCTCGGGGGAGTCCAGCTTCGGCGGCGGCGGCGCGTCCCCGTCGTCGCCGTCGCCGTCGTCAAACGACTTCGTGGGATCGTACTCCTCCTCCTCCGCGCCGCCGCCGCCTCCAGAAGCGTTCGCGACCTCGGTCGCATCGTCTCCCTCCGCGCGCGGTTCGCCGCCGTCGTCGTCGTCGTCGTCGCTCGCGCCCGCCGCGGCGAAGTCCTCGAAGCTCGGCAGCTCCGCCGCGCGCGGCGCCGGCGGGGCCTCCCCCTCCCCTCCGCCCGCGCCCGCCTCGATCGGCTCCTCCCCCACGCCGCTCTTCTCTTCGTCGTGTACATCGTGCGTCCCGAACACGCCGTCCACGAGCGCGCCGTGGGTCTCGATCACCTCGCCCTTACGGTTCGTCCGCGTCCGCAGCTCCTCCGGGGTTTCCTTCAAAAACGCGTCCTCGCCGACGAGCGCCTCTCGCTCTCTTCGCATCTCCTGCAAATCCTTCCTCGCGAGCTCCGTGGGAGAGAGCACGCACAGCACCTGCGGCGTGAGCTCCCCGCGCAAGACGCGTCCTCTCAGGTGCGGGTTCGAGGGGTCTTTCAGGTTGAAGATCAGCGTCCGCGCCTTGGCGTTGTACGTCTCCGGCGTCGCCGCGAGATGCAACGCCAGCTCCACCTCCGCCGCGAGCGCGTTCACGTCGACGTCGCCCGCGCCGCCGCCCGCTTCCAATGCCGCCATGTTCAGGGCTTCGATGAACTTCGCGAGCGCGTTGTTGCGCGCGTTGTTCCTCGGTTCGTCCGCGCGATCGAGTTTCGGTTTCGACGGCTTCGATCTCGAACGATTTCCGGACGCCGCCTTGGCCGCCTTGGCCGCGAGAGGGACGTCGTCAGAATCGGACGCGTCGTCGTCGTCCACGACGACCGAAGCCGCCTTCCGCTTCTTCGCCTTCCCCGCGGGGTCCTTCCCGACCGCGGTGCCTTCCTTCGGCCACGAGACTTCCATCTTGAGTATCGCCTCGTACAGGTCGATCTCCTCCTTCTCTTTGCTGTCGCTGTACCACAGCGTCGCGGTCCGCTTCCCGACGTTCACCTTGAGGACCTCGGCGTTGTACCACTCCCCGGTGTCCGGCCACAGGACTTGGATGCGCGCGCCCTTGAACTCCGAGCCGAACTCGGAGATGGACACGAGCTTCCTGTCCGGGTCCCACGCGCCCTGGACGCGATGCGAGGGGGGGGGAGGGGAGGGGGGGCGGCGGATCGTCAGAAACGACGGACGAGACGGGGCTTTTTTTCTCGTCGATCGAAACAATCGGCGAACTGCGCGCGATCGAGGCGCGCGAGAGACGCGTCTCGGGCGCGGGGGGGCGCCGCCGCGGTCGTCCTCGCGAGTCCAAAGGGGTTCGGAAGAGGGGCGGGACGTACCGCCATCGTGTGCGAGTGTTCTCCTCCGCGTCGTCGCTTCTGATCCCGCCGGCCGTCGGTTGAGTCGCTCGAGAATTCCGACGACGAGGCGGCGGGGCAGGCGCGCGATTTCCAACTGAAGTGCAAGCTGGCACGTGCCGAAAAAGGGGGAACGAGATGCAGAACGAAGACGCGGGGGGCACGCATCTCGCATCAACATGGGGTGCCTTTGCCTCGGCGGCGACAAGAGCGGCGGCAAGAGCGGCAAGAAGAAGCTCAAGCTCGTCCTCGTCGGCCTCGACGGCGCCGGGAAGAGCACGCTCCTGCAGACGATGCTCGGGGAGAAGCCCGAGAAGACGATGCCGACGTTCGGGTTCAACAACGCGCGCACGAAGCAGCGCGGGTTCGACATCGACCTGTTCGACCTCGGCGGCGGGAAGCGAATCAGAGGGATATGGAAGGCGTACATGGCGGACGTGCACGGATGCGTCTTCGTCGTCGACGCCGCGGACGCGGACCGCCTGGACGAGTGCCGCGAGGTGTTCGCGGATACGTTACGCGATCCGCACCTCAGCGGGAAGCCCATCGTCGTCTTCGCGAACAAGCAGGACCTCCCGAGCGCCAAGTCTGAGGCGCAGATCGCGACCGCGCTCGGGCTCGCGACGCTGCAAAACTCGCGGCATAACATCGTTCCGTGCGTCGCGCGGAGGATGTCCGCGAGCGAAGCCGCGGACAAGCGCGTCGACGTCGGGATGCGTTGGATGCTCGAGCAGGTGGGACGGGACTGGGACGAGCTCAACCCGCGGGTTCTGAGAGAGGCCGAGGTCGCGAGGTTGAAGGAGGAGGAGCTGCGACGCGAGCGTCTGAAGCGCGGGGCGGAGAGCAGGCGCGAGAGGCTGGAGCAAGAGGCGGCGGAGGCGGAGAGGGCGAGACTGGACGAGGTCGCGCCGGCGTCGGCGGAGGAGGAGGCGCGCGGGGACGGGGACGGGGACGGGGAGGGCGGCGGCGGCGGCGGTCGTGGTGATGGTGATGGTGATGGTGATGGTGATGCTGGTGGTGGTGGTGGGGACGCGGCGCCAGAGGAGAAGACGCATTACGTGTAGCCGCGGCGGGTTCTCGTCGAATCGCAACGCGCGAGATGTATTAAATCCACTCGCGTCGGTCGCGATCGGACTCGCGCGCGCGCGCGCGCGTGCTCTTCAACCACAACCTCCGCCTGCCACGTGATACCGTAATCCGTTCCACTCCACTCCCGCGTCGCTCGCGCCGCCGCTCACACGCGCTCGCACTCGAGCAGGCGGCTAAAATAAAACTGCGTCGCGGTCATCTCCCGTCGCGTCACTTTAAACCCCGCCGCCTTGAGCGCGCTCTCCACGTCCTCCTCCGCGTGAAGGTACGCCCGCGTCGCCTTGGACGGCCCCGGGAAGAGCTCGCCGACGCGCTTCAGGATGGAATACGCCAGCGTCTTCGGCGCGAACGACACGATGAGCTTGTCCTCGCTGAGCGACGCGAGGTGGTTGATCATCCCGTTGACGCGATCCGTGGGGTAGTGAATCATCACGTCGATGCACGTCACGACGTCGTACTTCCCGGAGCACTCCTCGAGACCGAGGGCTTCGAACTTCGGCGCGACGGACGGCGCCTTCTTCCCCGCGGCGATTTCGTTGTTGAAGCGCACCTCCGCCTCGCCGACCATCGCGGAGGAGATGTCGCTGGCGCTGACGGCGGCGCCCGACAACGCGAGCGGGATCGCGAGCGAGCCGGTGCCGCAGCCGGCGTCGCACACGGTGACGCCGTTCATGTCCTTCCCCGCCATCCAGCCGATCACCTTGTCCACGGTCTTTTGATGCCCCTGGCGGATGTCGAGCTGGACCTTGTTCACCTCGTCCGTCTCGCCGTAGATCTTTTTCCATCGATCCGCGCCGACGGTGTTGAAGTAGTTCCTCACGGACTCCGCCTCGTCGCCGCCCGTCTCGGACATCATGCTCTCGCGGCGGCGGTTCGGGTCGGTGACGACGAGGAGGCCGGCGACGCCGGCGACGGCGGCGGCGCCGCCGACGGCGAGGCCGACCCCGGACGCGGTCTGCGAGATCGCCTCCGTCGCGGCGAACGCCGCGGACGGGGCGAGGGACGCCGCCGCGAACGACGCCGCGGCGAGAGACGCGGGCTTGGCGGAGGGAACCGCCGCGGGCTTCTTGTTCGCCTTGTCGGCGGACGCGCGAGGGGCGACGACCGCGCGGGCGGTGCATGAGGTGACGGCCGGCATGGTTCTGCGGGAGGGAACGAGCGGGTGACGTATCGTTGAGCGCGTGCGATCGATCGGGAAAATGTTTTTCGCCCTCGGAGCGGCGACGGGACGGACGATGCGCGTCGACGCGCGACGCGGTGATCGACGGCGAGCGCGAGAACGCCGAACGCGGAGGAAGCGACGGAGGATTCCGTGTCCAACGGGCGCACCTTGAGGTTCACAAGCGACGACGCGACGGGTGAAAGTGTCTCGCGAGAACGAGCCGTCACGACAAGATCTTCCAGCTTGAGATCGGATAATGAGGTCGAGAGATCAGTGTACTCGCGTATGTGCAAACAGTACAAAATAGTAGTTTTTTCGCGTACTCGCGCTGTCACCTCCGGGTGTCCGGGTCGGAGCGACCACCGGAGAGCTACGTCCTCAATTCTCATCGCGCGCAGTGGGCGTAACCGACGCGCACGATGCCCACCGCGAAAAAAATCACGAGCCTGTTCCCCAAATCCAAGGCGGGGAAGGACGCGAAGGGGAAGGGCGCGAAGGGCGCGAAGCGAGCCGCCGCGGCGATAGGTGCGTCCCTCCCTCGTCGTCGTCCCGTCGCGCGACAATTCGCTTCGCTCCGAGATCCGAGGTCGCGTCGGCACCGTTCGCTCACCACCACCCTCCCCCACCCGAACCATCGCGCAGTCGAGGAAGAGGCCGAGGACGAGTCCGAGACGTACCTCAAGATCCTGAAAACGTTCGACATGTCCACGGAGTACGGCCCCGCGTTAGGCTTGACGCGGTTGGAGCGATGGAAACGCGCGGAAGGATTCGGGCTCCATCCGCCCGCGGACGTGCACAAGATCCTCACCGAGCGCGACGCGGATGGGACGCTCGCGAAGTGCGTGTGGGAGAACATCGTGTGAGCGTCGGAAGCGATGACTGGACTGCCGATGAGAGAGCAGAGAGAGTGGGGGGGAGTGCGCGCGCGCGCGTGGATGCGCGCGTTCGCACGGCGACGACGACGAAGACGACGGATGTGATGCGACGGAACGAATTCGCGTACAACGTACTGTACGCCCCGCGCCGATCGCCGTGCTTCCCTCCCAGCCTCCTCTCGCTCGCTCACTTCACCCCCCGCGCTCGCCTCGCCTTGACCCACGCGTAGTGCTCCCTGTACGTATCGTCCATCGGATGCTCGTACGAGCTCCTCCCCGTGGCGGCGTGGTGGTAAAACTCCCTCCCCGAGCCGTCGACGTGTTCGCTCCACCCGGGCGGCGGCGGCGCGAGCAGCGCCCACTCCGCGACGAACAGCAGATCCTCGTCCCGCTCGAGGTCCATGCCCAAGTACAGCGCGTAGAGTTCGACGTCTTCCCGGTCCGGTGGGGTATCGCTGACGCACCGCAGGAGCGCTTCGCGCTCGTGGAGCGTCATCGAGGCGCGCGGGGGGGGCGTGGAAGGCCTCGGCCACGCGTCGCGGGAGGCGCCGTCCGACGCGCAGCCGGCGTCGGCGTCGGCGTCGGCGTCGGCGTCGGCGTCCTCCTCCTCCTCTTCCATCTCTTCCTCTTTCTCTGTCTCGTCGCTCGACTCGCGCGCTCGCACTCGCACTTCAGCCGCCGCCTCGATCGCGCGCGGTGATTCCTCGGTCACCACTCGTGACTCCATCGCGCACGCCGCCGCCGCGGCGGCGACGACGTTCGCCGCGAGCGCCTCCGCCGCCGCCGCCAGCTGCGCGTCGTAATCCGCCGCCGCCGCCGCCGCCGGCGTCTCCGCGCCGCCGGCACCGCCCTCCTCCTCGCGCGCGCGCGCGCGCCCCGGCGGCGCGAGCGTCGCGCGCTTCCCGCCTCCGCCGCGCCGCGCGTTTTTCCCTCTACCCGCGCGCGTCCCCGCCGCCGCCGCCGCGCGCGTACTCCGCTTCGGCAACAGGCTCGCGCGGTACGCAGAGGAGGAGCACCCGGCCGGGATCGGCATCGACTTCGTCCCGCGTATCATCGGCGACGGCGGCGCGCGCGGGGAGGAAGAAGACGGGACGGACCGCCCCCCCGGCCGGGGCGCGCCCGTCAGCGTCGTCCCCGGTGGCGGCGCGTTTGCGTTTTGCGCCGCGCATCGGATCTCCATCGCGCGAAACGCGTCTCGCTTCCGCTCGATCGTCGAGCTCAGCGCGGTGAGCGCCGGCGACGTCGCGGCCGCGCTTCTCAGGCCAGACATCGCGCGCTGGCGACGGCGTGAGTGGGAGCGGTGGTGGGAACGAAGGGGTCGGCGACGACGGGACGACGCGCGGAGGACGAGACCGACGTCGCCGAACGCGACGATTGGGGCGAGATCTAAAATGGGCGTCGACGCGAGGACGCGCGCGCGTCGCACCTTTGGGCTGACGCGCGGCCTCGTCGGCGCGCGGGCATCTTTCGTCTTCGTCGTCTTCGCGAGCCGCTTCTTCTTCGACGGCGCGCTCGTCGCGACCGGCATCCCTGCGCGCGCGAGGGGGCGCGCGGGGCTGATTTGGAACGCGAACGGGCGCGAGCGAACTCTCTCGGTCGGCCCGACGCCGCGCCGTCGCGACCAGACGCGACCTCGCCTCGAGACGAAATCGCCGCCGCCCCGCCCCGGCGCGCAGTGCTCGCGGCGCCGAGCGACGGCCTCGCGCGTCGAGACTCCCGGACCCCGGGCGTCATGTCCACGGAGGCGGCGGCGGAGGCGGAGGCGTCGCGCCTGAACGACGCGTACGACCTCGACGACACCGCGGCGTGGGTGAGGACGAACGCGCTGCGACGCGTCGCGCTGCAGATGCCGGACGAGCTCCTCCGCGACGCGATGGCGGTGGCGGCGGCGTTGACGCGCCGATGCAACGCGCCCTCCCGCGGCGGCGGCGGCGGCGGCGACGCGGAAGACAACGCCGGCGTGCGCGTGTTCGTGCTCGCGGACACGACGTTCGGGTCGTGCTGCGTCGACGAGGTGGCCGCGGCGCATCACGCCGCGGACGGCATCGTGCACTACGGCCGCGCGTGCCTCTCCCCGGTGTCGCGGCTCCCCGCGCGGTTCGTCTTCACGAAGCAGCCCGTGGACGTCCGCGCGTGCGCGGCGGCGATACGCGCGCACGCTGCGACGCTCGCGGGTGGGGACGTCGACGCGGTGGTCGTTCTCGTGGACCAGGAGCACGCGCACGCGGCGGCGGAGCTGAGGGACCGCGCGTCGTCGGCGACGACGATTCGCGGCGGCGACGGCGACGGCAGCGACGACGGCGACGCGACGCCGCCGGTCCCGGTCGTCGTCGCGGACGCGCTGCCCGTGGAGGCGCTCCCTCGGTCGCGCGCGAGAGCAGCGCGGGACGGGTGCGAGCCCGCGACGGCGTCGTCGAGCCGCGGCGAATGCTGCGGCGGCGGCGGATGCGGCGGGCCGTCGACGGCGGCGGCGGCGGCGGCGGCGACCCTCGTCGACTCCGAGGGCGGGCGGCGCGACGTCCACGGGGACGAGAAGAAGGACGACGACGACGACGACGACGACGACGACGGACACGGTCGCGTTGCCGGGCAGAGGTTCCGGTACCCCCCCGGCGTGACCGGGATGCGCGCGTGCCACTTCGTCTGGGTCGGAGGCGGCGAGTCCCCCGCGTTGACGACGACGCTCGCGCTTCTCCACGGACGCTGCCGCGGCGTCTCGCAGTTCGACCCGTCCTCGAATCGCATCGCCCCCGAGGCGACCGGGACGGCGCAGGTGAGTCGGGTCGTGAAGCGGCGGCGGTATCTGATCGAGCGCGCGAGAGAGGCGAGGGTCGTCGGCATCGTCGCCGGGACGCTCGGGGTGGCCGGGTACCTCACCGCGATCGCGAACTTGCGGAAGTTGATCGCGAAGTCCGGAAGAAAGTCGTACACCGTCGTGGCGGGGAAGCCGAACCCGCAGAAGCTCGCGAACTTCCCGGAGATCGAGTGCTTCGTGTTGGTGTCATGCGATCAGACCGCGCTGATCGACGGGAGGGAGTACCTCCAGCCGGTGATCACGCCGTGGGAAGCGGAGGTGGCGTTCAGTCACGGAGAGGTGTGGGACGGCGAGGTGCGATTGGATTTTAAGCACTTGCTCGAGCCGGGCAGAGGCGGCGACGGCGGCGGCGACGGCGGCGGCGAGGCGGAGCCGGAGTTTTCGTTCCTCAGCGGCGGCGTCCGCGCGGCGCAGCGAGAGTTCAACAGCCTGAGCGTGGACGACGACGACGACGACGACGACGACGACGACGACGACGACGACGACGACGTCCTCGGCGACGGCGGCGGCGGCGGCGGCGGCGGCGCGGCCGCGGCGACGCAGCTCGCCGTGCGCGCGTCCAACGCCCTCAGCGCGCGCGACGCCGGCCGCGTCGTCGCCGAGGTCAACACCGGCGCGGAGTACCTCCTCGGACGAAGGACGTACGTCGGGTTGGTCCCGACGCCGAAGCGCGGCGAGGACGGCGCCAACGAAGACGCGCCGTTGATCGCCGCGGAGGGTTTGAAAGGCCGCGCGCACGAGTACGCGAACGAGCGATGAGTCACACGTAGGATAGCAGCGCCGCGTCGGCGTGATACTGACTGCGAGGGTGTGGTGGTAGAAGTACAGTGCGCCCTAGCTACGGCAGCGCGCCGGGGGTTCGTCGGTCGGACGGTCGACGGTCGTCGGATCACGCCTCCGCCGCCTCCGTTTTCGGCGGCGACGCCTCCGCTTTCGGCGGCGGCTTCTCCTTCTTCTCGCCCCCTCCCGCCGGCTTCTTCTTCGCCGCCGCCTCCGCGCTCTTCTCGTCCTCCTTCATCGCGGTCGCGAACACCCTCTCCCGCGCGACCGCCTCCACGAACGCCGCGGTGTCCGTCTTGAGCAAGTGATGCTTCCACGACAGCGGCGCGCCCTTCGCCACCGCGAGGTGCGTCGGGTCGTAGTGAAACGCGTGGTCGTAGTGGCTCCTCTCCGGGTTCGGCATGTACCCCGGGTTGATCTTCTTCCACATCTCCTTCGACGCCGCGATGCGATCCGCGCGCCGCTGCTCGATCGGCTTCGGCGGGATCTTCTCCGGCGGCTTCTGCGTTCGCTCGACGTCGGTGCGCATCGCGTCCGGCGCGATTCGATTCCCGTTCCCGTCGAACCACGCGTGCCGGGAGTTGAACGCGTGCGTCGCCGCGGACACGTGCGTCACCCCGGGAGCGGCGTCGCTCGCGGTCGCGGTCGTCGCCGCCGCCGCCGCGATGGCGAGCGGCGGCGGCGGCGGCGGCGGCGCGGACGACGACGCCGCGGGCGCGCTCGTGGACTCGACCGCGGAATCGTCCGGGAGTTCCGAATCCTCCGCCGGAGGACCGGTCCGCAGGCCGTCGACGTGAGGGCGGCTGTACACCATCCTCGCCATCGACTTCGTGAGCGACTCGCCTAAGACGTCGGCTCCCATGGCGCGCGTGCGAACGAGAGCGCGCGCGTGCCTCGGTGCCGCGGTGCGCGCTGCGTGCCGCGGAGGACGAGTGCGATTCGCGCCCGATTTGGGCGGGTTTTGGCAGGGGTTTTGGGGAGCTGCATGTTCTCGGAAGGGGGGATCTTTCCTCTCCGGCGGCGGCGATCGGCGCGCACTACACGCCGCGCCGCGATCATCATGGCCGAGGAACCAACGGTTGAACCCACGGAAGAGGCGACCACGGAGACGGAGACGCCCGCGGACGCCCCCGTCGTCGGAGAGAAGCGCAAGGCGGACGACGCGAAGGCGGACGACGCGGACGCCCCCGCGGACGCGGACGCGGACGCCGACGAGCCCGATGCGAAGAAGCAGGCGACCGAGCCGGAGACGACCGAGCCGGAGAAACCGAAGTACGCGCCCGTGAAGCTCGGCCCGAAGACGTTCGAGACCCCGGAGGACATGGTGAAGTATTTCTCGTGGATCCTGAACAACATGACGATCAACCAGGACATGAACGACTACGAGCGCATGGTCGTGGAGCCGTGCCTGAGGACGGCGCATCCTGACGCGGAGAAGAAGATCGGATCGGGGATCAAAGCATTTCAGATCCGCACGCACCCGGAGCACGAGACGCGGTGTTACACCGTCATTCGCACGGACGGCACGACCGAGGACTTCTCGTACCGGAAGTGCGTGGAGGTGCTGTTCCCCGGGTACACCCCGAACGCGCCGAAGAACAGCGGAGGCAGGGGGGGCGGCCGCGGCGGGGGCGGCCGCGGAAGAGGCGGCGGCGGCCGCGGAAGAGGCGGCGGCGGTCGCGGTGGAGGCGGCCGCGGCGGCGGCGGGCGCGGCGGGCGCGGTGGTGGACGCGGCGGGCGCGGGGGTGGACGCGGCGGGCGCGGGGGTCGCGGCCGCGGCGGGCGCAAGTAGGGCGAAACCAAACGCTTCGCGCGCGGCGACGCATTCGTGAGGCTTCCGCCGGGTATCGCCACCGTAATCGCATTGCTACTCGTCGCCGTGGACGCCGCGCGCGCGCCTCGTCATCCCCGCGCGCCGCCGTCGCCGTCGCTCTCGTTGTTCGCGCCCGAGCCGAACAACGGCGCCCAAAGCGCGTTGTGTAACCCCCACGTGACGCCCGTGAGGACGTTGAACCCGTCCACGACCGCCGCCGTCGCGGCGTCCGCGAGGTCGATCTCCGCGCCGCCTGGATTTTGCCGCGACTTCGCGAGCTTCGCCCCGGCGTTCCTCGCCGCGACCGCGATCCCGATCGGCGCGGTGACGAGCGCGAGCGTCGGCACGCTCACCGCGGCGACGAGCGGCGCCGCCGGGTTCGTCGCGGGCTCGAACGGCTTCACGACTTCGTTCAAGTACCGCCGCCACCCCTCGTCTAAGTTCCACTCCTCCGCGCCCTCGCGGAGTAACCCTAAGTAACGCTTCGACGGCCACAGTTTCGTGCCTACGTCCACGTCCGGGTACGTCAGCGTGATGGCCGTGATCGACGTCCCGCCCGCGTCCGGATACCCCGCCAGCGTCACGACTTCCGTCTCGTACGACGTCTCCGTGCGTAAGATGTACCTCCACTCCTCGTCCGTGACGACGTACGCGACGCCGTGCACCTCTCGCGAGTACTTACTCAACGACGAGTCCGAGCCGTCGTCGTTGATGATGTCGGCGTCGCCGTCGTCGGCCACCGCGTCGTCCGACGTCGCGGTCGTCGTCCCGATCCGTCGCACGGACGCGAACCCGGGCTCGACGTACGGCAGACCCGGGACGTTGAAAACGAGCTCGTACCCGCGCAGGACCGCGGGATACGACGCGGACGGGCTGATCCCTCGCACGCCGTTCATCGTCTTCGTGTTCACGTTGCTGCCGTACGCGAAGTAAATCACGCACCCGGGCGGGGCGACGATGGCGTCGGACGCGGACGAGGAAGACGCCTCGGCGGCGGTTCGATCGGAGGCGGACGCGTTCGCCGGCGGTGACGTCACGGCGTCCGCGCGGACGACGCGGTTCGCGAGCGCGCGCGGGCGGGAAGGGGATAGACGCGAACGCGCGGCTGGGAGCGCGCTCTGCGCGACAATCGCTCGCGGGCACGACGCTCGCATCGTGGCGAGGCGTCTTCCGGGACGGGAGCCGGGTGCCTTTCGAGATGCGCGCGGACTCTCGTGGCTTCAGCGTGCGTTGTTCCCGCGCCAAACGCGACTGAACGCGTAAATGATCAAATTTTACGCGTCGCACCCGAATTTATGCCGCCGGTACCAGTATATTTTGCTGACTCGGACACGTTTCGCGGTGCAGAATGCCCGGATTGGCTGTTAGGTTTTCTGCAGCAGCAGATCCTGTCTGATGAGAAAATTTTTTTTGGTGTCGAAGAGCCATTTCTTTTGGAAGCCTGGGACGCGGCGCGTGTTTATGAAAGGGAATATCTTTACCTTCTTTACAATGAGAAAGGCGCGACGGGATACATAATAGCTATACAAATCACCCGTCCGGCGTCGTCTCAAATCTTCATCATCATCTTTCGTTCCCTCTTTTCTTTTGTCCTCGGAAGGACGACTTCTCACCCCACCACGATGCGCCGTCGACTCTTCTGGTTAAAATATAAGAGCTCGACAGACAGGCACCCGCTATTACAACAGGTTCAAAAAGCGCCTAGCAAAGAATCGTTCGTTCGTTCGTTCGTTCGTTCGTTCGACTCTCGCTTACGCGGCGACGTACCCCGGGTCCGTCTCGACCTGCTCGTCGAGGTTGTTGAGGTCCTTCTGGGAGAACCACCCCGCCTTGCCCGCGACGATGCGCACCGGCCCGAGCGCCGCGATGAGAATCGGGAAGAGCATCGCCGCGGGGGAGCCCTTGATCCACCACATCACGCCGAGGCACGCGATCTGCATGTACGTGAACTTCTTAAGCGTGCCGAGGTCGGTCGCGCGGTCGTTGCCCGCGGAGAGCGGGTGCGTCTTCGGCATCTTCTTCGAGTCCGTGATCATGCACATGAACACGCGCTCGATGAACTCGTTGCCCCTCATGGCGGAGAGCCCGAGGTAGAAGAACAGACCGTTGAGGACGCACATCGGAATCTGGCCGAGGATCGGCTTGAGGTAGAGGATCGCGCAGCCGATGAGGATGTTGAGCACGAGCGGGGTCCAGCGGGACTCGATCACGCCGGTGACCTCTTCGCGGCCGGTGGCCTCGTTCACCTTCGTGTCGGAGAGCGACTTGACGTGCGTGATGGAGTGCACGGTGGAGGCGCAGATCCACGGGAGGCCGCAGATGGACGTCGCCGCGGTGATGAGCGAGAGCCAGAACATGTCGAGGTGGTACGCCGCCTTCTTCTTGAGGCCGACGGAGTTGTTCACGAGACGCGTCGTGATGTTCTGGTCCATGTACAGGAGAATCGCGCACGCGGGCGCGGGCGCGAGCGCCGCGAGCTTGACCCAGTTCGGCACCGCGAAGATGTCGATCACCCAGGACCGCGCCGCGGTCGGCGCGAGAGATGCCGGGAGGGACAGCGCGTCGAGGGACAGGCCGTACGTCGCCGTGAGCCAGGACGCGAACGCGCAGCCGACGGCGACGGCGATCGTCGGCGCGAAGTCGGAGACGATGTTACGGATCGCCTCCGGGCCGTACGGCTGACGCTTCAGGCCGGAGAGGAAGAGACCGGCGTAGAGCGTCACGAGCGCGATGAGCGCGGACGACAGCGCGAGCGTGCCGGAGATGGCCGGGTTGAAGAACATGGAGATGATCTTCTTCGCGGACTCGACGCAGAAGATGCACGCGACGAGGCACGCGAACGTCTCGTCCGTGAACTTCGTGAAGAAGCGCACGAGGTTAGACGACGACGTCACCGCGACGAGCATGAGGATCACGGACGTCCAGATCCCGATCCACGCGTACGTACCGAAGAACGGAAGGCCGTACTGCATGCACGTCGTGTAGAGGATCGCCGTGTACGTCACGACGGAACCCGTGGACGCGAGGATGGAGAGCGGCTGACCGCAGCCGATGGCGTAGATGATGCCACCGATGGCCGTGCCGACGATGACCTCGGTCGCGCCGAGCATGCCGTTGGTCGCGCCGGTGAGGACCGCGCCGAAGGCGATCGCGGGCGCGAGCGCCGCGAAGAAGAGGAAGCACACGGACGCCTGCAGATCGGAAGTTTTGGGGTCGCGGCGATCAGTAATTTGATTTTTTTAGGCGTGCACGAACAATTTCGCCTTGTTATCCGGCATTGATAATCCGCTGGACGATTCCCGCGCGCGGCGCGGCGGGACACCGTCCGACCCCCCCTCGCGAGGACGAATCGCGAGGAAACGGGTTCCAGAAAAAACTCCGAGAAGCGCGGGAAGTCCCGAGGCGATACGCGCGCGTATCGACGACGGCTCGTTTTCCCGCGCGCCGGACGCGTGCGTGCGTGGCAATTATGGGTGATCGTTCGGATTAGCGAAGGGGTACGAGAGCGATCGGACGCACCAACGCCTTGCCGTTGAGCCCCTGCTTGAAATCGTCGAGGTACACCGGCGTGCGGCCCGCGATGTCGTCCTTGATGCCCTTGAACGGCGCCTCGATGAGCGGCTCCGCGGCGGCGCGGACGACGACGGACGGCTTCGCGGTCTTGCGAACGGAGAGCTTGACGGAATCGCCGACGACGGGCGCGCCGTAGAGCGTCGTCGCTTTCGCCTTCGCGGAGACGCGAGCGCGGGCGCGGAGCCCGAGGCCGAGGCCGAGCGTGGTGTTCATGGTGACAGCCTGCATTTTGCCGAGTTTACGTGAACGTAAAGTGGCTGCGCGGTGTGAAGTACCCCCGCACGCGCTGGAATCGCGCTCTTGAGCAGATAAGCCAATGAGATTCGCCGATTCATCGGTCTGGATTTCGCACGTCGGAATTTAAACGGCAACGGTTAAACCCAGAATGACGGTTCAACCGACCGCGGTGCCGTGACTAAATTCGCGCGAACAGAACGTTCTGACCGCGCAAAATGCGAGCGGAAGTTTCGTTTGGTTCTCCGCCGGGAAGGTCCGCGACGACGAGCACGGATTCGTACTACCCTCACGGGCGCATCGTCCATCGTCTATTACAACGCTGGCGTCACCCGCGTTAGCGCTACCCTGCCCCGTCGCCGTCCGTCGAGTCCCCTCCGCTCTTCTCCCCGCCGCGTGTCGCTCCTCGTCGCCCGCCGTCACTGGATCGCGCCCGACTGCAACAGCTCCCTCGACAGCGCCTCGTTCCCTTGGAGGAGCTCCTTGAGGTTCGACTCCGTCTCCGCGAGCGCTTTCTGGAGGTAGTCCTTCTGGCCCTCTGATTTCTTAATCTCCTCGTCGCTCGCCCTCGCGATCTCCTCCAGGCCGGTCATGATCGCGGACTTGTCCTCGCGCACGAACGACCTGCCGAACCCTTTGTAGCATCCGACGCCCGCGGGCAGGGGCTCGAGCTCGTGCCTCGTGAGCGCGCTCCTGTGGATGTCTTGCTTCTTCTGCATGATCGTCGTCACGAGCTGCTTGTGCTTCTGCGTGATCTCGACGTACTTCGCCTGGGCGTGAAGGAAGGGTGAGGCGAGAGCGGTCGACGGTCAGATTCGTCCCCGGGGCGGTTCGTTCGTTCGTTCGTCTTGAAAAAGTCAAATACGAATGGAGGAGGGACCGCGCGCGGCGCGGGCGCGACGCCGCGCGGGGACGGACCTGAAGTTCCTGGAACTGCTTCATCGCCTCGGACTGTTCGGACGCCATCTCGCCTGAGTTTACGTACCCCGTGCGCGTGCCCGGCGCGGTCGCGTGTGCGACGCGATCGGCGACTCCAACGACTTCGTTCGCGCGCCGCGCCGCGCCGAACCGCGTTTCGCGTTCTGTTCGTTTTAGAATCTTCCCTCTCGCGCCCGCGCGCCTTTTCGTCGACACACGTCGCCGCGCGCGATCGACCCTGCGCGCGATGTCGACGGCGCTTCGCGCGATCGTCCTCGCGGCGCTCGTCGCTCAAGTCGCCGCGGACTGTCCTAAGGATGTCTTCCAGGCGGTCCCGCCCTCGGTGCGTCTCGCGCGGGCTCGACGCGCGACGACGCGACGGTCGACACTCTCGTCGCTTCGACGAAGTAATTTAATTTCCGCGCGCGCCCCTCGTGCCGTCCCTTCGCGCGCGACAGACGACGACTGACATCGCTTCCGTTCCCTCCCGCGCGCGCTCAGGTCACGATGGACACGATCCCCGACCAGCTCGAGTGGAAAGTCGCCCCGGACAAGGTACGCGCCGCGCTCGCGCGGACGGGATCTCGCCCCCGCGCTCGTGGCTCCATTCTCGGGCTCCCTCCCAGAAACGAATGCCCCGCGCATTCATTCTGACGTCCTCCCCTCTCGCTCACTTCCATCGCATCGCAGACGCGCGTGTTCGCCAAATCCGAGAGCGGGATGGTATACATTGCGAAAGGCGACGGCACCGGTCTGCTGCCGTTCGTGGACGAGACCCCGAACCTGCAAGGGACGTCAGAGGCGGCCGTCCACCCCGACGGGAACTCGAGAAACGTCTTGGAGATCATCTCTCCGTCGGACGCGTCCCCGTTCATCATCCTCCAAGGCTGGGGCTCCTATAACTGGGCTTCCAGAGACATGGGGACGACGTGGATCCAGCCGTGCGAGATCCCCGGGTCGGACAAAGAAAACTGCTTCGCCTCGCCGGTAGGGAACACGGGCTCGCGGATGAGCTCACTGTTTAAGATTAATCCGGAGTTTCCCGAGTACGTCCTCGCGATGACGCTTCGAAGGTCGTGCATGAACGCGGACGCCGCGACCGGGGAGCTGTGCGGTGAGGATCTCATGCACTCGAGCGATTTCGGTAAGACCTGGGTGAATCTCACGACGCTGTCGGACTCGCGCATCGCCGGGTTCGTGGATTTCGACTGGGCGCCCGTGGCGCCCGGGACGCAACTGGACGGCCCGGAGGACCACCCGGGGATACTCGCGACCGTGTACGAGTCGAACCAGGACATGATCGACGGCTTGCAGAAGTCATGGGACTACAACGTGCACTTCGTGTGGTCGCACGACCTGTTCAAGACGGAGCACAACCGAGTGTTGATGTGCGGAAATTCGTTCGAGGTTTTAAACGGCGACATCTACGTCGCGCAGCTCCGCGACTGCGAAAAGTACCATCAGTCCTCCGCGGAGGATAAAGCGAACGCGGACACGTTCCCGGGGACGGAGATCGCGCTGCGTGTGTCCATCGACCGCGGCGGCTCGTTCGCGGAGACGTGCTTCCCCGTCTCCCTCGCGGAGAAGGGGTACACGATCTTCGACTATCGCGAAGACGTCGGCGGGCCGGATTTCATCTCCGTGAATCACGACGAAGAAGACCCGGTGGAGTCGCGCGCGCCGATGGGTAACTTATACAGCAGCGATAAAACGCTCCAGCTCTTTTCGTTATCCATGCGACGCAACGTTCGCTTCGGCGGCAGCGCGGTGGATTTCATCAACGTCGAGGGGATACACGGGATATACATCGCGAACCAGATCGACGGCGGCGCGTTTTCCGACCCCTCCGTCGTCAGCGGTCGCGGCCGCGTCGAAGACTTCGTGCACACGAGGATCACGTACAACGGCGGCGGGTCCTGGCAGTCGATCACGCCGCCGCTGACGGACTCCGAGGGTAAACCGATCCGGTGTCACGCCGTCGGGAACGGCCGGTGCGAGCTGCACTTGCACGGGGAGTCGCACTGGCAGCAAGGGAGCTGGAAGACGAGGCTCGGGTCCGTGTACTCGCAAAAGTCCGCCCCCGGGGTCATCCTCGCGACCGGGAACGTCGGGCAGTACCTCTCCGCGGACGCGAACCTCGTGAACACGTACTTGTCCCGAGACGCGGGGTCGACGTGGGAGGAGATCCTCAAGGGGCCGCACATATACGAGTTCGGGAACCACGGCGGGTTAATCGTCGCCGCGCAGCTCGCGTCCGCGGGACCGACGGACGAAGTGTGGTTCACGCGAGACGAGGGCGCGTGCTGGGAGGGTCCGATCAAGCTGTCGAACAAGATGAGCGTGCACAACATCCGCGTCGCGCCGGACAGCATCGGCGACGTGTTCATCATTCACGGCACGGACTCCGAGGAGAGGGACGGGGACCCGGACGGGGTGATGTACATCCTCGACTTCAACCGCCTCACGGTGTTGGACCCGAAAAATAATATGCAAGCGTCCGCGTTTACGTTTCCGGTGTGCTCGGACTCGGACTACGAGACGTGGTCGCCGAACCCTCCGGGCGCGCCCGGGAAGTGCATCCTCGGCCAGAAGTACTCCCTCGCGCGTCGCAAGCGCGATGTTCGGTGCTTGAACGAGCCAGATTACGAGAAGAAGCACGACGAAGCGACGAAGTGCCCGTGCGACGCGCAGTACGACACCGAGTGTCAATACGGGAGCGAACGCGTCGACGGTTTGGGCGACTGCGTGAAGATGGACGACATCGACGTCGGCAGATGTGCGGTGTTAGAGTGCGTGGAAATTCCGAGCTCGAATTTGAGGGCGATCGCGGGGACGCAGTGCGAGGGCGACATGGGGGACATGGACCCGGACTTGGGGCAGATCAGGCAAGTCGGGTGCGACGCGAAAAAAAGCGGCGGCGGACATCCGATTTTGACGTTTTTCATCGTGATGTTCTTCATCGTCCTCGCGCTCGGCGGCGCGTGGTACGCGCACATGAAGTACGACCTGAGCACGTTCGTCCCGGAGCGGGTCAAGGACGCGTTCGAGGGTATCCTGGAGAAGATCAGAGAGCTCACGGGACGGAGCAGCCGCCCGGCGGGGTACTTCGAACCTCTCGGGGATTTCGACGGCGACGAAATTTAATTCGCTCGCGCCGCGCCGCGCGAGAACAAAAAGACGGACAGCGTACTGTACGAAGATACTTTGAATACTCTGAAGACTCAACAAGAAGACTAATGCGCTACCAACACGACTACGCCCGACGATCATCGTCCTCTCGGCAACCTACCCCCCTCCCTCGTCCACGAACGGCGTCGTCTTTTCGATCAACCGCCTCGCGACGGCGGCGTATAACCTCCCCGCCGCGCTCTCCGGGTCCGACACCGCGATCGGCCTCCCCTCGTCCGACCTCTCGCGAATGCGCTGATCCAACGGGACCTCGGCTAAGAGCTCGACGCCCATCGCCTCCGCGGTGTGCTTCACCCCGCCTTTCCCGAAGATGTACGCTCGAGCGGACGCGTCGTCTTCGGACCCGGGCGGCGCGTAGTAACTCATGTTCTCCACGAAACCGAGTATCGGCGTGTTCACCTTCGAATACATGTTCACCCCGCGTCGCGCGTCCGCGAGCGCGATCTCCTGCGGCGTGGACACGATCACCGCGCCGGTTAAAGGCAGCCGCTGCGAGATGCTGATCTGCGCGTCCCCGGTCCCGGGGGGCATGTCCACGAACAGGACGTCGAGCGGATGCCATTTCGTCTCCCTGATCATCTTCCCGAGAGCGCCCATGACCATCGGCCCTCGCCACACCGCGGCGCTCTGCTCCGCGATCAGAAACCCCATGGACATGCACTTCACGCCGTAGTTCTCCAGCGGGAGCATCCTGTTCTCTTTGTCGATCGCCGGCGTCCCTGAAGACGCGAGGTTCATGAGTATGGGCACCGAGGGACCGAAGACGTCCGCGTCTAGGATGCCGACGCGCAGGCCCAACGACGACGCCGCCGCGCACGCGAGGTTGACCGCGGTCGTGGACTTCCCGACGCCGCCTTTGCCGGACGCGACGGCGATTATGCGCTGCACGCCTGTGTTCGCGTCAGAGAGAGGGGATGGGACGTCAGCGGGGGGTCGACGGTCGGGCGCCGGTCGATCGAACGATCGATGGATCGGCGTGGACGGACGCGAAGGCACCGAGCGCACCCTCGAGGCTGTCGGGCACGGGAGGGTGCTTGAAACCCCCGGGCGGCGCCGGCGTCCCCGGACCGTTCACCGCCTTCGCGGCGAACCCGCGCGCGAGCGACGCCAGGCGCTTCAGACCCCCCATCTCTCGTGGGGGCGCGGCGTCGCAATGAGAACGTCGCGACGACTCTGATGAAAGCGACGCGTCTAATAACATTACAACACGACTTCGATGTTCACGCGCGGGAGCTCCCCGCCGTCCCCACCGAACAGCTGATCGCTCAGCGCGGCGACGGACTCCTCCACCGCGGCCTCGAACAGCGCCTTGCGTTCGGCGAGCGACAGCAGACGCACCGTCCGCCCCGCCGCGCGCAGCGCGTCCGACACCGTCCCCGCGCTCCCGGGCGTCCCGGGATCCCCGCTCGTCCCCGTCCCCGTCCCCGTCTCCCCGTCCTCCTCCTCCTCCTCCTCCTCCTCCTCCTCCTCCTTCCCCGCCGCCCACCCGGCGTCCTCCGTCGGCGCGCGCGGTCCCCCTCCCTCGACGTCCACGGATAACCGACGCGGGGAGAGCCGCGAGGTTGGCGACGCCGACGCGCGCGGCGAGGGAAGCGGCGGAAATCGCGCGGCGCCGACGCTCGTCCTCGGCGACCGCGGCGACGACGCGACGTACGCGTCGATCGCGGACCGCGCGGACGCTTCCATCGTTTCCATTCCCGTGGACACCCACCTGGTGCGCTCGCTCGCGGTCCTCCCCTTCCCCTTCCCCGCCGCCGCGTCCGCCGCCTCGGGGGGGCTCTTCCCGCGCAGATCCCAGCCCTCGGTCCGCTCCAACCGCGGCGACGGCGGCGCGATGACGTCCAGCATCGCCCTCGCGCTGTCCGGGCACCCGCGCGGGCTCACCCCGAGCTCGATGATCGACGAGCGGTCTTTGAACGCGTAACCGCCGTCGCCGCGCGCGGTCCCGCCGCCCGCGAGTCGATCGAACGGGGTTTTACGATGGGCGTCGAACACGGAGGTGGTCGCGGTGACGCGGCATCCTTTCGGCGTGCCGACGCCGCGGACGACGTCCTCGTCCGGGCCGCCGTCGTACGGCTTCCCCCAGTTCGTGATGATTTCCCTCTTGCGTCGCGTCGCGTCGCCGATGACGCGCGAGCGCGTCACGCCGGTGCCGCACACGGAGTGCCTGCGCGCGCCGGTCACGGTGTGCGATCGCTCGTTCCTCGCGACCGCGGCGTCGCGCAGGTCCAGGCGGCGGATGAATCGCTCGAGGTTCTGCAACCGGAGCGCTTCCTCGACCGCGCCTCGAGCGGTGTCGCCGTACGCGTCCGCTTGCGCGGCGACCGCGGGGAACACGTCGCATGGGTCGGGGATCTCCAGGCGCGCAAGACCCGCGCGCGGGGTCGCGAACGCGCTCGCCTCGTCGCTCGCGTTCCCGCGTTTCGAGGACGGCGACCGCGCGCGATCGTCCTCGAACGCGTCGCGCGCGTTTCGATCGAAGCCCGCCTCGCGCGTCGCGAAGGCGTCCGCGACGGTCGCCATCTTATTCCGAACGCGAACCCGCGTGAATCTCCCCGACGACGAGAGGAGGCGTCGGCGAGAGTGACCGCGACCGTCTGGCAATTGGTCTGCTAAATTGTGGTTCGGCAGGATTTTTCGGACAAGACAATACTCGCGCCGTGGGAGCAGCTGCGCCGGCGCGTCGCGTTCAACTACGTACTCTCGCGTCGCGTCATCACACGCATTCAAAAGATCTCTACTAGCGTACTACACAGAACACCCTCTCACCACCTTCCGTCGTTAAAACCGCTCGGACAACCGCGCGGTGATGCTCCGCAGCTTGGAGTACACCTTCCCCGGCGGCGAACCGAGGATGAGGTTACACAACGCGTCGCGCGCGATTTTAATGTTTTGGAAGCTGCCTAAGATCCGTATGTGCTGGTCCGCGATCACGATGCGCGTCCGCGTCGCGTTCTCGATGGTGAACTTCGTCTTTCCTGACTTACCCGCGAGTCGCCCGATGCCTCTGGACATGTGCTCGCCTTTCAACGTCTGCTTCACGTCTTTCACCTCGAAGCACTCGAGGTACAAGTCGTCGAGCCGAAGCAACGCGACCGCGTCTTGGACTTCGAACCCGAGCAAGAACGCTTGCACGAAGTCCGCGGATTTTTGTAACGCGCCGTCGTCTTCCGTTTCTTTCGTCGTCTTCAGCTCCACCTTCTTCGCCTTCAAGTTCATGCGCATGTCGATCTTCATCTTCTTCGTCACCGGCTCGTACAGCGCCATCCAGTTTTCCTTCAGAGGCGTGAATCGGTTCGACGGGACGTTCACCTTCCTGTACTCCGCCTTCTTCCCGGAGAGCTCCGCGACGCCGAGGGGCGCGAACACGGGGCGCAGAGGGTCGTCCGGCATCTCCGTCTCCTCGCCGGTCTCCGTGTTTACCATCGCGTCGCCCTTCCCTTCGGTGTGTTTCGTGACTTTCCCCATGACGACGGCTGGGCGTGATTCGCTCGCTGCGCGCGTTGCGGCGGCGGTGGAATCTCCCCCACGACGCGGACGGAACGTTCTCGCCGTGCGAAGCGACGGTCGCGGCTGACGCGCGCGCGCGAGGACGACCGCGGACGCGGTGTGCGAGCGTAGCGCGGGCGTGGAACGCGGCCGCGCTCTCGTGGACGCCGCCGTGCGCCGTCGAGTGCGCGCCGTCGGCCGCAATCTCGCCGAGACGGGGTCCTCGGTCGGTCGAAATCGGCGCCGAAGGGCGCCGCGCCGCGGGAAGGGCACTTGAGGTCCTCTCGTTCGCGTTCGCCAACTGTCCCACTCGCGCGGGCGCGTCGGGGAGCAGCCCACGCGCGTTCACGATGGCGGCCGCGGGCGTGACGCCGATGGCGAAGTACAAGCTCGTCTTCCTCGGGGTGCGCGCGCGTCGACCGAGACCGACGACGTCCCTCGCGCGCGCGCGCGGTCCACGCCTCGTGCGCTCCGCCGCTTCGTCCGTCAGATCCGCCCGTTCGCGCGCGTTCGAAAATGAAGTCAGCGCGTCGCGCGCCGACCGCTCCCATTCCCGCGCGACCGTCGACCTGCCCTCTTGATGACCCCCACCGCGCCTCCTCCGTCGCCCCAACCGACGCCATCGCCGCAGGACCAATCCGTGGGGAAGACGAGCGTGATATCTCGCTTCATGTACGACAAGTTCGACAACTCGTACCAGGCGACGATCGGCATCGACTTTCTCTCCAAGACGATGTACCTCGAGGACCGGACCGTCCGCCTGCAGCTGTGGGACACCGCGGGCCAGGAGCGCTTCCGGAGCTTGATCCCCTCGTACATTCGCGACTCCTCCGTCGCGGTCGTCGTGTACGACGTCTCCAGCCGCGCGTCGTTCCTAAACTGCGCGAGGTGGATCGACGAGGTGCGAACCGAACGCGGAAGCGACGTGATCATCGTCCTCGTCGGGAACAAGACCGACCTCGTGGAGCGCAGAGAGGTGAGCGTGGAGGAGGGCGATGCGCGGGCGAGGGAGCACGGAGTGATGTTCATCGAGTGCAGCGCGAAGGCGGGGTTTAACGTGAAGGCGTTGTTCAGGAAGATCGCCGCGGCGTTGCCGGGGGCGGAGGCGGGCGTCGGCGCGGGGGGGGGGGCCGCCGCGAGGGCCAAGGCGGAGGATCAGCTCGTGGACGTGAAGCTCACGTCGCAGCCGGTGGCGTCGAGCGCTGGGTCATCGTGCGCGTGTTGATTGACGCGTCGTGTTAGCGGTCCGGAAGAGCGGGAGCGAGGGGGGCGTTGTGTTGTGAGGATGGTATTCGCGCTCGCGTCGTCGGTTTTCTCTCCTTCTCTCTTCTTTCTGTTCTGTTCGTTCTCTCGGTCGCCGAGTCGCGCGAGCTCAGCTGATACGGGATACCACGACGCGCCTCGGTCTCAGCCCTCGCGCGATATCACCGGTCGTATCAGCGGATGCATCTGCGACGCGTACACGATCGCCCACATGAGCCAGCAGCAAAACACGGACGCGGCGAATAACACGTGTTTCAGCCTGTTGGACGGCGGAGAGAGAGACGAGTTGTCGGCGCGCGAGAGAGGGAGGGAGAGGCGCGCGCGCGACGCGCGCACCCTCGGTCGTGCGCCCTCCACCGAGCGTTCACGAACAGCGCGAACGCCGCCTCGAGCGCCAAGAAGAGCACCGTCCCCAACGCGAGTCCCATCGCGTCGGTCTCGACACCGCCGCCCACCGCGCGCGCGACGGCGCGACTGCAGTTAGCGGTGCGACGGTCGGTTCTGGCTTTTTTCACTTTACCGAAAACAACGACGTTCGGTATCGGACGACGTGACGAGGACCGCGGCGGCGGCGCGCGCTCTCCCCACTCCTCCCCGCGCGAGATCCGCCACAACGCGAGATCATGCGCCTCCACCCGCGCGATCGCGGCGCGGCGCTCGCGCTCCTCGCGCTCCTCGCGCTCGCGCGCGGCGCCGTCGCGCGGTCCCCGCCGCTCCCCGAAGACGCCCCCTCGACTTCGACGTGCGCGTGGCTCGACGCGGCCGCGGCGTCGTCCCAACGCGGGGTCGTCTCCGACGGCAGCGGCGAGCGCGGGACGTACCTCCCGAACAGCAACTGCACGTGGATCATCCGCCCGGAAGTGTCCGGCGCGAGCGCGAGCGCGAACGCGACGGAGGGGACGACGACCGCGGCGGCGGGGATAACCCTCGTCTTTCCCTCCTTCAAGACCGTGTTCGACGACGACTTTCTTTACGTCACCGACGTCTCCGACGCGTCGTCCCCGAACCCGCTCGCGGCGTACACGGGCATCCTCCCTCCGCTGACGGCCGCGCGGTTCGAGAACGTCACCGCGCTGAAGCTCGAGTTCGTCACCGCGGAGGAGAACCGCGACGCCGGGTTCGAAGCCGTCTGGCTCGCCGACGGCTCGTGTTACAACGACTGCCGCGGCGGCGGCGGCGGCGGCGGCGGCGGCGACAGCGGTCGATGCGTCGACGGACTGTGCGTCTGCGACGATGACCACGTGGGCGCGGACTGCAGCATCCCGGTGCCGCGCATCCCCGGCGACGGCGTCGGCGTGAACGGAAGCGTCGGCGTCGGCGAGTACCGATACTTTCGCGTCGACGTCCCGAGCGACCCGCCCGGGCTGATGCTGAAGCTCGAGCTGACGTTCCCGAACGGCGACAGCGACGGCGCGAGGCCGATGTTGATGCTCGCGAACGCGTCCGCGGCGATGAGCGGCGATCCGAAAGCGGCGGGGAAGAGGGGAAACCCGGGCGCGGCCGCGGACGACGCCGCGGACGACGCCGTCACGTACTTTGACGATTTCGCGACGAAGGACGGCGGCGATTGCGGGCCGTACCCGGGCTGCCGCTGGGCCAACACGGACGCGCGAGGCCCCGCGGACATCCCGCCCAACGTTCGCGTCGCCGGCGACGCGAACGCGTTCAGGCTCGGCGGGCAGCCGCTCGTGCGGAGTCTCCGCGGGCGAGACGCGTTCCCGCGACGGGACGTCCTGCTTCCCGCGCACCCGACGCCGCATTACAACGCCCTCGTCGACGCCCGCGACTGGGACACGCACGCGGATCACCACCATCTGTACGTCACGAACGAGGCGTACTCGCCCAAGTACGCGGACGGGCGCGCGAAGGTGGTCCTGACCCCGGGGACTTGGATCGTCGGCGTGACGAACACCGAGACGACGCCGCTGCCGAGGTTCCTCGCCGGAACCGTCCACGACGATATCCAGTGGTGGGGTCCCCGTCCCGGGTTCGAGGGCGCGGTGAACGGGGTGAATTTCACCCTGAGCGCGACGCTGAGCGACGACGTGGACGAGATGTGTTTGAAGCGGTGCGGCGACGGCGGCGGCGTGTGCGACGCCGGGACGTGCCGCTGCGGCGGCGGCGGCGACGGCGCGGACGTCGACGGCGTCGACGCGGCGGGCGACGCGCTCGTCGTCGGCGAGCACTGCGAGCACGTCGCGGCGACGCTCGAGCCCGGGGGAGAAACGGTCAAAATGCCGACGTTACACATCGGTCAGTGGGCGTACGCGTTCGTCCCCTCGCCGAAGAACGTCGACGAGCACAAAAACCATCCGCTTCTCGTGGAGCTGTCCCACGGCGGCACCCCCGCGGCGTCCCCGATGCTCTTCGCGACGGCTTCGAACGACGCGATCGACGCCGACGGCGGGATCGAGGTCCCGTCCCCGGACATCACGTGCGCCGCGTTCTGGGGCAGCGGGCCGTACGGGGACGTGCACTGCCACGTCACCGGGTACGGCAACGCGGACTTTCAGTTCCCGCCCCCAGAGGCGTTCGCGTCCGGCTACGAAAAGACGGTCACCGCGGCGGAGATTGGCATGGACTACGCCTCGATCGTGATCCCCCCGGAGGCGCGGCTCGACGTCGGGGACGGGTTCTACGTCGGCGTTTGGAACCATCCGTCGTACAGCGGGGACGCGCTCGAGTACGAGCTGAGGGCGACGTACGTGACCCCGGGGGAGCCGTCGTGCCCGTTCGCGTGCGGCGGGAACGGAAAATGCGGCGGCGGCGGCAGCGGCGGCGATATCGAACCATCCGACGCCGCCGTGTTCGTGGACGCGACCGCGCGCGACTGGACGTGCTCGTGCGCGCCGAACGCGACCGGGGCGTACTGCCAGGACGAGCTCACGACGCTCGCCCTGGACGCGGACGTCACGCGGACGCTCGAGAACGGCGCGTGGGATTATTTCGTCCTCGACCTCCCCGCGTTCGCCGGCGGCGGCGCTGACGACGACGACGACGACGAGCGTCTGCACTCCGTCCTCATCGAGATCGACAAGATCCAACGCGACGCGTTCCCGCTCGTGTACGTCAAGCGCGGAGGTCCCCCCGCGGCGTTCGCCGCGGTGTACTCGTCCACGGTGCGCGAGGCGGTGATCGCTCTGGACCCGGACGCGAACGGCGTCGGCGTCGCGGCGCTCGCGGACGCGGGAAACTCTCGTATCAACCTCACGGGCGCGGTCCCCGCGAACGCGCGCGTGATCGGGCTTCGGTACGACCTCAGCGTCGAGGCGACGTTCCCGTCGTACGTCAGCGAGGCGTGCCTCGCGTTCGAGAGCGGCTCGCGCGGGTACGAAGCGATCGCGTGTCCGTCTGATTTAGCCGCCTCCGGGACGAAGGTCGTCGTCGGCGGGACGTCCGACGCGGGGGGCAGGTCGGTCGACGTCGACGGCGGCGGCGGCGGCGGCGGCAGCGATTTCGCCATCTCTAACCTCAACGTCGTCGCGTTCGACGTCCCCGAGGACGGCGTCCTGTTCATGGAGCTGTTCGAGAGCTACGACGACTTCAAACCAGACGACGCGGCGACGGGCGGCGAGAACCTCGCCTCCGAGCCCCCCGACTCGAGGTGGAACGGCACCGTCGCGGTCCTCTTCCGCGAGCGCGTCGCGATCGGCCACGACTACCAGGACGTCGAGTCAGCGTACTGCACCGGGATCGACTGCGCGGTCGGGGACGAGCACGGCCTCGTGTTCCCGCTCGCGGTCGACGACGCCGACGCCGACGCCGTCGCCCCCGCCCCGCCCGGCGACGGTCGGTACTACGTCGGCGTGTACAACTCCAGGATCGGGTCCCCGTCCGGGACGCTGTCGCAGCACGAGAGCGCGCGGTTCGCGGCGGACATGACGTACACGATACGCGCGTCCGCGTCCTCGAACGCCGCGCCCGCGTGCGTGAACGACTGCAACGGCGTCGGGGAGTGTTTACCGACGACGACGCCCGCGTGTCGCTGCGACCCGGGGTTCTTCGGTCCCGGGTGCTCCGTCTCCCCGGTGGAGATCCCGCTGGTCGACGACGTCGGGACCGCGGCCGGGTTCGTGCCGGAGGGGCACTTCGAGTATCGGTTCGTGGACGTCCCGGCGGACGCGAAGTTTTTGGTCGTGAACCTCACCTTTCCGCTGCATCAGGCGAGCGCGCCGAGGGTCTTCGCGCGACGCGGGGCCATACCCGCGCACTGCGACTCTATCCTCGGCGCGGCGTCCGGGTGCGTGGACGCGTACGACGCGTCTGACGAGAACGCGGGCGACGGCGACGTGGTATGGACCGAGAGCGGCGCGATGCTCGTCCGGACGCTGAAGATCGATCCACGCGATCCGCGCGGCGAGGGCGGGGGCGCCGGCGGCGTCGGCGGCGGCCTCGGCGGCGACGTCACGTCCGTCGCCGCCGAGCTGAACAAGCGCGAAGCCGAGGCCGCGCTCGCGCTCGTCGCCGGGCGCGACGCCGACGCATCGGATCCCGAGAAGACCGTGACCACCGTGAACGCGACGCTCGACTTCGACTTCGACTTCGACTACGACATCGACGGCGGCGTCCTCGACGGTCTCGTCGACCGCTGGCGTCTCCCCGCGGCGCTGCGACGCCGGTGGTACGTCGCCGTGTACAACGACATTCACGGCGGCGAGTCTTTGACGTTCTCACTCGGTGTCCGCGTGTCCTCCGTGGCGTCGTGCGTCGTCCCGGACTGCAGCGGGCACGGGACGTGCGATTTGAAAGCCGGCGTGTGCGCGTGCGAGGAAGGGTACTTCGGCGCGTCGTGCTTCGCGAGGATGATGCCCGTCGACGCCGACGCGGCGGCGCCGACGCGGCACGACGAGGCTTTATCCCTCGGCGAGTTTACCTTCTTTACGTTCCGCGTCAACTGCACGGGCCAAGACGCGTCGATCGTCTTCACGAAACGGCAGCCCGGCGACGAAAACGCCACGTCGTCGGGCGGCACCGGCACGGAGGTCGAGCTCGCGGTCCGGCACGGCTCGATACCGACGCTCGACGACGGCGGGTTCCTCGACGGCGTCGTCTCCGCGACGGACGAACCGGACGCGTGGATCAAGCTCCACAACGCGCGCCCTGGGACGTACTACGGCGTCGTGCACGTCTCCGCGGGCGAGGCGCTGCGCGCGTTCGCGTTAGACGTCGCGCTCGAGGGGTCGCGCGTGCCGAACGCGCACAACCAGTGCGAGTACGCGGACGATCAGCTCGTGATGGAGATTTACGCGCCGTCGGGGACGTACGCGCGATTAGGACCGACGAGCGGGTCCACGGGGTCGTCCGTCGTGCTCCCGGTGGATCACTCGTTGATGCCCGCGGATATCTACGAGCCCGCGTACGGCGCGTGCGGGGACGTGAACGAGACGACGACGACGGCGACGGCGGCGGCGGCGAAGCACTGCTACCTCGGCGACGGGCACTCGTCCGGACGCGTGCGCGACCTCCCCCGGGACGCCGGACACGGCCCCGTGGAAGGACGCGTCGTCCTGGGCCTCGCGACGCCGGCCGACGTGGACGACCGGGCGTACTTTTACGTCTACGGCGACGTGAGAAAATACTACGGTCGGTTTCCCGGCGACCTTCTCGCGGTCGGGAGCGTCGCGGAGCGGCCGACGCTCGCGTTTCAGGGCGAGCCGAACGATTCGAACAACGTCGATCTCGAGGCGTGCGGGCCGCTGAAGAACGCGGAGGACGTGCGCGGGAACGTCTGCCTCGTCGTCCGCGGCACGTGCCCGTTCAGCGCGAAAACGCTCGCGTGCCAAGCCGCCGGCGCGGTCGCCGTGATCCTCGTCAACGACGACTTCGACGAAGGCGCCGCCGACAACTGGATCGGATCGCACGACCCGGCGGAGATTAAGATACCCACGATCTCGTACGGCGGGAGGGACGGGAACATGATGCTGAACGAGATGTTCGACGCGTCGATCATCTCGAACGCGTCCTCCGCGTCGACGAACGTGACCCTCAACGCGACGCCGTGGGAGGCGTACGCGCGCGACGTGACCGTCAAGGCGTACGCCTATCGGTGCGAAGCGCCGTCGAAATGCCCGGCGTGCGCGCCCGGTCTCGCGACGCCCGCGGACGGGTGCAGCTCCGCCGCGTGCCCGGGGATGGACCCCGCGCTCTCGCGCAACTGCAGCGAGCGCGGCGTCGGTCCCCACGGCGGGTGTTCCCTCGCGCCGCGCGAGCGGTGGGTCGACCTCACGCCGCGTTTCGCGTGCGAGTGCGCGCGCGGGTACGCCGGAGCCGCGTGCGAAATTTCGCACGACCCGCCGGCGTTCACGACGACCCCGGAGATCGTCTTCGGCGCGGCCGCGACGACGATCGAAGACGGGGACGTGTTCACGTTCACCGTCCACGCGGACGCGTCCGTGGATGACGTGGACGTGGTCTACGTCCTCGAAGGCGCGGGCGCGCCGGGGGCGGCGGTGGACCCGAAGACGGGGGAGTTTACGTTCAACGCGAGCGGCGTCCGCGCTGCGGCCGCGTCAGCGACGACTGGCGACGGCGACGGCGGCGGCGGTCCCACGGCGTACGCGTTCAGAATCGCGGCCGTGGACGAGCTCGGGGGGAAGAGCACGACGGATTTTCTCGTCGCCGTCGGCGCCGCGGCGGGCGGAAGCGCGCCCGTCGTCGAGACGCGGACGCGAATGCGGACGCGCGAGAACCCGGGGCGGACCGTGGGGATCGCGCTGGGGTGCCTCTTCGTCGCCACGGGGCTCGTGACCGTGCTCGCGATCGTGATAACGCGGCGTATAAAGAGGCAGAAGCACAGGGAAGAGGTGAAGAAGCAGGTCGCCATGGTCGAGCTTTAAGGCGCGGCCTGGCCGGGAAGGAGAGAAAAAAAAAAATACGCGTTTGTACGATGACGACGACGGCGCGACGAGAGCGAACAGAACGCGAGAGGAACGACGAGACGAGAACCACGTTTGTGATGCACACGGCACGATACGCGACGCGACGATAGCACGAACGAAATATCGTCTTCATCTATTAAACCCGCTACGCGACCCCCTCAAGTAAGACCAGACCAGACCAGACCACCTCTCCTCTCCTCTCGCGATCGACGATCGATCGATCCATCGGACCGATCACATGAAGAGCGCCGCGCTGCGGCCGTTGGACTCCTTCGCGAGCTCGTTGTACGTGTACATGTCGAACTCGTCGCCGAAGTCGACGTGGGACACCTCGGTGAGGCTGCCCTCGCCGTTGCAGATGCCCTCGAACTCGACGAACGCGGTCGTGATCGCCGGGGAGTCCGCGGCGAGGGTCACGGTCACGACCTTGTCGTCCGAGGTGCGCAGCGTGACGGTGGAGCCGTCGGATCCCTCCGTCTTGCCGACGAGGAGGACCTTCTTGCCGGCGAACCGAGACATGAGCTCGCCGTTCACGCGGGGGGCGGGGGCGGAGGTGTCCATCCTGCGATCGTGGAAGGAGGGAAGGGGGCGCGTCAGCGACCGCGGACGACGCGGGGGAGGGGTCCGCGGGCGGGTTCAAATCGCAGCTGTGGGCACTCGACGGACGATCTGGTGCCAAGTTTTGAAATCCGGCGCGGGAGACGTCCGCGCGGGGGGCGGGGGCACGTTGTCGGGTTCGCGACGAGTCCGCGCCGCGCGTACCTGGAGTATTCGACGAAGTGAAGTGCGTGTCTTGAAGGCACAGCGAGGCTGGCGTCGCGAGATATGACGGCAGACGCGCTAGATCTCGCGCTTTAAACCTCGTGTGAAGTGAGCTTCGCGGCCCAATTTCTCGACAGGTTAGAAATGAATTTTCTCGCTCGCGAGCGCGTTGAGTGTCGGCTCTGTCGAGGAACTACACTACGGTATCCAGGCGCTGATCGCCTCGCGCGCGAAGATCTGCGAGCACACGACATCACGAAGAACGAAAGGAACGTTTCCATTTCAATGAATACTCGTCGCGCACGCACGACGCGCGTCCCGCGCCTCGCTCACGCGACCAGCTGGACGTCGTCTTTATCCAGCGACGCCTTCACGAGCGCGCCGACGCGGTCTCGAATGTCCTTCCCCCCCGGGAGCTTGCTCACAATCTCCAACCCGAACCCGGCGACGAGCAGCGACCGCGCGACCGCGGGAGACAACCCCCGGGACTGAATGTAAAACAGCTCCTCCTCCTCGAGGTCGCTCACGGTGCAGCCGTGCGTGCACACGACGTCGTCCGCGACGATTTGTAAGTTTGGCTTCACGTTCACCGTCGCCTTCGGGACGAGGAGTAAATTACGCGAGATCTGCCCCGCGTCCGTCCTCTGCGCGAGCTTGTTCACTTTGACGTTCCCGTCGAACACCCCTCTGCCGCTCGCGGACGACACGATGCACTTGTGCACCTGGTCGGTCTTCCCTTCCTCGTGGTCCAGCGTGACGCTCGAGTGCAAGTCCATGCACTGCCCCGCGCCCGCGAGGTTAAAGCACGACAGCTCCGTGACCGTCCTCGGCCCGAGCTGCTCGATCCCGAGGTCGTGTCGACCAATCTTCCCGCCGACGTTCACCTCCGCGAGCGCGTACGTGCTGCTCTCCGCTTGCGTCAGCGTCGTCAAACGCGTGTGCACGGCGTTTCGCGTCTGCGCCTGGACCATCGCGTGCGTCACGCGTCCGTCCTTCTCGATCACAATCTCGCACACGCCGTTGTGCCAGTACCCGCACGCGTCGTCGCTCACCCCGGGCGCGGGCGCGAACTCCTCGACGACCTCGACGGACGCGCGCTCGCCCACGGTGATCACGATCCGCGGCGCGCTCGACGACAACTCCGCGGCGTCGTCCCCGCTCGTGGACAGCTGGACGATGTGGATCGGGACGTCCAGGGTCACGCCCGCGGGGACGTCGACGTGAACGAAGTCGGACGCCATGACGGCGTTCAAGGACGCGAGGACGCCGCCTCGGCCGGTGGACGTCATCGACCCGAGCGCGGCCGGGGGGGCGGCGTCGCCCGCGGCGGCGGCGGAGACGGAGATCTTCGCGCCTCCCTTCGCGATGGCATCGATCGACGACTTGTCCGCCCTGAAGACGCCGTCGACGAGGACGACCCTCGACGCGCTCGCAGCCTCGAACGTCCACGCGGAGGCGTCGACGTCGTCCGCCTTGGACGCGTCCGCGGCCGTGGGTTGCTTCGTGAGAAGCGGCGCGAGATCCGTGAATCGAAACTCTTCCGCGCGCGACGTCGGCATGCGCGCGCGCGCGAGCTGCGTCACCGCGCCCGCGCGGAGGCTCTCGACGCCCGCGCCGATCGCGCATCGCTCGACGCTGCCCGCGATCCATTTGTCCTCTATCGTCGACGCCTCCGCCGCGGTCGCGGCCGCGGCGACGCGTCGCGTCGCGACGCGCGACGACGACGTCGTCGTCCGTCTTCGCGACCCGGCGACGAATTTCGCCGCCGCCGCCGCGCGGGGGGTCGCGCTGGAAACGCGCGCGGACATCGCGCGCGCGACTTCGCGGTCGACGCCTCGGGAGAGGTGAGCGGTGATGACGGTGGTATCGTCCGCGAACGCGCGCGAGAGGGGAGTCGCGAGGCGCGCGTGTGGCGCGCGCGGCGTCGGTGTGCGCGCGTGCGCCGCGTCGACGACGTTATCTTTCAGGGTCCAGCAGTCTCGGAGGAACAGAACCCTCGCCCTCGTCGCGGGCCGAGGGTGAAGGCGCGCGGATTCGATCTCGGAAGCGGGAGAGGCGAGCGCGCGCCGAGGGGCGCGACGCGCGATGGAGGTGCGACCGACGATGAAACGCTCGCTCGTCTCCGCGTCCGCGCGCCCATCTCAGCGCGCCCGCGCTCCGCGTCGCGTCGCCGCTCGCCTCCTCGACTCGTCTCACCGCGATCGTCCTTCCCCCGTGCCCACCTCCGGCGCCCCGACGCTTTCTCCACCTGACAGGAGGTGCCCACGCGCGCGTCCGCGGGAAAGACCGCGCGAGCGTTCGTCGGCGTCGACCACGACGCGACGGCGATCGAGTTCGCGCACGCCGCGCTGGGAACCGACGTCGTCGCCGTCCGTCAAGACCTCGAGAAGGACCGCGACCACGCGACGCGCGACGCGACCGCGCGGTTCGTATGGGACGGCGCCGCGCCGATGGCGACGTGGCTGTGCGAAAACGCGACGACGCGGGTGCGAGGGAAAAGAGTCGTCGAGCTCGGCGCCGGGCCGGGGCTGCCGGGGATCGTCGCCGCGAAGTTGGGCGCGCGCGAGGTGGTGTTGACGGACTTGGCGTCCGAGCTCGAGCTGCTTCGCGCGAACGCGGCGCTGAACGGTCTCGAAGTGCGCGACGACGACGACGACGACGACGGCGACGACGGCGACGACGGCGGCGGCGGCGGCGGCGGACGGGTCCGCGTGCGCGCGTGCCCGTGGGGGGACGCGGACGCGGCGCGCGCGCTCGGGACGTTCGACCTGGTCGTGTGTTCCGACGTGTTGTATGGGCACAGGGAGGAGACCGCGAGGGCGTTAGCGCGGACGATGCGACGGTTGTGCGCGTTCGGCGGGGAGCGCGGCGGCGGCGGCGGCGGCGGCGGCGAGGCGGGCGAGGGCGAGCGCGGCGCCGCGGTGGTGAGTTACTTCGCGCGCGAGAAGCTCTTCGCGGACGTCCCGTTCTTCGAGACGTGCGACGAGCTGTTCCTAGACGCGACGCAGCACACGGTGGGGGGGGTAGCGGAAGAGAACGAGGACCTTTGGTTCCTCGAGTATAGACCGAAATAGCGCGAAAAACGCTCTTCCACGTTGAACGCGCGCGAGATCTCCGGCGCGTGAGCCGCGATCTGATCGCCCGCGATTTCGGTGCGTGAAAACGCGGTCGTCGTTTCGCGCCGGCGGCTGAGAGGCTTCAAACGCGGCGCCGCGCCATCGCCTCCCGCGCCTACCCCGTCCGTCGTCGCCACCGCGTCGCGCTTCGTCGCGTCGCGCGCGTCCCGGTCGCGGTCGCGGGGAGCCGCCGTCGTTCGCGCGCGTCGCGTCGCGCGCGTCGCTCGCGCGTCGCGCGTTCGGACGGCCTCGAGGGGACAGAATCTGATAAAGCACGCGCAAAAGCGCGCGCGAAGACGGTCCCGGGACCATGCAGTACCACATCCCCGGGACGCCGCCGCGGCGCGCCACCTCCGAGGGCATCCCCGACGACGAGGACGACATGGACTTCGACGAGCTCTTCGACGGGCCCAGGAGCCCGCTGCGCAAGGCGAACGCGCCGGCGACGACGCCGACGACGGAGCGCGCGCACCCGGGGATGCTCGGCCCCACGCCCGGCGCGACCGCGACGCGCGTCGGGGCCGACGCGCCGCCGCCGTCGGGGCCGAACCGCAGCGCGGGCAAGCCGCCGAGGCCCGCCGCGGCGAGCAACACGATCAGCGGGTTCGACCAGACGACGACGCCGACGTCCCCGCGCGCGCCGACGCTGGACGAGGCGTGGGACGCCGTCGCGGGCGATCTCGCGCGATCGAAGCCCGCGGGGCCCGGTCCCGACGACGCGCCCCCCCGCGTGCCGTCGCCGTCGCCGGAGGGCAGCTCCGCGGGGCCGCAGCCGTCGACGCCGTCCACGGGCGGCGGCGGCGGGCTCACGAAGTCGCTGCTGTCCTCCACGCTCGGCGGGGAGGACGCCGCCACGCCGTCCCCGGGCGCCGCGGTTCCCGGGTCGCCGCTGCGACGGATCGACAGCACGCTGCTGCACAACCTCGCGCCGACGCGCGGGCCGGGCGGTTCGGAGCGGAAGCTCACGCCGGACGACTTCGAGATGCTGTGTCTCGTCGGTGGGGGCGCGTTCGGGAAGGTGTTTCAGGTGAAGAAGCGCACGTGCGGGAGCGTGTACGCGATGAAGGTCATGAAGAAGGACGTCATCATCGAGAGGGACCAGTGCGATTACATGCGCGCCGAACGCGACATCCTCACGGTGATTCACCACCCGTACATCGTCACGCTGCGGTATTCGTTCCAAACGTCGCAGAAGTTGTACCTCATACTGGACTTCATCAACGGCGGTCACCTATTCTTTTGGCTGTACCGGCAAGGTCTGTTCGACACGAACCTGACGAGGTTCTACGCGAGCGAGATCGTGTGCGCGATATCGCACCTGCACTCGTTGAACATCATGCACCGCGACTTGAAGCCGGAGAATATTCTTCTCGACTCGGAAGGGCACGTCAAGCTGACGGACTTTGGGCTCGCGAAGCGCCAAGACCCTTCCTCGGAGAAGCGCGCGAACTCGCTCGTGGGCAGCATAGATTACATGGCGCCCGAGATATTAGAAGCGAAAGGGCACGACAAAGCTGCGGACTGGTGGTCCGTCGGCGTTTTGATTTACGAGATGCTCACCGGCGAGCTTCCGTTTCGCGGGAAGAACAAGCCGGCGATTAAAAAAGCGATCTGCTCGTGCAAGCTCAAGATGCCGTCGTTCCTTCCCGCGGACGCGATGAACCTCATCAAGACGTTCTTGACGCGGGATCAGGGGAAGCGTTTAGGGTCCGGCCCGGACGGCGGCGACAACGTCCGGAGGCACAAGTTTTTCTCGAGCGTGAATTGGAACAAAATCGAAGTCCGAGGCGTCTCGCCGCCGTTTCGCCCCACCGTGGAGGGCGAGATGTGCGTCGCAAACTTCGACGAGCAGTGGACGACAAAAGACGCTGTAGACTCGCTCGCGGGCACGCCAGGGAGCACGGACAAGGACGTGTTCCAAGGCTTCTCGTTCACGTCGCCGTCGATCATGCTCGAGGCGGAGGCGAAGGCGAGGGTGATGGAGAAACGCGCGGAGATGGAACGCATGATTCGCGACGAACAGGAAGCCCTGAGCGAGGAGGACGACACCGACGACGAGGCCGCGGCCGCGGAGAGGGAGGACGCGGAGGAGCAGGACGACGACGAGGGAGATATCCTCGCGGGCGGCGGCGGCGGCGGCGGCGGCGGCGCGAGTTTGGAGGAGAAGTTCGCGGGCGCGTCGATCGCGGCCGTTGCTGGCGCCGCGGATGTCGGCGATGGGTTAAAACTCCGAGCGTCCGCGCCGGCGTTTGTCCCGCCCGCGCCGCCACGCGGCGCGTAGCCCACGCGAGTTGATTCATAGCCGATAATAGTACACGGTAGTCCTTATTACGCTAGATACTACGTACGCACCTACGTTTACCCGCGGATCGCGTCCCCGCCGCCCATCCCTTCGTCGCCTCCCCGCCCTGAGCGTCTCGCCACCTCGGCTTCGCGTTCCCACCGCTCGAGCGATCCGTCCTGCGCGATGTCTTCGAACAACTCCACGGCTCTCTCCACAGACCCTAGGGCGTCCCACAACGCCTCGGACATCCTCGCGTGCGCTTCCTCGCTCTCGCACCGCAGTAAACGCTCGAGCGCGGGCAGTTCATCGCCGTCCATGCCTTCCACTTCCTTCGCGGCGACGATCCCGAGGCGCGTCTGCAGCAGCGGGTACCGACTCGCCATCTCTCCGTACATCGCCTCCGGGAGAGGACGGTACCGACAAAAGAAACCGAAGTGCCACGGCATGAACTCCATGTACCGTTTCTTACCGAGCTCGTCCGCGCGGAAGTGGTCCTGGAAGTACCCGCACAGGGTGAGATACACCGCGATCCTTTCCTCCGCGGATGGCTCCCAATCGATCCCTTCCTTCGCCTCTTTGAAAATCCACGGCTTGATGAGCGCGCCGCGTCCCACTATCGCCGCGTGCGCGTTCGATATCCCCATTCGATCGTTTAACTCGTACCGGGTCAATATATCGCCGTTCCCGACGACGGGGATCCCTCGCTCGGCTTGTATCGCCCCGATCGTCTCCCAGTTCGCGGCTTTCGTGTATCGCGCTTCTTTCGTTCTGCCGTGAATCACGACCGCGGCGGCGCCGGCGTTTTCCACCGCCTCGGCGAGCGCGTGCGCGGGCGCTTCCGACGACCCCGCGCCCAGGCGAATCTTCACGGTCAACGGGATTGGAATGCCGTCCGCGATGCCGCGGACTAAACGCTCGAGCTTCCTCGGTTTCTTCAACAGCGCCGCGCCGAGGCCGCGCTTCCACGTCTCGTGAATCGGGCACCCGCAGTTGAGGTCCACGAAGTCGGCGCCGGCTTCGTGCGCGAGTCGCCCCGCGTTGACGCCTTCCGTGATTTGATTCGTCGCGATCTGGACCCCAAAGAGCGTTTCGCTGTCGTGCTTTCGAAGCCTCGCGAGCTCGACCGGGTTCTTCTTCAGCGCGAATCGCGCGAAGACCATCTCGCTCACGGTGACTTCGCATCCCAGGGACACGCACAGCCTCCGGAACGGCAGATTCCCGCCCTTCGTCAGCGGCGCGAGCAGGAGCTTCCCTCTGATGGAGTCGCGAAACGTCCGGACTTGCGCGTCCGTGACGATTCTCTCCACGCTCGCGAGGCCGTCCGGGACGTCGCTGAACTGCCTTCGACCGTCCACGTGCGGCTTCTTCACCGCGGGGCGGGGAGGAGGACGGGCGTCCGGATCGACCGACGAGGGCGTTTCGGTCGAGCTCGACGCGAACAGCGAGAAGAACCCGCGCGCGCGAGCTCGGGGGCGATGACGATCGAGCGCGATGAGCCGGCGCGTCGGCGTCGACGCCTGCATGCTCGACGCGGACGCGAGACGCTCCGCCATCCCGCGCGAGGCACGAGTGCGGCGTCGGGGTTAGGTCATCTGAGTCTGGTTTTTCTCGTAACAACGAAAAAATTTCGCCACGTCACGGCTGGGGATAAGGCCGCGCTGATCGCGACGCCGCGACGCCACTGCCACCGCGAGCGGCTGCCCGCGAGACGTCCCGACACACACGCATCCATCGCTTCGCGATCGCCAGCACCGTCTCCTTCCTTAAATCATCTCATCCATCCCCGCGATGTCCACCGTCACCGCATCGACCGCCTTCTCCTCTCGAGTGGGCACGCCCGCGCGTCGATCGATGAAACGATGCGACGCGGTCGTCCCCCCGCGCGCGGCATCGGATGCCTCAGACGCGACGACGACGGCGACGTCGACGCCGCCGCCGACGACGACGACGACGCTGCCGAGACGCGCCGCGCTGTCGCTCGCGTGCGCGCTCGCGATGCCGTCCGCGGTGAACGTGATGTCGTCGTCGTCGTCGCCGTCGTCGTCGCCCTTCGCCGCGCGCGCCGCGGACGCGGAACCGATGGGCACGAAAGACTTCGACTTCAAGACGTACAAGCTCACCGTCCCGGGAGTGTACGAGGAAGTCAACGTCCCCCTCGGCGCGAACGGCGTCGTGTCGCCCACGGTGATGCTGCTAAGGGACTCCCGACCCGGGCAAGCCGGGAACACGATATCGCTGTCGAAGCAGATCATCCCGGAGGGGGGCATCTCCTCCGTGAAGGACATCGGCAACGCGGAGGAGGCGGCGAAACGTTTAGTATCCGCGGAGAGCGCGCGTTCGAAGGGCGTCGGCGGCATCGGCGGCGCGGGCGCGGTGTTCCGCGACGCGAGCGAGCGCGTCGGCCCCGGCGGGCTGACGTATTACGCCGCCGAGTACAGTAAAAACGTGTTGAGCGTCGGGAGGGTGATCCTCACCACGCTCGTCGTCGCGGACGGGGTGCTGTACACCCTCACGTGCGAGGAAGACGCGGGGAGGTTCGAGAGCGAGATGGGGGACGCGCTGAGGAAGGCGAGCGCGTCGCTGGTCGTGACGTCGACGACGCCCGCCCCGGCGCCGGCGCCGGAGCCCGTCGTCGAAAAGAAGACGAAGAGCAGGTTCGGGCGGAAGTGACGACGAGCCTAACGCTTCGATCGTATTAACGAAGAACGGTATTATTGTCTACGCGGATCCTAATGTAATGATACCTCGTCAGTCATCCATCTATCTCGCGTTGATGATGTCCATGAACTGCTTGCGTTTCTTCCAATCGTCCCCCGCGTCCTCGATGGCGCGCTCCGATAAAACGTGCTTGATCCGGGCCATCGTTCTTCGGACTTTTCCGATGCGATGCGCCGCGCGCGGTTGCACGCGGTTCGCACGCGCGAGGTACTTCTCCGTCTGCAGCATGTTCTTCTCCCGGAGAAGGACGTACCATAACGCGTGAAGGTCGTCGAACGATTTCAAGCGCAGCTCGCGCGCTTGCCACTCCCGCCCGATCACGTCCTCCTTTTGCTTCTCCTCGCTGAGCGATCGCCACGGATCGACGAACAAGTCGAGGCCGGACGCGCGCGAGGAGGACGTCGTCGCGATCCCCGCGCGCGCGGCGTGCGACGCGCCGCTCGAGCACGGCGCGAGCGCCGGCCGCAGCGCGGTGGACCGTAACGTCCGCGCGGCGAACGACCACATGAGCGTCCCGTCGAGTGACGGCGCCGCGGCGGAATGCCCTAGCTTTCAGAGACGGCGAGCCGGCTCAAGTTGATGTTCGCCGACCGCAGCGCAGGCGGCCGGTCGCGATCGTCGACTTTTGAACCACCTCGATGTCAGCTCGAAGAGTGCAAAGATGCCTTCGAATCTCGCCTCCAGTGTGTCCTCAGCGGGCGTCGCGACACGAGCACGGGCATTCTCGCGCGGGCGAGCGTTCGCACGCGAACGCCGATCGATTCCGCGAGCGCGTTGACGCGCGCGCGCGGGGCGAGACCGACGCGCGCTCGCGCGAACGGAAAGTTTATCTCTCCTCTCGGCGACCACAACAGCTGTTGAGGTCAAACGCACCGATCGACGAGCGAGAGCGCGAGGCCGTCCTGGGGTCGACATGGACGCCGGCGGGCTCAAGGTGAACGTCGCCGGGGACGCGAGGGCGCCCCTCATGGAGACATCGGGTGCGTGTACCACGCTCGCATCGATCGGTCGTCGGGAACGAGACGCCATCGCGCCTCGTCGTCGCCGCGGACGTCGCCTCCGTTCGCACGTTTGAACTGACTCACGGCCCGTTCCTCCTCCTCCGCGCCTCTCCCATGACGCAGGAAACGAGCTTCAAAACGTAAATCGGTTCCCGTCGTCCAAGCTGAAACTCGATGAGTTCTTCCTGAACTGGCTCTCGTCCGCGGACTCGCAGAAGCTGGCGCGTCCCCGCGCGCGGCGCCCAGATCTCGCCGCGGGCGTTCCCTCCACGCGCGACGTTTCCGTCGTTTGAACCCGCCTCGGGCGGATCGACGACGGCAGCTCACCCCCACCACCCCATAAACCACCCCATGATCAGGTCCTGAACCTCCTCGAGGACGCGAAAGCCGGGCGACCGCTGCAAGCGCCGACGATGCCCTCCACCCCGACCATCGGCGGCTCCCCGCTGTCGCCGTCGTCCACGCACGCGTTGCTCAGCGCGACGGCGTTGTCGACGCCGCCGCTGTCGCCGTCGAAAGCCGCGACGCCGCCGGCGTCGCCGATGTCCCCGGGGAAGCGGCGCGCGGCGGCGGCGGCGGCGAGCGCGGCGGCGAAGCGCCGAGCCCCGGACGCGATCCCGCGGTTTTACTTTGGACCGAACAAAGAAGCGTACGGGGATGAGCAGAGCGCGACGAAGCTCGCGGAGGCGGCGTTGATTTTCGACGGCGAAGCGCTCGACGCGGACGCGTTCAGGAGGGTCACGAGGGAGGTGTGCGAGCTCCCGTCGTACTTCGCGCCGCTCGTGATGCACCGGATACACGGCACGGAGCCGATGGAGGTGGACGAGGACGACCCGACGAAGGCGGCGAACGCGCCGACGGCGCCGGCGAGAGAGCCGGCGCCCGTGACGTGGGCGCAGTTCACGGAATATTGGAACAGCACGCTGAGGAAGCACGCGGACTCGAACGCGCGCGTGTTCGAGGTGTTACGAGGCCCGAAGCCGAACGGCCCGAACGGTCCGAGGGCGTACCTCGAACACGCGGACTTTCGAAGCATCCTGCGGTGTATCCTCGACACGCACCCTGGGCTGGAGTTTTTGAAGGACTCCCCGGAGTTTCAAGACAGATACCTCGAGACGGTGACGTACCGGATATTTTACGCGTGCAACACCGCGTGGAACGGGAAGATGACGCTCAGGGAGCTTCGCCGGTCGAACCTCGTCGAGGCGATGAACCACGTCGACGAGGAGGAGGACATCAACAAAGTTTTGAAGTACTTTTCGTACGAGCACTTCTACGTCATCTACTGCAAGTTTTGGGAGCTCGACACGGATCACGACTTTCTCATCGACAAGGAAGATTTGCTTCGGTACGGGAACCACGCGTTGACGTACCGCGCCGTGGACCGCGTTTTCGCGCAAGCGCCGCGGCGGTTCGTGTCCGGGGTGAAGAACAAGATGGGGTACGAGGACTTCGTGTGGTTCATCCTGAGCGAGGAGGACAAGTCCACGCCGTTGTCGCTGGAGTACTGGTTTCGATGCGTCGACCTCGACGGCGACAGCGAGCTCTCGCCGTCGGAGTGCGCGTTTTTCTACGAAGAGCAGCTCCAGAGGATGGAGTGCCTGTCCCAAGAGCCGGTGCTCTTCGAGGACATTCTGTGCCAGATGTGCGACATGTTGAAGCCCGCGGAGAACGGGAAGATCACTCTGCGTGATCTCAGGCGGTGTAAGCTCGCCGGGAACTTCTTCAACGTGTTGTTCAACCTGAACAAATTCATCGCGTTCGAGACGCGCGACCCGGTGCTCATTCGCCAAGAGCGCGAGGAGCCGCACTTGACGGAGTGGGACCGGTTCGCGCGCCAGGAGTACATTCGTCTGAGCATGGAAGAAGAGGAAGGGATGGCGGAGGGGGGGGAGATGTGGGACGACGGCGACGTGGACGCGTCGCCGTTTTGACCGAGTGCCGTACCCTGTAGGTAGAACTCGACTAGCTAGACTCGAGGGCGGCCGTCGCGGCCGTCCTCGTGATATCATAGTCACGCAACGCGCGCGCGCGTCACACGATCGCCGCCGCACGCGTACACGTACCGTGCAGATCGTTCCCCTCTGTCTCCCCCCGCGCGGTCGCGTCGCGTCACGTCGCCGGCCTGGGCCTGACCGCGTACATCCTCACCTGGAACAGCTCTTGCGGGAACTTCGTCTGAAGCTTGTGTTTCACGATCTCGAAACCGCATCGGTCCTCGAACAGATGCGTGAAGTACTTGTGCGACCGCGTCAGGCTGCTGTCGTCCGTGTCCAACACGAACCCGTCTTTCACGTTGTTCTCTTTCACGTAGATCATCCCCCCGGGCTTCAGACCGATCGCGCAGCGCCTGAAGAACGCCTCGAAGTCGTCGTCCGTGAGGTGCCCGACGCACCACTGCACCCAGATCACGTCGTACCTTCCCGCCTCCGGGGTGAAGCTCTCCAGCGGCTCCGCGAAGAAGTTCACCGCCTTGTGTCCGTTGTACCTCGTCGGCGCGCTCTGTCCGCTCAAGAGCTCCTCCGCCTTGCGAATGAAGTGCTTCACCGGCTCCACGAGGTCGACCTCGTCGAAGTTGTGAATCAAAAACGACGACGTGACGCGCCCGATTCCGGCGCCGCAGTCGCACGCGACGAGCTTCCTCGTCCCGTTCTCCTTCTCCTTCAGCGCGTCCGCCATCGTGCTCTTCAAGAACGCGGTGTTGTCCTTCGCGTCCTGCTCGGAGACGTGCCCGTACCCCCCTAAAACGCCGTCGTCCGTCGCGGGCACCGCGTCCCAGTATTCGATGCCCTTCTTATACCACAACGGCTTCCCGTCCGCGGATCTCTCCCCGGCGGCGACAGCCTTCCAAAGCGCGACGTTCGTGCCGATCGAGACGCCCTTATCGTCCATGCCATGGAACACTTTCGGCATGTCGACAGGTGCGATCGCCGTCGCCGCGGCGGGTAGGCGGGCGGCGCGCGTCACCGTGCGGGGGAGAATCAACTTCGGTCTGGTCGGCACGACGACGCGTCCTGTCTCTTCTGCCGACGTTTAACAACGCGCTGGACGCGCCGAGCGACCAGAGGTCGTCGCGGCGCGACGCGGCCGCGGGCGAAGGATAGGAGGTTCCTTCCGCCCACGATGCGGTCGCAGTCCGAGTACAGGCGGCGACGGGAAGGCGCGACGCCGCAGTGGCGACGGCACCTGGCGCAGGTGAGCGCCGACGCTCCTGAGCCGCGCGCCCGATTCTTATTAGTTGTAGTCCAATTCCACTCTTCCGAGACCCCGCCATCTGACGCTCTCACCCCTCCCTCGCCTTCCAGGTCATCGTCACGTGCGTCATCACGTTCCTGAACGGCGCGGTGCTGCAGCTCAACAAACTCGCGGTCCTGGACGCCGCGGGACGGCAGTACGCGCGCGAATCCTACGCGTCGAAGTCGTCGTTCTTGGTTCCGTTCGCGGTGTTCAAGTCCGTCACGAACCTTCTCGTGGGCGCGCTCGCGGACACGTACGGCCGGCGTACCATCGCGATCATCGGCTGGTGCGTCGGCCTCATGTGCCCGACGCTCGTGTTGTCCGCGTCCACGCACGGCGAAGGCGGGTGGACCGCGGTCGTGACCTCCGCGGCGTTCTTGGGCGTGCAGCAAGGGATGGTCTGGTCGTGCATGATCTACGCCGCGCTCGACCTCTGCGGCGCGCGCGCGCGCGGGTTCGCGTCCGGGCTGAACGAGACGGTCGGGTACACCTCGATCGCGATATTCGCGCAAGTGTACGGCGCGATGGAGCGCGCGTACGTGGAGTGCGCGTGGGTCGACGAGATCGGGGACCGCGCGAGCGAGTGCGTCGCGGTCGGCGCCGGCGCCGGCGCCGGCGCGTCGGAGGGGACGGGGACGTGCGACCGCCCGGACGATTGGACCCCCGCGTGCTTGGGATCGTGCGTGTGCGAGGGGTACACGGAACAGCCGTTCGAGCTGCAGCTCGGGCTGATGCTGCTGGGGCTGGTCGTCACCGCGAGCGTGTTGAAGGAGACGCTCGGGATGTTCTTCGGCGGCGGCGACGACGGCGGCGACGACGCGAAGGAGGCCTCCGCGTTCGCGCGCGTCGACGACGAGAGCGAGGAGGAGGACGAGGGCGACGGGATGACGCACGCGAATGCGGAGGCGGAGGAGGACGAGACGGACCTCCCGCGAGAGACGATGGTCGAGGCGTTCGTGAGGGCGTCGTTCAAGGACGAGAGCCTGCGCGCGCTGTGCCTCGCGTCGTTTTGCGCGAATTTCGAAACCGGCATGGCGTGGGGTTTGATATCTTCGTGGGCCCGGGACGGGCTCCTCATCGGCGGCCGCGAGCGAGACTTCTTCACCGGGTGCTACTCGTTCCTGAAAGGCCTCTCGCAGTTCGGCGCGGGTCTGCTGTCGGATAAGATTGGACGACGCGCGCCGATCGTCGTCGGTTTATTCGGCGGCGCCGTCGCGATGCTCACCGCCGCGTTCGGCGCCGGTTTCCGCGGCCGCCTCCTCGTCGGCTCGGACGCGGACGGCGCCGACCTCGTGACGTTACAGTTCGGTTACCTCGTCCTCGCCGGGGTGTTACTCGGTTTATTCACCGGTTTGATGTACCCGGTGCAGACCGCGGCGGCGGCGGACCACGCCCCGGCGAAGCACTCGAGCCCGGTCATCGGCGTCGTGAGATTTTGGCGCGACCTCGGGTACGCGATGTCCTTGCCCATCGCCGCGGTCGCGGACGCGTCGTCCCCGGAGGCTGCGCTGATCGTGGTCGCGATCATGATGGGCGCCGTGAGCGTTTGGTTCGGGCACGTCTACGAGGAGAAGACGCCGGACGTCGTCGGCGCGGGGCAACGGCGGCGGCGGCGTTCGGCGGGAGGTCTCCGCGGCGGCGGGGCAGGAAACGAGGACGACGGGAAAGTCGTGGAGATGGAGGCGCTCTCGCCGGCGGAGAAGACGCTCACGCGGGGGATGGAGGACGACGGCGGGGAGCGTGTGTAATAAGGGTAGTCATAGTCGGTACCGTAACGCGCGGCTACGTAGCGCGTCTCCGACGGCGGCGTCCGTCGCGCGGCGACGCGTCGCTCACGTCTCCATCGCGTCTCCATCGCCCGGTCCGGCCCCGCCGGGTCCGGGCCCGCCGTGCGCCGGGTGCACCTCAGGCCCCGGGGTCACGTCCACGGGCTTATCCTCCATCCCCTCTGGGAACACGTGCACGCCGTCCGCGCCGAGCGGCATCGGGTGCGTCTCCGCGACGCACTCCAACGGAAGCGGGTCGCTGTGATACACGTGCGCGCACCCGTCCGGGAGCCAGTGCACGCTCACCGAGCCCGTGACCGGGCGCTTGAGCACGCCGACGGGCTCGTCTGGGGACCAAATCACCGCGAGCGGCCACTCTTCCGGGAGCATCTTGAGCAGCACCGCGTCGCCGACGCCCTTGAAGAACCTCGCCGCCACCTCCCTCACCATGCGTCCGTTCGAGGTGTGAATGAACCCGTCCTTGCGGTCCAACTCCGAGCCGCTGATGCCCCCAGCCTCCTGCCACTTCGCGAGGTCCGCGGGTGAGACGATCTTCCACAGGACCTCTAAACCGGGAGGGGTCGCGTCCACGTCCCAGTACTCGTACTTGTCCTTGAGATGCGCCATGGTGCGGCGCCGAATGGAAACAGAAAGAAGGCGCGGACTCGCTCGTCGTTTTTTTTTTTTTTTTTTCGTTCCGAGAGATCTGAAGCGCGTCGCGTCGCGTCGGCGGCATTCCTCACCGCGCCGTCGTCGTCGCCGTGCTCGCGGCGCGCGCGCGCGTCGACATGGTCCTCCTGGTCCTCTACGTCAAAGCCGAGCTCGAGAACGTCGCGTCCATCACGTTCCCCTCCGACATCCAATACCGCTTCGACGTCAAGGACGCGCAATCGGACGAGGCGAAGCAGGGGGTGTACCTGTGCGCGGACGAGGTCGCGGAGGTGGACGGCGGCAGAGGCGACGCCAACTTCGCGATGCGGTTCCCGGACTGCAAGAAGCAGTGCACGGTGTCGTTCACGCCCGTCAAGGGCGTGACGCGCGACACGATCACCGCGGAGGACAGCGGCGCGTTCGTCCCCATCATGGGGTTCGACTGCCGCGGGTTGGAGCTCACGAAGTGGACGCCCACGGAGGGGCTCGTCGTGACGAGCGCGGGGAACACGAAGTGGGAAGGGGTGGACCTGGGCGCGGACCCGGACGGGTGGTTCGAGTACTGCGAGAAGTGCGGCGAGTCTGTCGGGATCACGGAGCTGGAGTTTGAGTTTAGGACGCACAAGGCGAAGTGACGACGGGAAGACGACGCCGCCGCGCGCGCGGGAGCCGCCGACGCGACCAATTGAATCTGATGTCGTCAAGACTAAGATCTCAACTCATCTACAACGCGCGCGTCTCTGCTATGTTCTATGAGCGACGGCGACCTCGCCGTCGCCGTCGATGCGCACACCCCCGCCGTCGCGTCATCCCGTGAAGAACCGTATGAACTTCCCCATGCGATACAGCACGTAAAACCCGAGGAAGAGCGCGAGGCAAAACATCATGAGCACGCACAGGTGCCACGAACTCCCAGACTTGAACGCCTTCTTCATCTCCTTCTGCGCGACTTTCAGCGCCTCCCCGGCTTGCGACATCGTCTCCTCTAGCTGGTCTATGAGCTTCCCGCGTATGCCAGACTCCTCGTGTATCGCCCCGGTCATCTGCTTGAGCATGCTGACCTTCCCGTGCAGCTTCTCGACTTCGTCGTCCACGTCGAAGTCGCTCGCGGACGGCATGTTGAGTTGGACCTCCCCGCCGCTCGCCGCGGGTCTCGACGTGAGCCCTTCCGCGCTGTACGCGCCTCGATACGACATGAGGAGCGCGCTTCCGCGTCCAAAAAGGCGTGGAAGGTTCTGACGTCGCCGGCCGACGCGCGGTGGGCGCGGCGCGTTCTGCCTGGCCGGAAGCGAATTCGCCTCCTTCGTTCCCCGCCCGCGGCATTTTCGACGACCCGCCCCGCTCGCTTCTGTTCTCGAGCGCGTCGAGGGAGGATCCTCCGAGGCGCGCGCCCCAAGGCACAACGCACGGCGCGAGTCACGCCGCGACTCGATCCGAACGCTCACACGAAGACGTTCGCTCGTCCGTGCTCTTCGAAACCGCGGGCGATACGACCGGCGGCGTCGACGCGCGGCGACCGGATCATCGATCGCATTTGGATTCTCGCAGCAGCGCGCGCGCACTGCGTTTGATTAATCTCGTCCGCGAATCGTCGTCGTCGTCGTCGTCATGGGCGGCGAGGAGATAAACGCCGCGTTCAGCGGCAAGCTCGCAGGGTTGAACGCGACGTCGCAGTCGATCGAGACGCTGTCGCACTGGTGCGTGTTCCACAGGAAGCGCGCGAAGACGCTCGTGCCGACGTGGCAGCAAGAGCTCCGGGCGGCGCCGCCGAAGCGAAAACTCACGTTCCTCTACCTCGCCAACGACGTCCTGCAAAACTCGCGGAAGAAGGGCAACGAGTGGATCGAGGCGTGCTGGCCGATCATGGGGTGGGCGGTGAAGCACACGCTGCGCAACACCGGGGACGAGAAGACCGCGAAGAGCTGCGAGAAGCTCGTGAACGTGTGGCAGGATCGGAGGATATTCGGCTCGCGGTCGCTGCGAGATTGGCTCGACGTCGGCGACGGCAGGGATCGAACCGGCGGCGACGACGCGGCCGCGCCGGAAGGGCAACCCGCGGCGCCCGCGGCCGCGCCCGCGGCGCCCGCGGGTCCCGCGGTCGCGCGCAGAAGAGAGGAGCGCCTCGCGGAGGTCCCCGCGGCGTTGACGGGGACGAACGCGTCGCTCGCGAGGGCGTTGGAAGCGGCGGAGAAAGCCGCCGCCGCGCTCGCCGCCGCGGACGCGCTGTGCGAGACGGATCTCAAGCCGGAGGCGTACGCGGACGACGCGCTGGAGACGAGCGACGACCCGGTGAAGGCGCTGCGGGCGCTGCAGGCTGCGGAGAACGCGATCACGGCGAGGAGGGTCGCGTTAGAGGAAGCCGCGGGATGCCACGAAGAAGCCGCGCGATACGCGAAGGACGTTCTCGAGAGATGCGAAGCCGCCGCGGAGGCGCAAGCGGCGGCGCTGGACGACAGCGCGGGGGTGATGGTGAAGGTCGCGACGTTGCGGATGAAAGCGACGAAGCGAGCCGCGGCGGAGCTCGCGAGGCAGGCTGCCGCGGAAGGGGCGGGGAGTAAGAACCCGAAGGCGTCCGCGCCGTCGACGAAGAGCGGCGGCGAAGACCCCGCGCCGGCGGCGGCGGCGGCGGCGACCGAGCCGGCCGGGGACGACGAGTACGTCCCCGAGGGCGGGGACGACGAGTATGTCCCCATGGCGATGGACGACCCGCCGCCCGAGGAGGGCGGCGTGGACGTGGACGCGCTCATGGCGCAGGCGGCGTCGGACCCGGAGGTGATGAAGCAACTTTTGGCGGCGCTCCCGGAGGACCAACGCGCCGCGGTGGAGGAGCAGCTCGCGGCCGCGGGGAAGTGAAGCGACGGCGCGACGAAGCGACCGCGTGATGTGATACGTAGGGCTGATAGTGTGTCTAACAGGCCCTCATGCACTCGCTACATACCTCGATACTGTACTCGTATCGCTCAGAGGCTCTTCTTCGCCTCGGCTTTCATGACCTCCTTCATCACCGCCTTCGCCGTCTTCTTCGCGCTCTGTCGCCGCTCCACGCGCGCCGCGGCTCGGCCGCCGTTCACCACCCTCGGCTTCGCGAACCTGAAGAACTCGAGCTCGCGTCGGAACTGCCTCGCGATCATCGCGCACCCGCTGTACCGCCACGCGACGTCCCTGACCGCGCGCGCGAAGCGCGTGTTCCTCGCCAAAAACGACGGGACGACGACGACGACGATCACGAAGACGCCCTTCAACACCGCGTTCACGAGCGCGTCCGCGGCGGCGTACGCCAAGTCCGGCTTCCCGGACGGACCGTCCCCGCTCGCGACGCGATCCTCCGCCTCTCGCAGCTCCTTCAGCCGCTTCGACGCTCTCTTATCGTGCTCGTTCGAGGCTAAGAGTTGCTTAAACAACGCGCGCGCCGTCGCCGCGTCCGCGAAATCCCCGGCTTCGTTCCTCGCGTCCGCCCTCGGGCACCCGAGGGTCTCGTCCGCGATGAGCGACCCGCTGAATCGCGCGAGAAGCGCCTCGCCCGCGCGCAAGTTCCCGACCTCGTACCCGGCGTTCCCGGCTCTTCTGTACGCGTCCACGAGTTTGGCGCCGCACCGGGACTCGCCCGCCGGCGGCGCGCACGCGTGCGCGTTCGCGCCCAGCAGTTGCACCGCGGGCATCTTCCCCGCGTCCTCGTGCGACGCCGCGGCGAGGAGAATCTCCCCCGCGGCGCGCCTCGCGTCCGCTTCTCCGCGCGCGATCGCCTCCGCCTCCTCCTCCTCGGTCTCTTCCGGTCCGTCCGCGGGCGCGGCGTACTGGAGATCGGTCTTGCACTCCCCCGCGGCGAGGCAGCACCCGAGCGCGAGCTGCTCCGGGAACCGCAAGCTCGTCGGATTCGGGACCGCGTGCGCGTACCCGGCGAGGTCGCCCGGGGAGTGGTACATCGCGCGCTGTCGGACGTCCTCTAAGAAGGCGCGGAGCTTCGCGTCCTCGCGCAGCGCGCGTAAGATGGTCTTCTCGCAGAACGCCTCCGTCTCCGCGCACGCGGCGGCGCCCATGGCTTCCAAGCCCCGCGACGGCGGCGGCGACGACGCGGACGCGGACGCGAGGATCGTCGCGAGTAGGACGCTCAGCAGCGTCGCGATGACTCGCGTCATGACGCCGCGCGTGCGCCGCGCGAACTCGATCTGACGATCTGAAATACTGAAACCTCGCGGAAGGTGATGCTATGTCGCTTTTTCCCCGCCGCGACCGCGACCGCACGCCGTCCTATCGCCCCACTCGTCCCCGCGCGCCGCACGCGCGCGTCCGGGCGTCGTCATCGTCATGACGCACCCCGCGGTCGCCACCGCCGCCGCGCCCGCGTCGAGCGGCGAAGCGAACGCGCCCGAGGAGACGCACTGCGCGCTCGTCGAGGAGGCGGTCCGCGTCGCGGTTCAAACGAATCACTTCGTCGTCGCCGCGGACGCGATGGCGGCGCTATTGAGAGCGCGCGGCGCGGACGCGATCGACCTCCTGCACGAGTTCGTGGGAACGACGCAAAAGTACGCGATACCGCCGACGTCGCGGTTCTACGTCGGCGCCGCGGCGTTGGGCGCCTCGGGCGCGGTGTTCCTCGGCGTCAACGTCGAGTTCCCCGGGCTGCCTCTGAACGCGAGCGTGCACGCGGAGCAGTTCGCGCTCGTGACCGCGCTCAGGGCGAACGAGACGCGCCTCGTCGCGATCGCGACGACCGCGGCGCCGTGCGGGCACTGCCGCCAGTTCATGAACGAGCTCAGGCACGCGTCGGAGCTGTGCTGCGTGATACCCGAGGACGCGAAGGCGCCGGGGGGTCGGCCGGGGGCGAAGTTCGCGAGATACGCGCTCAGAGAGCTGCTCCCGCACTCGTTCGGGCCTTTAGATTTGACCCACGACGTGAAGTTGCCGCTGCTGTTAGAGTCACGGCATAACCGCCTCGCGTTCGCGGACGACGACGACGGCGGCGGCGGCGGCGGCGGCGCGACGACGAGCGGCGGCGGCGGCGGCGGCGGCGGCGGCGCGACGGGTAGAGAAAGAGAAAACGCCGCCGCGGAGGCCCTCCTCGCGACGCGAGAAGCGTGCTTCGCGTACGCGCCGTACAGCCACAGCCCCGCGGGTCTGGCGCTGACGACGTCGTCCGGGGGCGTCTACGCGGGACGGTCCGTCGAGAGCGCGGCGTACAACCCGTCGATGTCTCCGCTGCACGTCGCGCTCGTCGCCGCGACGTGCGGCGAACGGTACTCGGAGGACGGCGGCGGCGGCGGCGGCGGCGGCGGCGACGGTGGGTGGGGGGTGACGAGCGCGACGCTGGCGGAGGTCGACGGCGCCGCGGTGTCGTACGAGGGGTGGTGCCGGTTGATGCTCGGCGTGATCGCCCCGGGCGTGGCGTTGACCGTCGTGAAGTTGAAGCGCGAGGACGTCGCGGCGTAGCCCTCTCGCTGGTTATTTGTCGGAAACTGTCATCCGGGATCTTGAGCTGCTCGCATTCCACTCGCGACACGTGCAAACAAAAAGCCGCGTCAGCCTCGGCACGAATCCCCGGACGCGCGTAGATTCGGACGCGCGACGGTCGCGAATATCGCTCCGCGCGACTTGAAACGTTCCCGCACGTCTCCACGCGTGTGATTCCAGCGCGTTTGTCGAGTCCGTCGTCTCGCTCACGACGCCAAGACGCGTCGGCAACCCGAGGAAAGTCTGGTGACGCGAAGAAGATATTTGCCGACAGAGAACGAGCGAAAGATGCAACAACTTTTCAGCTCGAGCAAGAGGAGCGTCGACCTCGACGATATGGACGACCCGAGCGCGGGGACGAACGATAGGTGCGTGCTACCCGAGCGCGAACACGCGAGTTTGGGGTTCTTTCGCGCGACATTCGTCGCGAGCGCGCGCGTCTCCGGAGAGAAATTCCGTCTCCGGTACACGTACAGCTGGCAAAAAGAGAAATTGTATCGGCGACCGTCCGCTGACCTCCCCTCTTCCCCTTCTCGCAGGTCGAGGCAAGGCGGCGTCGACGCGAAAGTGCACAAGAAGCTGAAAGGCGGCATGCGGCGCGTCGACTCGGTCGAGCTCGCGAAACTCAGGATACCGCAGGCGGTCAGGTCGAACAAAAAACGCGGAACCTCGCGAATGATGCGAGAGCGACAGGCGGGCGCTAGCCGAGGGAACGGCGGAAGCGGCGGGTCGCTGTCGTTCATGGGCATCGGCGGCGGCGTGGGCGAGATGATCAAGTCGTGACCGCGACGCATGGGCGGGTGGGAGTCGTGTTTAGCAGCGGACGCACGGAAGAGGAGGACGGGTCTGCGCTCGCGTCCATCTGATGTAGCAGCCGGCGGCGCGCGTCGTCGGCTCATCGCGCGCACGGTTACTGTATAAAGGCTTAACCTTGTAGATACGACTGACAACAACACTCGTCAAAAAATCATGCTTCTCTCTCGCGTTCAGATGTCCACCTCGCCCGAGATGTTGAGCGCCGCCGCCGCGGTGTTCACGTCCTTGTCGCCGCGCCCGCTGCAGTTCAGGATGACCTTCTGCCCCTTCTTCAGCGTCGGCATGAGCTTCTCGAGGTAGGCGAAGGCGTGAGACGTCTCGAGCGCGGGGATGATCCCCTCGCATCGCGACACTCTGACGAACGCGTCGAGCGCCTCCTGGTCCGTCACCGCGTGGTACTCCGCGCGTCCGAAATCTTTGAGGAACGAGTGCTCCGGGCCGATGCCGGGGTAGTCCAGACCGGCGGAGATGCTGTGCGGCTCGATGATCTGCCCCTCCTCGTCCTGGATCAGGTACGAAAACGAGCCGTGCAAGACGCCGGGCGAACCGAGCGTGAGCGTCGCCGCGTGCTTCTGCCCCGGTCCCATGCCCTCGCCCGCGGCCTCGACGCCGATGATCCTCACGTCCTCGTCGTCGATGAACTCGTGGAACAGACCCATCGCGTTCGAGCCGCCGCCGACGCACGCGACCAGCACGTCCGGCTTGCCTCCCCATTTTTCGAGCGACTGCGCCCTCGCCTCCTTGCCGATCACCGCGTGGAAGTCGCGAACCATCATCGGGTACGGGTGCGGGCCCGCGACGGACCCGAGGATGTAGTGCGTCGTCTCCACGTTCGTGACCCAGTCGCGGATCGCCTCGGACGTCGCGTCCTTGAGCGTCGCGGTCCCCGCGCGCACGGGCGTGACCGTCGCGCCGAGAAGACGCATCCTGAAGACGTTGAGCTTCTGGCGCTCCATGTCCGCGGCGCCCATGTAGATGATGCACTCGAGGCCGAAGCGCGCGCACACGGTCGCGGTGGCGACGCCGTGCTGCCCCGCGCCCGTCTCCGCGATGATGCGCTTCTTCCCCATTCGCTTCGCGAGGAGGGCCTGGCCGACGGCGTTGTTGATCTTGTGCGCGCCCGTGTGGTTGAGGTCCTCACGCTTGAGGTAGATGTCCGCGGTGCCGTAGAGCTCCGTGAGCCTCTCCGCGAAGTACAGCGGGTTCGCGCGGCCGACGTAGTCCTTCAGGATGCTGCTGAGCTCAGCCTGTGGACGGGGGGGGGGGTTGCGCGACGAGGGAGGGAGCGCGGAGGGTCAGCAGGACGGTAGAGGATAATAAAATAAATGAAGAGGGGCGACGACAAAATTGCAATTGCGGCGACGGATCGCGCGCGCGGCGATCGCTCGCGCGCGCGTCCTCGCGAGACGCGTCGCGACCGCGCGTCCTCGCGAGGCTGGCTGAGAACTAACTCGGCGACGTTCGCGCGCGACGCGACGTGACGTGACGTGACGCGCACCTGGAACGACGCGTCGCCCGCGAGCGTCGCGTACTCGTCCTGAAGCTCCTGAAGCGCCGGGATGAGCGTCTCCGGAACGTACTTCCCTCCGTACGCGCCGAAGCGTCCGGTCTCGTCCGGGCGCTGCACGTCCTTGATGCTCGTCTTCGGCGGGTCCACGATCGCGGCGCGCGTCGTGGAGACGCGCGAGACGCGGCGCGGGTTCGCGCCCTTCGCGCGCGCGCGAAGGGACGTCGCCCCGGGGGTCAGCGCCGTCGCGGCGGAGATCGCGCGCATGGCTCTTCTGGCTCTGGCTCTGGCTCGCGCGGGCGAGGCGGCGGGATCGGACGGTCGAACGCGGCGTGAACGCGCGCGCGACGTGAGCGATGTGGCCGTGAGTTCGCGGGAAACGAACTTTAACGGCGCGACGTGCCGAAGCGACGCGCGGTCGTGAGTGACGGCGGGCGGCGAGCGGCGCGCGAAGACGGGCCTCGGACGCGTGAGGCGTGACGTCGACGACAGCGAGGCAAGATGAAAGAAGATCTCGCTTCGCGACCGTCGACGGCGTACTCGATCCGAACTGGCAAACAGTCAGAAACGACTTCGTACAGTACACCTCTACGCGCTACGAGGAGGGCTGGAGGAATTCGCGACTTTTTTCTCGCTGCTGTGCGTGTCTCCCGCTTCCGATCGTGCCCACTCCGATCGCCGCCGCGGCCTCGGTTCCGCACGCGCGCGATGTCCGCCGAGGATCCCGCCCCAGACGCCGCGCCCGCCGCGGCGACGGAAGAACCCCCCGCCGCGGAGACGCCCGCGCCCGCGCCCGCGCCCGCGCCCGCGGCGGACGACGCCGCGCCGGTCGCCGCGAGCGAGATCGACGCCGCCGCGGACGCGCTCGAGAAGGTGGGCGTGTCCCCGCCCGCGGATCCGGACGCGCCGGACGCGCCGGACCTCGCGCTGAAGTCGGACGTGCTCGTGGAGGAGCCGGAGACGGAGGTGGTGAAGACGGTCGTGTCGGACACGCCGTACGCGAGCGCGAAGTCGTTCGAGGAGCTCGGCCTGAGCGAGGAGCTCCTGCGGGGGTTATACAGCGAGATGAAGTTCGAGCGCCCGTCGAAGATCCAAGGCGAGACGCTTCCGATGATTCTCACGCCGCCGTACCGTAACCTGATCGCGCAAGCGCACAACGGTTCCGGGAAGACGACGTGCTTCACGCTCGGCATGCTCTCCCGCGTGGACCCGACGAGCCAGTCCCCGCAGGCGTTGTGCATCTGTCCGACGCGCGAGCTCGCGATTCAAAACGTCAACGTCATGGAAAAGATGGGCAAGTACGCGAACATCTCGATCGCGTACACCGCGGACCCGCGGTGGACCGAGCGCGCGAGTCGACGGGATAAGATCGTCGACCAGGTCGTGATCGGGACGCCCGGTAAGGTGTTGGGGTGGATGCGCGAGAAACAGCTCAACTGCGCGGGGATGAAAATCTTGGTCTTCGACGAGGCGGACCAGATGATGGACACGGACGGCCACCGCGTGGACTCGCTGAAGATCATGAAGCACCTCAAGACGAGCACGAAGCAGATGCCGCAGGTGTTGCTGTTCTCCGCGACGTTCTCCGAGCGCGTGAAGGACTTCAGCACGAAAGTGGTGCCGAACGCGAACCAGATCTTCCTTCCGGCGCACGAGCTCTCGTTGGACGTGATCAAGCAGTACCGCGTCAACGTCACGTCCACGGACGCGAAGGAGGTTTTACTCAAGGAGAAAATCTTCCCGCTGTGCGATAAGATCGGCCAGACGATCATCTTCGTTCGGACGCGCGAGGGGTGCAAGCGTTTGATGCGCGCGATGAACGCGGCCGGGTACAAGTGCACCGCGATCGAGGGCGGGATGGATCACGCCGATCGCGACCGCGTCGTGAAGGAGTTTAGGGACGGCCTGACGAAGATTCTCATCTCCACGGACGTCCTCTCTCGCGGTTTGGACGTCAGCACGGTGACGCTGGTCATCAACTACGACATGCCCGTGGAGCACAGCAACCCGAGGCAGCCAAACTTCGAGACGTATCTGCACAGGATCGGCAGAAGCGGTCGGTTCGGGAAGAAGGGCGCGGCGTTTAACCTCCTCCTCGGCGCGGACGAGAAAGCCGTCTTGGACTCGATCGCGGATCACTTCGATCACCCGGTGCCGGAGGTGAAGTTCGAGGACGACGACGCGTTCGAGAAAGTTCTGGAGGAGGCGGGGTTGATGTCCAAGGAGGATTAAACGAACGGCGGTGGACGGACGCGGCGCGGCTGGACGAGAGCGACCTACTAAACGTTTTAGGAATGACGATGAGGAGCGAACCCCCATAGATCTACGGACGCGAACGCTGCGCGACGCTACTCGACCTTCTTCTCCGCGACGCGCGTCAGGACGCCCTCTTCCTTCTCCGTCAGCGCGAACCCGAACGCCCGCTTCACCCTCGGTTTCAGCCACCGATACGTGAACCAATCCTGCCTCACCCACCGCAGGTACCCTCGTCGATGCGCCCACCCGACGAGGAACGGCAGCAGCGCGTGCAGCGGGACGCAACACGGGCCGATGCAGATCACGACCATGACGACGACCCCCGGGGCGACACGATCGTCTCCCTCGTCGCGGCGGCGATCCCGCGCTTCCGATCGTCCGAAGGCGTCGACGCGCGGATTGGGGGCGCGACGCGAACGCGACGAGTGCCGAAAAGCGCGCGGACGAAAACACCTGAAAACGAGCTCGTGTGAGAAAAGTTTCACCGATCGAGTTTCAACCTCGAGTTTCACCCCGGCACTCGAAATCGCGAGACGGTGAAACTCGAACCGTGAACGACGGTCTGCCCACGCGCGACCAATCAGCGCTCACGCTGAAACTCGCGCGTCCACTTGGCGACCGAGATATTGCGGAACGCACAACGAACGACACGCGATGATGGCACCTCACGCGGAACGCGCGTTCGGATGAGAGCGGGAGGGGATACGAACATGAGTACCCCTCCCATGGCGCACCACACGATAGATATCGCGCTCCGACCGCCGCTGTTGAGCGCGCGCGAGGCGAACCTGTGGGTCGAGGACGACGGCGACGCGTCCCCGGACGCGCCCAGCCTGCGCGAAGGGTTATCTTCGTCGCCCGCGTCGTCGAGCTCGCCGCAAGGGAAGCCGACGCTCGTGCTGAGCCGCGTCGACGGCTGCGGCGAAGAGATGCGGTTCGAGCTGCCTCAGGGTGCGTCTCGATTCGCGCTGCATCACCTCGCGCGACACCATGTGGCGACGTCGGCGCGACGCGTCGCCTCGCTCCCGATCGATTCGTTTCGCGCGCTCGTTTTTCTTCGCTCGCGCGCTTCGCAACGGCCCGACGGGTCGAGGACGCGCTGACGCCCTCCGTCGTCTCGTCGTCGACGATGATCAATCACAGGCGCGGCGAGCGACGGCATCCGAGCGAAGCTCCGCAAAGGCGGCGCGCAGCTGCGCGTGAGCGTCCCCCTGCGCGCGCTCGTCGTCCCCAGCGAGCGCTCGACTGGCGCGGGAGGAGGCGCGCGCCTCGATCCGTCAAATCCGTCCGATCAGCCCCCCGCGACGATGACGACGACGACGACGACGGCGCGCCCCGGACACCCGGGGGGCGGGCGCACGCCCGGCTGCGAGACGCGCTCGAACGAAACCCCGCGCGAGCGCACGCAGCGGTACGCCTCCTCGAGCGGCTCGGAAGACACCGACCGCGCGGACGGCGGCGACGCGAGCGCGTCCTCGCACCTCGCGTCGCTGGATTTCGGCCCGGGGTGCGACGCGTGCGCGGTGAGAGGCCGCGCGGGCGATCGAAGCGTCGTCGCGACGCGACGAATCAAGCGCGGGGACATCGTCGTCTTCGAAGCCCCCGCGGCGTCGGTCAAAGCCGGCGAGGCGAACCCCTCGGGCGCGCTGAAGCGCGCGTTCAAGCCCCGGAACGCCGACGGCTCGAGGCGCGCCGCCGCCGTCTCTTCCGACGGCGTCTCGAACCCCGCGATCGACGTCTCGTCGTTGATCCCGCACGAGTGGACGCTCACGCGCGCGCTGCTCGTGGACCCGGCCGCGCGCGGCGCGCACTACGCCGATCGCGCGCCGAGGGAGTGGGCGGCGGAGTACGGGAGGATACGCCCCGGGAGGAGAGACGCCGACGCCAACCCGGAGCGCGAGAGGCACGAGTTGCACGTCGCCAGCGAGCTCGCGGAGGAGATCGGCGGAGACGTCACCGTGGACGACGTCGTCGCCGTGCACGCCGTCGTGTGCGCGAACGCGTTCGCGCTGGAGGCGATGTGCACGCGCTTGAACTACGGCGCCGGGTTCTTCGCGGCGGCGGCGTACATGAACCACAGCTGCGATCCGAACTGTCTGTCGCTGCGGTTGGGCGGGAACATGGCGGTGTTCGCCGCGAGGGACGTTCACCCCGGGGAGGAGCTCACGCACTCGTACCTCCCGTCGCATCAGCTGCTGCTTCCGCGACGCGCGCGGCGGTCGCATCTATTCTTCGACTGCCGGTGCGTGCGCTGTCTGAAGCGCGCGCAGGTTTCGAGGAGGAAGAACGACCCGATCGGGTGGATCCCGGAGTGCGCCGGGACGAAAGAGCGGCCCGGGTTGGAGCTCGGCGGGGAGTCCCCGGTGAGCCGAACCGCGCTCGCGAACGCGGCGTTCGACCTGAAAACCGCCGCCGTCGGAGGGACGCCGTGGGACGTTCTGCAGGTGTTCAAGGAGGACATCTTAGACGCCGCGCCGAGGGACGGCGGCGGGTGGTACGTCAACGTCGAGACACTGCAGGACCTCTCCCCGCAGGCGTCGCTCGAGCTGTTGGAGCCCGTGATCGACGCGCACTGGCGCGCGGCGCTCGACTGCGGGAACGTCTTGGAGAAGCGGCAGCGGATACCGCTCCCGTGCGACGTCGGTCGAAGGACGCGGTGCAGGCCGCCGTCCTCGGACGAGCTTCCCCCCGACGCGCAGCCGCCGGACGCGCAGCTCGCGGCGAGCGCGGCGAGAGTGTGGAGAGATTCCATCGCGGCGCTGCGCGCGCGAGCCGAGGTGGAGGGCGGCGGCGTCCTCGCGGCGTTGGAGCAAGCGCTCGCCGCCGCGGAGGTTTCCTTGTATGCCATGGAGGCTGCGGAGGGGGGCAGTGGCGGGAACGAAACCGCCGCGCGCAAGGCGTTACAGTACCTTGTCGCCGCGCACGGGGACTCGCTCGCGTGCGCGCAGGAGGACACGCTGTGCCTTCGCGCGATGCCGGCGCAGTCCGCGGCGGCGGCGGCGTTCGAGCGCATCTTAGCAAGCGTCGCGCAGAGCCAGGGCGGCGAGCGCGGCTTGACCGCGCCGTCTCCGCACCCCGCGCCGCTCTCCGCGCTCACGGCGTCGCCTGTGGTCGTCGTCCCGGAACCGCGCGCGCTCGGGCACCTCTCGACGTCCGAGAGCGAGGACGACGGCGGCGAGAACAGGATGGAGCTCGACCCGAGGACGCTGCGGACGATGGCGAACACGTTTTGCGAAGCCGGGATCGCGCCGACGCCGCCGCCGTTCGGCGTGCGCGCGGACGAGGACGACGAGTGCGCGGGATTGGGAGAGATAGACGGGGGGATGGAAGAGATAGACGAAGACGACGACGACGCGGCGCCGCCGGAGACGGAGAACGACGAGCCGCAGTGGCCCGGGAAAGTATTAGAAGGCGTCGGCGCGGGCTGGGAGAAGCCGCCGCCGGGCACGCCGCTTAGGGCGAAGCAACCGACGAGACCGCCGCCGCGACGGTCGCCTCGAAACCAGAAGCCGATCAGCAGCGGCGACACGCACGCGAGCGAGTCCACGCGCGTGCAGCAGGTTGAGCCGAGCGCGTCGAACGGATCGAACGGCGCGGTGATGGAAAGCGAAGACGCCGTCGCGGCGTGGAACCTCGTCGCGAAGAACGCGAACACGCCGCCGAAGAAAGTCGGCGGCGGCGGTGGCGCGTTGCTCGCGCTGTTAGGTTCGCCCGAGAGCGACCCGAGGATACGCGCGTTCGTGACGTCGCTGTTGGAGCCGTCGTCGCCGTCGTCCTCGCCGGAGAGCTCCGCTGTAGGGACGCGCAAGGCGAAGAAAGCTGCGAGAATCGCACGCGCGCTTCCCGCGCCCGAAGTGAAGGCGTTCCCTCCGTCGTCCAAGTACGTCAGCTACAAGCCCCTCGGAATTTCGCTGTGCTTCGAGAAGGGCATCTTAGACTGCGTGCACGCGTACGCGGAAGGCGTGGACGGTTTCAACGCGTTCGTCGGAGAGCTGCCGCACGAGCTCAAGCTCGGCGCGCCGCCCGGGTCGACGACGACGCCCGGACCGGACCGCGCGCGGAGCGTCGTCTCGCGCCTCGGCGAGCCGTCGCAGAAGGGCGGGCAGGGAAGGCAGGTGTGGATGACGTACGCGGACCTCGGCGTGAAGGTGGACGTGGCGGCGGTGGATTGGGAGGACAGCGACGCGCCGATTAAGGGGGTGTCGATCTGGAAGCCGTGATCGACGAGGTGTACAGTATAGGATTGAACTACGACGTTTGACGATAAGCGCGCGCGACGTTCGACGACGCGCTCGCGCTCAACAGCTCGTGTACTCCTTGCACTCCGTCGAGTGCTCGCTCGACTTTGTGCGATGGCTCGACGTGCCTCGACGCTCACCCGCGCTCGTCTTATCCGCGTCCTCGTCCCGGTCGGAATCCCTCCGCGGCGTGGACTCGTGCGCTTCGTTCGCTCGGTCCCCGTCCCCTCTCCCCGCCGCCGCCGCCGCCGTATCCGTCCCTTCCTCGCGCGTCGGCGTGCTCTGCAATATCGGCTGCAGCTTCCTCATGATCTCCGCCCTCGCCGCCGCGCTATCATCCTCGTCCACCTCGCCCGCACGACGCTCGTCGTCGTCGTCGTCTCTCTCCGCGGGCCGATCCGTCGGACCCGGGACGAACGCGGGGGATCGCATGTTCAACGGCGAGTGCGCCCAGTTTTTCGCCGCCGCCTTGAACGCGTCCCGGTGGTTTAAACCCGGGTCTTTCTCTTTCAACCGCGGTATTTCCTCTCGTATGAAGACGTTATACGGGCTCGGGTCTCGCGGTTTACGCTCGCGCTTGAGAATCTTTTGATGCCGCGGGTTCGCGTCGTAGTAGTCGTCGTCGTCGTCGCGGCGCCCCCGGTGGGGTATTTCCGACGGGTTCCACCAAAACTCGTGCGCGGCCGCGCGCAGGACGCGATCGACCCGCTCGTCGCTCTCGTGCTCGCACGGCGGCAAGGACAGCTGCGCGAGCGGCGACGTCGCGGGCATCGCCGGGAAGCTCACATGCCCGGCGCTCGGGTTCGAATGCTGCGCGGCCATGTCCATGTGATACCGCGCGAGCCTGAGGTGTCGCTCGTGTTCCGGGTTGGACGCGCGCGAGCGTCCCGGTCCGCAACCCGCGACGCCCGCGCCCGCGCCGCCGTCGTCGTCGTCGCCGCCGCCGCCGCTCACGCGGTCACCGCTCAGGAGCGATCCGGGCGGCGCGAGTCCGATTCCGTCGCCCGGCTCGCCGCGCGCGAACAGCCCCGGCGTGGACGGCGACAGCAGCGGCGGGACCGCGACCTGAAGGAGCGTCTCGCACGCGCCGCAGCGCACGGCGACGCCTCGCGCGTCGACGCGCAGCGACGACGGGACGCGCACCTCGAGGCGGCTGCGGCACCGGTCGCAGTCCACGTGCACGAGCGTCCCGCGGTCGTCGTCGACGAGGCCCGCGACCGCGGCGGCGACGTCCGCGCTCGCGTCCGCGGTCATGCTCCTCGCGCGACTGGACGACGCGCGCGGACGCGACGCGTGTGAAGGCGACGCGGCGTCGCCTCGAAACGGTTCGCGTCTCGGGAAGCCTGACGGTCGCCGAGGGCGAATGACGTCGCGACAGGTGGACCGGTCCGGTCGTCGGCGCGCCCGAGGACGACGCCCGCGACGGTTCCCCTCCCGCGAGAGACGGACCAGCCGAGGGAAAAACCAAAACTCCCTCCCGTCCGCGCTCGACGTCGCGTCCGTCGCGCGTCGCCCGTCGCGTCGGTCACTCAACGCGCGCGCGCCGCACGCACGCCGCACGCGCCCACGGCTTTTCCGCCCCGCACCGCGCCCGCCTCCCCGCCCGCGTCGCCGTCGCCATGACCGCCGACGCCGAGAAGAAGGTCATCACGATCAACGTCAAGCTGCTTCCGAAGTATCACAGCGACCACGCGCAGCTGACGCGGTACCAGCTCGGGCACCGCAAGGACTACGTCGGGAAGCTCACGCGCGTGAAGTGCTCGCCGAGCGACACGATCAAGGAACTGAAGGCGCAGATCGAGAGTGCGCGCCTCCTCCGCGGCGATCCCTCGCGCGGCGGACGCGGTGCGGCGCGACGCGACGCGACGCGACGCGCGACGCCCTCGTTCCTCCGAGTCGTTTTCCCCCGTCCGTTGACGCGACGTCCCTCCCGAGGCTGACCTCGCCTCCCCGACTCCTTCGACCGACCCCCGCGCCCTCCCCGCGCGCAGAAGAACGCGGCTCGCCCGTTCAATACGTCAAGAGAGGCGGCACCCCCACGGGCGTCATCCTCTCCGACGACGCGACGCTCGAGTCTCTCGGGTTAGACTACGACATGTCCGTGTACGAGCACCTGTGGGAAGACAGCGACGAGAACCAAGAGAAATTCGTCGTCGACCGCGAGAAGGTTCGAGAGATGGTCGGCATGTTCATGATGGAGCACCCGGACATCGGTCGGCACGGCCCGGAGGTCACCGGCGAGGCCGAGGACCCGAAAGACTGGACCGCGAAGAATCTCAAGAAGCGCGAAAACATGGAGAAAGAAGTCCAGAAAGAGCGCGAGCGGAAGCAAAAGCGACGCGAAGAAGAAGCCGCGAAAGCGACCGCGGCCGCAAAGGCGGCGAAGGAAGGCAAGCCGGTCGCGGCGTGATGAAAAGGAAAAGTAACACCCGCGTCGTGCACATTTCGTTTTGTACTCCTTGATGAGAATTACACTGATCTATACATCACCCACGTCGTCTCTCCTCCGCGAGCGCGAGTTCAAACGGCAGCGTCTTCGGCTTCCACATCGCCGGATGCCTCAACGCCACGAACGTCATCATCACGAGCAACGGCCGTAACACGTTCATGAACAAGAGAACCCCCGCGGTCGCGAAGCACGCGACCATGAACGCGCTGCTCCGCTCCGGGTTCACCCACGTGAGCAAGTCGTGCAGGGCTTCCAGAGCGAGCGCGACCCGCCGCGTCGTCGCTTGCGTCCAGTATGCGAATTGCACGCACGCTTCGTACGCGCCCGGTCTCGGGGACAGACCCATCGCGGCCGCGGCGGCGGCGACGCCCTCGTCCATCTCGGAGCCGCCTGACAGTTTCTTTTTCGACGCGGCGACGCCTTCGATGAGCTCCGGAGGCGCGGCCTCGCCGAGCGTCTCCGCGGCCTCCACGCCCGCGAGCGCGGACCCGGGAGGCGCGGCGCCGATATCCGAGGATCCCGCGTCCGTGGACTTATCCGGTCCGAGCAGCGTCCACGCCGTCGGGCGACGCGAGCAGATCGCGTGGAACGCGAGCCATATGCACGCCTTCGGGATCACCATCCACGGGTGGTAGATCGCGCCGAGGATCATGACGTGCAGGAGACCTGCGGCGATCGGGGATTCCCACGACGTCGCGCGCGAGAGGAACGACAGCTCGGCTTCAAAGGGCGACAACGCCGCGGCGATGCGAACGACGTGCGCTTTGGACGCCGCCGCGGCCATCGCGGGCGTCTCCTCACGATCCAACGCCTTCTTTTCGTCTTCATCCGGCGGCAGCATCGCGTACACCATGCTCGACGGCAGCGGCGAAGCCCCGGAGAGCAATCCTTCCTCGACGTTTCGATGCGCGAGGGATTTCAACTCTTCAAGGTCGCCGCGGCCGCCCACGCCGGCGTGCGCGTACGCCGACCGCGGGAACGCGGGAGTCACGTACTTCGCGAGCGTCGCCAAGGTCGACGCGGCGGGCGTGTACATCGCCCGAATCGTGATCTCCGCGTTGTCGTTCGCCGCCACGCCTCCTTTCAACGCCAGCGTCGATTGCATCGGGTATCCGCGCGGCAAGCGCGCGACCGGGACGTCGACGAAACCGAGCGCCTCGTCGTCCTCCGCGCTGTCGAAGACGCCGATCCGCGCGACCGCGCCGGCGTCGTAGATCGCGGCGACGATCTCTCGTCTCCACGCCGGCGGCGCGACGTCCTTCCCCGCGGGGAGGTAGACCCACACGCCGTTGATTTCCAACATCGCGGAGGGTTCCACGTTGCGCTCGCGCCCGGGCGGGGTGAGCCCCCGCGCGCGAATGATCTCGAGAGACAGCGTACCGAGGGGTTCATCGCGCCCGATAGACGCCGTCGGGCCGCACGCTTCGTCCACGAACGCCTCGAGGAGAATCTCCCCGAGTTTTCCCTCGCTCGCGTCCTCGCTCGTCTCCTCGCCGCTTCCGAATAACGAATTGTACATCTCCCTCGGAATCGTCTCGAGCATCGACGTCGGCGAGCTCGGCGCCGCCGAGCTCGGCGGTTTCCGCAGCGGCATCCATCGCTGCCGGCTCTTCCCGCGCAGCTTCGGCCGCAGCTTCAGCGCGGCGAGCTCCACGCTCGCGCGCCCGATGATCTTACCGTCGTCGGAGACGACGTCGACGGTTAAGACGCCGCTGCGAGGTTCGGACGCCGCAAACGTCACCGCGCCCTTCTCCCCCCACGCCGCCTGCGTCGACGGCGTGTTCGACGCCGCGGGCGTGCTCCCGACGAAGTCGCCGTAACGAAACTCGCATCGAAAATCGTTCGTCCGCGCGACGCCTCGGACCGCGCGCGCGGCGGCGGTCACGCGACACACCGGCGGCGGCGTTCTCACCACCGTCGGCTCAGTCGCGCCCCACGCTTCTCCGCTGAAGAAACCATCCCCGGGTTCCGCGTTCAGGACGTTCTCACCTAGGCTAACGACGTCCGCGTACGTTCCTATCCACGCGGTGACGGTGAGCTCGCCGACGACGCCGAGCGGCGACGTCGCGTCCACGCCGGTCGCGCTCCCCGGGGGCACGAGGCCCATCGTGAACGGCGACTTTCGCGCCTTTTTTCCTCCATCCGCGCCACGGTACAACGCCGCGAGCGGGAGGTTCGCCTCGCCCAAGACGGCTAAACCGCCCCCGGCGGCGACGGAGAGGGACAGACTGTCCGCCGCGAGGTCGCACTCGGTCGCGGGGAAGACCATCGCTCTGTCGAACGCGCACGGGGCGCCCTTCTTCAGCGTCTTTTGCGCGGGCGTCGACGCGCCAAAGCGTCCGAGCGCCGCGGTGCACATCGGCACGCTCCCGAGCGCGCTGGAGGGCAGGTACCCCGCCTGCGCGACGTGCACGATGACGTACTGCTCCGGGTCGAACCCGACGCGGATCGGCGACGTCACCCTCGCGGCCGGGTCGCCGCCGTGAACTTCCTCCGCCGGCGACAGCGGCACAGAGTCGAGCACGTCCACGAGCGCGTCGTACGTCTTGTTCACGTCGTCGATGCCTTCGAACGTGACGACGTCCCCGGTGGTCGTCCCGATGAGCAACGACTTGTTTCCGGTCAACTCGAGTTCGTTCACCGCCTTCCCGGGGGTGGTCCAGGCCACGGAACCGGGCTCCAAGCCGAGCGCGCCGAACGCGATCTCGTAATTGAACACGTACAGGTGACCCCGCGTGCCCTCGAGCGAGCACGCGATCGTCTTCACCAGCGGCGTCGTCGCCGCGTCGAGATTGAAAAACTCCGCGGCGGCGGACGCGCCCGCGGCGCCGTCGTTCGACGTCGTCGCCGCGTTGACTCGGTCGCCGCTTCCGAAAAGCCGCGCGAACGCGTTTTGCAAGCTCGCCGCCGTCGAGTTGTCCTCCTTCATCGCGCCCGCTTTCGCCGCCGCGATCGCCTCCGCGGCCTCTTGCATCCCGTCCGACGGCGGCGGCGTGCGCGTCTTCAACACCGGCGGCGCGCGCGTCGGCGCGCGCATGACCATCGTCGACGACGCGAGTTTCCCGTCCTCTCTCGTCGCGGTTCGAACGACGACCAGATCGCCGTTCCCTCGCAGCCACCGTCTCGTCTCGAGCGTGAGGCAGTCGTCGACCTCGACCCAGACGTCGCCGTCCCAGCGCGCGGTGACGGTCGAGCACGCGCCGTCGGGGGCGACGACCTCCGTGGGTCTTCCGATCATCGTCGTGTTGCTCAGCGCGGTCGCGCCGAGGACGGCGACGTCTTCCAGGATCCCGCGCTTCAGATCGTGCTTCAAGACGTGGAGCTCCTTCTCTTTGACCGCGAACGCGGCGTTCGAGGGGAACGCGCTGCCGTAGGCTTCGTGGAACGCCTTCGCGTTGTCCACGGACTTCGTCTCCCACGTGCCGCTGTTACGTCAGGGGAGGAGGAGGGGGGGGGGGAGGACGTCAGGAAGACGGACGAGAGGGGTGTTGATCGCGCGAAAAGTCGTGGTGTTACGCGCGGCTCGAGGTCGCGACGCGCACCTGAAGTCCGGTAACTCGACCTCGCTCGTCGTCGTCGCCTTACTATTTTCCTCGATTGTCGACATCGCGCTCGCGGGGGCCGACATCGCGATCGACCTCCGCTCGCGCTCGAGAGGAGTGAAGGGTCGGGGGCGCGAATGCGACCCTTGACGAAAATCGAAGAATAAACTGCTGCACTGTGAATGCTTCAAAATCTCGCTGACGCGGCGCTGATCGTTACGAGGTCGTATTAAGACGTGCTACGTTCCTATGCTACGCGCGGCGACGCGCTCATCACCTCACACGCCGCCTATGGGATGGTGATACGGACACTCCTTCCCGTACGAACACCCTCCCGTCTTCTGAAACTCTATGCAGTGCGCGGCGTTCGGTCGCTGCGGCAAATCCGCCGCCGCCGCCGCCGCCGCCGCGCCGCCCGGGACCGCTCGCGCCATCCCCCCCACCCTCGCGGCGCCCATCCCCGGCATCATCCCCGGCACGATCCCCTCCACGATCTTCTTCGCCATCGCGCGAGGGCCGTCGTCGCACAGGGACTGGTACCACGCCGCGGCGCCGTCCGGGTCTCGCTCCGTAGCCTGCGCGACCGCGAGCTGCAGCGACGCGTAGTTCGGATCTAACAGCGGGTTGAACGAGCCGTCGTCCTCGAGCGCGTCCAGATCGATCTCCGCGGCGATCGCGTGGAGACGCGAGTAGTCGGGGTACCCCGGCGGCGCGGGCGTGGGCGCGGTCGCGGGCGCGCCGACGACGACGCCGGGGAACGGCGCGGACGCGTGGGACGGATGCATCCCTGCGATGGGCAGCGCGCCGACGCCGAGTTGACCGGGCGCCGCGGGCGGGGGGAGGAACGCGGGCGCTTGCATCCCCGGTGGGGGGGCGGGCGGGGGCAGGAACGTCGGCGCCGTCCCCGGCGGCGCGTCGTCGTCGACCATCTCGCTCGCGCCTCGCGCCTCGGATTGTGCGAAAGTTTTTCGTCGCGAGCGAGCGTGAACACAATATAAACCGAGTCTACGAGCCTAGAGCCTATCAGCGCGACCGTCACTCATACCACCGCGACGGCGCCTCCCCGTTCTCACCGCTGCCGTTCAGTCTCTTCTTCCTGACCTTCCTCGGTGGCGACCCGATCACGGGCTTCTTCGTCATCAGATCCTTGAACGACCCGACGTGCGAGATGCTCTGCCGCGTGTGTCCGACGTTGCCAAACACCAAGTCCAGGACGTTCAGGTACTTGCTCTTGAACACCTCCCTCTCCGCGTTGTAGCAGTGCATTATCACCGCCGCGGCGAGGGCGAAGAGCGAGACGTCGTGCCGCCACCCGCTCACGCTTCTCGGGATCATGCCCCAGTCCAGAAGGCACAGCGTCCCCGCCTCCACGGCTCGGGACGCGCAGTAAATCCCGAGCTCCTGCCGCCGGCTCGGCTTCTCTATGAACGTCGCGAGGCCCGCGAGCGGGACGCCGCCGACGATCGTCCACCACCGCATGTCCCCCACGACTCTCTGCACGAGATCCGGCCCCAACCACGCGGACGCGCAGTACGCGGAGAGAAACGCGGAGGACCGCGCGACGCCCCCGGCGGCTCTCCACGCGAGCGTCTTCCCTCGCGGCCCCAACAGCTTCTTACGGTGCACGAGCACCGCGGGGAGGAGGTACAGCGGGAAGTAGATCGTCACCGACCGCGCGATGCTGCTGACGAAGAAGCGCGCGAAGTGCTCGATCGGGGACTGCCCCGGGTGTAACAGCGCGCCCCAGAGCTGCGGCCGCGCGCGAACCGCGGCGTCGAACGCGCGGCTCTCCGGGTGCGTGTTGTTCATCGCCGCGTGCTCTAACAACGCCCTCGCCGCGCGGTCGTTCTTGGGGTATAACGTCTTCGCCGCGTCCGTTAACGCCGCCGCGGTCTCCGCGCCCGGCCTCGCGACCGCGACCGCCTGCACCGCGCGGTAGTGGTGCACGCTCTTCCCGCCGTGTCGGTTCAGAAACCCGGCGTAGGGCCCTCTCAGCGCGTCCGGCTTTAAGATGAAGCACGACAGAATGACCGTCGCGGACGCCATCATCAGGCCGACGTCCGCGTGCGGGGACGCGAACGGCGCGAGCAGCCGCTCGACGCGCGGGTCCATCGGCGTCTCGTCGTCTTTCCGTCGGTTCAGCCCGCATCGAACGAGGAGGACCAACGATCGGAGCCAGATGTAGGTCGCGAGGCCGTAGTGCCTGCGCGCAGAGCCGCTGCCGCCTCGACCGACGCCGTCCGCGAGGAGGAGCGACGGCCCCGCGAGCGCGCCCGCGGCGGCGGCGCGCCATCGCTTGCTCTGCTGCTTCCCGTACGCGACGGCGAGGCCTTCGTCCGCGCTGACGTACACGAGCGCGAACGTCGAGAGAAACGACGCGAACGCCGCGGTATCGCGCAACGCGTCCCTCGTCGCGGCGGCCGTGAACCCCTTCTTCCGCGCGCGCGCGAGGAGCGCGAACGCGTTCAGGCCGCCCTTCAACGTCCCGCCGACCATCGCAGCGCGCGCGACGGACGTGAGGAGCCGCGTCAGCGCGCGCGAGGCGTCCGACGTCTCGTCCTCGGGCTCGATCTGATCCTCGATCGCGGGCGCGCCGAACACGCGCGCCCACGCGCTTCGGCCGACATCGAGCCACGCGGGGCGGTCCTCCGCGTCGCTCGCGCGGCGCGCGTCGTCGTCGTCGCGGCCGGAGACTTTGCTCAGGCGAGACGAGCGCGTGACGGGCGCCATCGCGCCGGAAGGTCTGCCGATCGGCGACGCTTCCCGTTCGTTCGTCGACAGGACGTCCAGGGCGCGCGCGCGCGTTTGAAAATTTTTAACGGGAGAACGAACAGTCGCGGCGACCGACGACGAAGGGCGCGCGATGAATAGCGATGTTCGCTCGTATTAAAACGTCGTCGTCGTTCGATCGTTCGATCGTTCGCTCGTTCGTTCGCTCGTTCGTCGCCCGCCCTCGCTCGCTCAGTTCGTCTGCGTCTCGACCATCTTCTCGCGGTACTCCACGATGTTCTCGTGCGTCAGCTTCACGAGCTCGCGGCGTTTCAACGGCTGCCGCGTGAACGGGCACGTGTCCTTCGTCGTCGGGTCCCTCAACACGCGGCACCACGTCTCGTACCCGGCGACGTGCCCGTACGGCGAGATGGTCGGCTCCTCGATCTGCATCTTCGTGAGGGGATCGATGAAACCCGGGAGCACGGGGGACTCGTCCTCGTCGTCGAAGTCGTCCTCGTCGTCGCCGTCCGTGTACTTCTTCGCGCCGCCGCCGCGGCTGCTCTTGCGGACGGCGTCGAACTTGACGCTGCACGTGTAGTTCTTGTCGCTTTTGTCCATGTCGGACTCGTCGCCCCACTTGGACTTCTTCGCCTTCTTCGCCTTCGGCGCCTTCGGCTTCTTCTCCTTCGGCGGCTTCGGTTCCTTCGGCGCTTTCGGCGGCTTCGGCGGCTTCGGAACCCCGGGCGCGCGTTCGAACCCTTTGTCCTTGAACCCGAACCGCAGCTTCCCGTCCTCGTCGACCATGTAGTTCGGGTCCTCCATCTTCCCTTGCGTGATCAGAGTGCGGTAGTAGTTGCTGCACTGGTACCCGACCTTCCCCGGGATGGACTTGCTGAACATGCCCCACTTGTAGTCCCTTCGGACCGGACACACGTACTCCTTGGTCTCGAACACTTTCATGAACAGCTCAGCCTCTTCCGTCGACCACCCCCCGGTGCTCTGCGCCTCCCCGGGTGCGTTGAACCTGTAGTAATACGCGTTCTCGTTGTTCGCGCGGTTGTTCCACGCCTTGAGTCGCGCGTCGGACCACCCGGCGAGTAAATCATCCGCGGCGTCCGTCGTCTCCGCGTCCCCGTCCGCGGCGCCGCCAGACTTCCCGCCCTCGTCCCCGGAAGAGTCCTTCTCCGGGGATGACGACCCGGAGTTGTCGTCCGCGGAGCCGCCGTTCGCGGCCGGAGCCGGAGCCTCCGCGGCGGCGGCGGCTTTCGCGGCCTCAATCTCTTCCTGCTTCTTCTTCATGGCCGCGAGCGCGTCGTCCAAACGTAAGCGCTTTTGCCCGTTCATGCTGTGCTTCTTCGCGTGTCGGATGTACCTGAAGCCGTGCTCGACCTCCTGGACCGGCTCCTCGTCCGGGTCGCTCTCCCAGTCGGAGACGTCGTCGTCGGACCGCGCGTTCTCGTCGTCGGAGTCGTCGGGGACGTCGCGGCGACGGCGAAGACGTTTCCGACGCTTCTCCAGGCGCTCCTCCACGAGCTTCTTGCCCCGACCCTTGAGCCGCTCCGCTTTCGCCTCGTCCCTGACCATGCTTCGAATCGCGGCGATGAACGCCTCGCCCTCGTCCTCCTCGGTCAAGCGGTCGCTCGCTTCGAACTCGTTGTTGTTGCACACGCGGAGCGCCATCTCGGCTTCCTTCTCGGTCAGCCCGATGCCCTCGTTCGCTAAGATGAGCTCGTCGATCTTCTGCTTCAGCGTCTTCTCCTCGAACGCTTTGAAGCGCGCTTGGAGCGCCTTGAGTCGCTCTTCGATGACCTTCTTCTGCTCCTCCGTGAGCTCGTTGTCGTCGTCGTCGCACGCGCCGTTCAGGAGCGCGTTCGTGTGGACGACGTTCCCCGCGTTCATGTTGTTCTCCCCGATCGTCGCGGGAGGGTTCATCACCGCCGCCATCGTGCGCGGATGCGGTCGCGTATCGGACTTCGCGCGTTTGCGGACGCGTCCGTGAGAAGAGAGTGCGCGCGCGACGCGTGTCTCCTCGTGCGCGTGCGAAGTGCGCGCGCGTTGTCCCGAAAGCGCGTCGACGCGAACAACGAGCATTTCGAATTTTCGAATTTTTTTTTTGCCGGACTGGCCGACCGACCGCGTATAAGTAGTTTTCACGTACTAAAACAGACTGAGATCTCATACAGAGGCCACCATCGGGGAGCTTTTTTTTCGCTGGCTTCGCGAACCTGGCATCCGCAGCTGTCGCTCGGATCTCACTCCTGATCGCGCTCGAGGGCGACATCGCGCACGAGGGACGCATCGAATCTCCCCCGCGTCGCTCGTATCGCGTCAACCTCGAGAATTCGCGCCGTCGCGACCGCGCGCGCGCGTGTCGACCCCGTGAGCGGCGTCGACGCGGAGAGAAGACGCGTCGAAAAAAACAGGGTGCATCGATTTGAAGCGCGGTCCGCATGAGCGTCCCGATGTCCGCGCCCCCCGCGTCGCTGCAGGTCGACGAGGTCGACGCTTTCATGTCCGGGATGGTCATCCACTACCTCGTCGGGGACGACGGCTCGCGGACGCAGGTCGTCGAGGTCGCGAAGAACGTCGCGCGCCACGGCGGCGTCGCGACGTCGTCGTACGACGCCCGACGCGTCACGCACGTCGTCTTGGAGGAGACCACGCTCGGCAAATCCGAGGAGCTGTACGCGCGCGCGACGAAGGACAAGAAGCGCGTCGTCTCGTGGGACTGGATCGAGGCGTGCCTGAAACAAGGCGCGCTCGTGCCCGTGGACGACAGCGCGCTGTATCGCCCGCCGCCGAGCGTGGACGGGCTCCCGGCGATGAAGGATCTCAAGGTGTGCGTCACCGGGTACACGGGCGACCGACGGACGCAGCTCATCAAGATCACGGAGCGTCTCGGCGCGGAGTACATGCGCGTTTTGGATCGGAAATCTACGCACTTGGTGTGCTACGAGTTTGAAGGCGCGAAGTGGGCGAAGGCGAACCAGACCGGCATACAACGCGTCGTCTCGCACGCGTGGCTCGAGGATTGCCTCAAGAAGTGGACCAGACTGCCAGAGGAGCCGTACACGCACAGGAGCGGGAAGGAAGAGGACGAGCTCGCGGCCGCGGCGTCGGACGACGTTCCGGACTCGCAGGAGGACGAGGAGGATCCCGACGTCGTGCCCGAGTCCGCGGGGGACGATTTCGTCACGGAGTTCACCGAGGGGTACCGCGCCGGCGCCGCCGCGACAGAGACGGCGCCGGGGACGATGCTGCGCGCGAGCGTCCCCGGGGTGGGCACGGAGACGCAAGACGCCGCGGGAGGTCTCGCGGACTTCGCCGCGAAGAAGACGATGGAGCCGCCGCCGACGCGCGCGCGGCGCCCGAGCTCGCAGCCGACGCCGAGCGAGAAGGAACAGGCGCTCGTCGGGAACGCGCTGACGTCCCCGGACTGGGCCGAGCTCGAACAGCGGCCATCGCAGCACGTCGAACGGAGCGAGCGGAACCGCGCGATGGATCCGGTTCTGAAAGCAGCGTGCGCGGACGGCGGCGCCCCGCCCGCGGATTTGGTGTCGTTCGCCGGCAGGGTCGGGGAGGCGGACCAAGTCGAGAAGGCGTTCGGAGGGCGGTTCGCGGACCTCAAGAGCGAGCGGTGGCACCGCTTCAACGACGCGGACGCGCCGCTCGCGGCGGACGATTTCGACGAGTTTTGCACCGCGATCGAAGAGGGGACGTGGTACCCCGAGGGCGTCGCGGAGTGCGAGCGGATTCGACTGCGAAAAGTCGTCGACGGCGAGCGCCGGTTTGAGATTTTACACGCGAAGCCTCGGGATATTCCGGAAGGGGTCACGATCACGTCCCTCCCGCGCGTGAGCGGTCGGTACCTCGCGTACTTGGACGAGAACGCGACGGAGGATGACGTCGAAGGGTGGATCAAACTCGCGAGGGACGCGGTGTCCAAGCGCGAACGCGGCCCGCTCGGCGCGGCGGTCATCTCCCGCCTGCGACTCGAAAAAGCGAAGCAGCCGCGCGAGAATTTCGACGACGACGTCGAGGACGCGTCGTTAGCGAGCTCCGACGCGCTCCTGACGACGTTCGTGGAGGTATACCTCCCGTTCGGGTTCATGATGGACCACTACGCGATCGTGGCGGCGATGAACGAGACGAACGACGAGCGCGCGGGGTACACGATTCAGCCGCGGGACGAGATCATGGTCTTACCCGCGCGCATGCCGGGGAACCTCCCGAACGTCACCGTGGAGTCCGTGGAGCGCCCGATAAGCGAGGTCATCCTCGGGTTCCACGAGCTCTTAGCCGGGCCGACGGAGCCGGACCCGACGCAGCGACCGGCGGCGAACGCGTTACCGAATGCCGCGGACACGTGGACGATCGATGTTGGGAACCGGATCTCCTTGGCCGCGATGCGCGCCGCGGAGGACGAGGAGGAGGAAGAAGAAGAAGTAGTAGAACACGGAAAGGACGCCGACGACGCGGACACGACCGTGCCGGTGGAGGACACGTTCGAGACCGCGAGGTCGGCATCGGGCGGGCGGAAGAAGACGGCGACGGCGTCCGCGGCGAAAGCCGCCGCCGCCGCCGCGGAGATTCTGTGCGCCGGGCGCAAGGAGAGCGAGGACGTGATCCATCGCGACATGGCGCGCGAGTTTGACGAGTGCCTCACGCAGAAGCAGCAAGAGGAGAGCGAGGCGCTGCCGATGAACGTCGACGAGGACGAGGACGAGGAAGCCCCTGTGGTGATGGCGAAGCGCGGGCGCAGACGGCAGGCGATTTTGACGCAAGATACGGGGGATAAGGCTGCCGTGGAAGCTGACGAGGAAGAGGAAGAGGAGGTCGCCGAGCCCGCGCCGAAGCGAGGCGGCCGCGCTCGCGCCGCGAAGACGCTCGCGGAGGCGCCCGCGCCCGCGACCCGACGCGGCGGAAGAAGAGCCGCCGCCGCCGATCCCGCGCCAGCGGCCGAACCCGCCGCGCGACCGAAGCGTGCCGCGCGAGGAGAAGCTGCCGAACCCGCGCCCGCGAAGAAACCCGCCGCGCCCAAGGCGAAGAAGCCGACGGCGGCGAAGAAGCCGACAGCGGCGAAGAAGCCGACGGCGGCGAAGGCTGTCGCCGCGCGCGCGGGCATCCGTCCTCGCATCGCTCTGAGCGGATTCCCGTCCGCGGACCTGACAAAGTACGGCGCGATCGCCGCGCGCCTGGGCGCGAGCGTGTGCGCGGGGCACGCCTGGGATTCGGCGACGACGCACGTCGTCTTCGGCCCGCGCGGGGGACGGTCGTGCAAGTTTCTCGCCGGCGCCGCGTCCCGCGTCCCGCTGCTGTCGCAGACGTTTTTGGACGCGTCGCGCGACGCCGGGAAGCTCCTCCCGGAGACGGAGTACTCGAAGCACGTGTGGCGAGGCGGAAGAGGCGCGGACATGGGGCTCGTGTCCCCGAACGCTGCGGCGCACTGGGCGCCCCGCGGCGGCGAGGAAGACGAGCTCCCGTTCGCCGGGCTGACCGTCGCGCTGGCGCCGTTTCCGTCCGCGAACCGCGAGGAGCGCGACATGCTCGCGACCGTGCTGCGATGCGGCGGCGCGAACATCGCGACGATCTCCGCGAAAGGGGAGGTGATGCCGTCGACCCCGGCGCCGGACGTCGCCGTCGTGGACGCCGGCGTCGTCCCGAGCGCCGGCGGCGGCGCGAAGGACGCCGCCGACGAGGCCCCCGGGCTCGCCGGGCGCGCCGCGAGCGCGGTCTCCGTCGTTCAAGGCGAGGCGTGCGTCTCCCCGGAGTTTTTCAAATCGTGGCTGTCGCGCCCGGGATCGGACTTGAGGCAGCACGTCCTCCACGGCGAGCTGAAGGGCGCGCTCGCGCTGACGTACCGCAAGAGCGTCGGGGCGGTCGGCGGCGCGGGGGCGGGGGGAACGGCGGCGAAGCCGTCGAGCGAGACGGCGAACGCGGCGAAGAAGAAGGCGCCCGCGGAAGTGAAGAGTAAGACGCCGGTGAATAAGCGCGCGGCGGAGCAGCCGGCGCCGTTGGTGAGCAAGCGCCGCCGCGCGCTCACAAGCCGTAACTGATGGATGACGAGTTTAGCGTATTTTTCATGTAATCCACACTCGGGAGCGAGTCTGCGCACGAACGACACCACGCGCGCGACTCGCTACGACCCGAGATTTAGACAGCGAGGAGGGAACACAAGCGCGGAGGTGAAGGAGTACGACTACTCGAGTTTTTCAAATGCACTTGGCAATTGTTACATGAATGTGCTGCCGGGCACAACTACCTAGCTAGGGGTCGACTGGCTAATAGTCGTCGACTACTTGGAAGGTAGTCCGCTCTTGATACAACAGTATTGGTACTAAACACGGTGAGTTAACACACACACAATTTAGTAGAAGCCGAAGCCGGACGCCGCGTTGGTGAGGACGTTGGCGTGGACCGGGTCCGCGACGTGCGCCTGCCAGTTGGCGATGGGGCCCTCCTGGGTGGCGAGGCCCTGCATGATGCAGCCGAGCCACGCGAACATGGAGAGGCGGCAGTGCTTGAGCTCCTTGATCTTGAGCTCCTCGAGGTCACCGGACTCGGCGAGGCCGAGGGGGTCGAAGCGGCCACCCGGGGAGACGTCACCGACGGTGAGCTCATCGAAGACCGGGTCGGAGAGGCCGGTGCGGTACGCCTCGGCGAGGCCGACGAGGACGACCTCAATGATGAGGACGTTCCAGAAGGACGGGTAGCCGGAGCCCTCCGGGGCGAGGGGCGCGACGGCGCCCGGGAACTTGTCCGCGACGGCGGTGCAGTCGTCCGGGGTGCAGAGGGTGCCCGCGGTGAACCAGGGGATGCCCGTGCCGTTCTCCGCCGCCCACGCGCCGGTCACGCCGAGCATCGCCCAGCGGCCGTGGATGACCTCACGCTCGGCGTTCTTCTCGGAGCCGAAGGGGATGATCGGGGACTCGCCGCCGCCCGGGTAGGTGCCGAACTCCGGGTAGATGTCCGCCTTGACGACGGTGGACACGGACTTGGCCTGTTTTGAGGAGGATTGAGGAGGGGAATGCGCGTCAGCGGCGTGTTTCCGGCGTCGGTTGTGGTCGCGGAAATCCAAAATATTTCCCGTCTTCAGGGACGCGCGGATTAGCGCGCGATGCGAGCGACGCGAGCGGGGAACGCACCGTGACCTTGGTCGCCTTGAGGGCGGCGACGGAGCCGGTGAAGGAGGAAGCAATGCAGGCCATTTTAGAAGATTTGATGTGTGTGTGTGAACGTGTGTTCGTGTGCGGGAGATGGCGAAAACTGAGCAATCGATCTTGCTTTTATAGCGCAGATTCGAGCAGACGAACGCTCGTTCGTCGAAAAAGATCCGCCACTGCGCAGATTTTTTCAAGCCGCGTTTCCGCCTGGTTTCCGCGGTTTATTAACTCGTCAATTCCCTCGACTCGACGCGCAATCGAAAAGTTGGGGTGAAAAAGCGTCCCGAATCCGAGCCGCTTCATTTTGGTTGGACGACGGTTTTTTCGACAAAAATGCGTAGGGATCGCTGAATCTACGAAATCCGTGACTGAAACGCATACGAGTTTCTTTGAAATTTCGCCAGCGTGTCGTCTTTGACGATTCGTCCGAGCTCGACGAGCGTTCTCATTCGCCAGCGGTTCGTACTCGATTCGCTTTTGCGAATATTGTCGCCAGATTTTCGCACATAAACAGTTGTTTTTCTCATTCTGTCGCCATCTCCCGCACACGAACACACGTTCACACACACACATCAAATCTTCTAAAATGGCCTGCATTGCTTCCTCCTTCACCGGCTCCGTCGCCGCCCTCAAGGCGACCAAGGTCACGGTGCGTTCCCCGCTCGCGTCGCTCGCATCGCGCGCTAATCCGCGCGTCCCTGAAGACGGGAAATATTTTGGATTTCCGCGACCACAACCGACGCCGGAAACACGCCGCTGACGCGCATTCCCCTCCTCAATCCTCCTCAAAACAGGCCAAGTCCGTGTCCACCGTCGTCAAGGCGGACATCTACCCGGAGTTCGGCACCTACCCGGGCGGCGGCGAGTCCCCGATCATCCCCTTCGGCTCCGAGAAGAACGCCGAGCGTGAGGTCATCCACGGCCGCTGGGCGATGCTCGGCGTGACCGGCGCGTGGGCGGCGGAGAACGGCACGGGCATCCCCTGGTTCACCGCGGGCACCCTCTGCACCCCGGACGACTGCACCGCCGTCGCGGACAAGTTCCCGGGCGCCGTCGCGCCCCTCGCCCCGGAGGGCTCCGGCTACCCGTCCTTCTGGAACGTCCTCATCATTGAGGTCGTCCTCGTCGGCCTCGCCGAGGCGTACCGCACCGGCCTCTCCGACCCGGTCTTCGATGAGCTCACCGTCGGTGACGTCTCCCCGGGTGGCCGCTTCGACCCCCTCGGCCTCGCCGAGTCCGGTGACCTCGAGGAGCTCAAGATCAAGGAGCTCAAGCACTGCCGCCTCTCCATGTTCGCGTGGCTCGGCTGCATCATGCAGGGCCTCGCCACCCAGGAGGGCCCCATCGCCAACTGGCAGGCGCACGTCGCGGACCCGGTCCACGCCAACGTCCTCACCAACGCGGCGTCCGGCTTCGGCTTCTACTAAGCGGTGCGTGTTCGCGCGTGCTTAGTTAGTTAGTTGTCTAGCAACGATGTGATGTGAGACGTGAAACAAGTGTTAAAGTAAAAAAACTTCGCGGCTCGCTTTCGACTCCTCGATGAACCCAACGAACCACCGATCAAGCGCGCGATGAAATTTCCCCTCGCTCCGCGCGTTCAAACTGAACAGAACGCGCGAAAACTCCCCGTCGATCGTGCTCCTCGTCCAATCCGACGCGCGCGGTCGCGGCCCGACGCACGCCGCCGGCGCGTCGCGTAGGAAACACTCGCGCCGCGCGCGAGATCCGATCGTCATGACCGAGAGCAAGGTGAACCACGCGGAGCTTCGTCGCGCGGTGAGAGACCTCCAGAACCGAGGTTTGCTCCACGCCGCGCGATGGGCCGCGGAGCAGCTGTACGGGCTCGAGGACGAGACCCCGGGCGAGGGCGGGGACGGCGCGACGCCGACGACGGCGTCGATGCGCGCGACGCCGACGACGGCGACGCCCGCGGCCGCGGAGGAGGACGACGACGACGCGATGGAGCTCGAGACGCCGCGGTCGGGGGCGAAGAAACCATCCTCCGACGCGACGCGCGCGGGCGCGGGCGGCGCGTCCGCGGGCGCGGAGTCGCGCTGGAGCGGCCGCGGCACGACCCCGGAGACCGCGGGCGACGATTACATCCTCGCGAAAGCGTACTTCGACCTCGGGGAGTACCGCCGCGCGTCGCATCAGCTCAGCGAGAATCGATCCTCCCTCGGACGATTCCTCAGGTACTACGCGCTGTTCCTCGCGGGGGAGAAGCGCAAGAACGAGGAAGCGCTCGAGGTCGGCGGCGTCGGCGGGACCGGCGCGTTCGGCCCGGGCGGCGCGGCCGCGGTCGGCGGCGGGACCGGCGGGACCGGCGCGTCCAAGCCCGTGACGGGGCCAAGCCCGCGCCCGAGGAAGGACGTCGCGAACAAAGAGCTGGATCCGATCCTCTTCGACCTGCCGATCATCGTCGAGGACGACCACCCGGACTCCTCGGAGACGTGCGACGACCCGTTCCTGCATTACCTCCACGGACTGTGCCTCATCGAGAAGGAGCGCAAGGACGAGGCGAAGCAGGCGCTGTGCGCGTCCGTGCGCGGGTACCCGTGTAACTGGTCCGCGTGGGAGGCGCTCATGCCGCTGTGCTCGACGTTGGACGAGGCCAACGCGTTGCCGCTGCCGACGCACTGGACGAAGAAGTGGTTCACCGCGGCGCTGCAGCTCGAGCTGCAGGATAATCGGAAAGGGTTGCAAGCGTACGCGCAGTTAGTCACGGAGATACCCGCGTCCGCGATCGGCGTCGTGCAGATGGCGGTCGGCCACTACAACATGCGAGAGTTCGACCGCGCGCAGAGCATCTTCGAGGACGTGTACCGCGCGGACCCGTACCGTTTAGAGGGCATGGACACGTACAGTAACATTTTGTACGTCAAAGAATCGAGCGCGAAGCTGAGCTACCTCGCGCACAGCGCGGTGCTGACGGACAAGTACCGCCCGGAGACGTGCTGCATCGTCGGCAACTACTACTCCCTCAAGGCGCAGCACGAGAAAGCCGTCGTGTACTTCTCCAGAGCGCTTCGTCTGAACTGGCGGTACCTCAGCGCGTGGACGCTCATGGGGCACGAGTACGTGGAGATGAAGAATCCAGCGGCCGCGATCGACGCGTACAGGCACGCGGTCGACATAAACCCGCGCGACTACCGAGCCTGGTACGGCCTCGGGCAGACGTACGAAATTCTGCAGATGCCGTATTACGCGTTGTACTACTACCAACGCGCGACGCGGCTGCGACCGAAAGACCCGCGGATGTGGTGCGCGATGGGGCAGTGCTACGAGAGCGACCAGCTGCAGATGACCGTCGCCGCGATTCGGTGTTACCAGCGGGCGGTGACGTGGAACGATATGGAGGGGATCGCGCTCGCGAAGCTCGCGAAGCTGCACCGCGACAGCGGAAACGCGAAAGCGGCGGCGCACTATTACCGCCTGAATCTCGTGCGTCTGGAGAACGAGGGCGCGGACACCGCGGAGATGGTCGAAGCGCTGCTGTATCTCGCGAACTTTTACAAAAAGCACGAGCGGTACCGCGACGCGGAGGCGTGCTGCATGCGTTTACTGGACTTCGCCGGACCCGCGAAGCAAGACGCGAAGGCGCTCTTGCGGGAGATTCATAACCTTCAGAACGTCGCGGCGGCGGCGGCGGCGGCGGGCGGGGGAGCGGGAGGCGGCGCGGGGGAGATCGAGGAAGCGGATCCCCCGATGGACACGTCGTGAGAGAGTAGAATAAGCTGGAATAACACATCGCGCTCGCCTATCGCGTCAACTCGTCTCTGAGCTCCATGAGCATCTTCCCGAGTAAGTTCCCGCCGCCGCCGTCTCTTCCGACGCCCCATATCGCGTCGTGGGGCGAGTCCTCGAGGACGTCCTTCCCTTTCGTCCCCACGAGAAGCGCCCGCGGAGCGTCGTGCCTCGAAAGTTTCGCTCTTAACGCCGCGCGCATGACGCCCTCTTTCTGCGCGGCCCAGTCCGCGCGAATCAGCTCCGGGCAGTGCTTCTGCGACGTCCGGCCGATCCTCGCGGCTTCCTCCGGGGACGCCGCCGCGCGTATCCGCTCCATCGCGTCCCTCGCCGCGGGCGCGTCCACGCCGCTGAATTTTTGCGCTTGGTAGAAGTGCTCCACTGTGGGCCACTCCACGTCCTCGTCGTCGCCGTCGACGGCGTCGACGCCGCGCCAGCTCTTCGGTGCGACGATCGAATGCGGTGAAAAGTTTGACAACGCGCCGTACCGGTCCCAACTCTTGTAGAACCTCACCTCTTTCGCGTCCGACGCGCGCATCGCGCTCGCGGCGCGCTCGACGACCGCGATCGGGTCCTCCGTCCACGGGTCCGCCTCCTCTTTCGCGCCCGCGCCCGCGAAGCCGTCGCCGTCGCCGTCGCCGTCGCCGTCGCGTTTCAGCCGACCAGACGTGTTGACCGCCGGGAGGTACCCGCTCAGTAAAACGTCCCGCCCGTGCGTGGAGAGGGCGAGCCCGCGCAGGGTCATCGCGTCCGTCATGAGATCCAGACCGGTCTCCCCCACCGGCGACGGCGCGGGGCCGCCGGAGCTGCCGATTATCTTCGGCGCGATGAACGCCATGACGTGATGGATGACGCCGTCGTTCAACGCGGGCGCGGCGAGGCCGCCGCCGCACTCCCAAAACAGCTGCAAGTACCCGCGCTTCCCGCAGTACTCCGCGACCGCGCTCGGGGTCAAATCGTCGAACTCGATCACCTCCACGCCGAGCTCGCGGAGCTGCGCTTGAAACTCCGGCCTCGCCCCCGTCCGCGTCATCACGATCGTCGGCGCCTCCGACGTGTCCCACAAATTCGTCCTCGGCTTCCTTCGCTTCTCCGCCCTCGCCGCCGCCATCTCCCCGTCGTCGCCGTCGTCCTGCGTGTCGTACGTCCCGAGGCCGTAGTTCTCCTCCTCCACCCCGGGGAGGTCCATCGTCCGCGACAGAACCACCCGCGCGGGGAGGTGCCCGTCCTTCCTTCGAGTCGTGAGGTTAGGGTTATCCCTCCGCACCGTCGAGCCGCCGACGACGACGGCGTCGCTCCGCGCGCGCTCCGCCCACACCGCCCCTCGCGCGGTCGGCCCGGTGACCCACGAAGAGTGCCCGCTCGTCGTCGCGATCTTCCCGTCGACCGTCATCGCGTACTTCAGGACGCTGAACGGTCGCCCCGTGGCCACGCGGTACAGCAACGCGCGGTTGCGAGCCCTCGCCGCCGCGACCACCTCCCTCGTCGCCGCGCGCAGCATCTCCCCCTCGCGCGACGCCCCGGACGCCTCTCCGCGCTGCTTCGCTTCCTCCTCCCTCTCGTCGAGGTCGTCGTCGCCGAGGACGACGACGTGGACGCCGCGCGCGCGCAGGGCGTCCACCGCGGCGTGACGCGTCCCCGGTATCGGATGCGCGATGCCGATCACGACGCGCGTCACCCCCGCGCGATGCAGCGCGTTCACGCCCGCGTCCTCGCCCGCGTCGTTCCCGTGCACGGGCTCGAGGTTTAAATACGCGCATCCCCCCGCGGCGCCGCCGTTCGCGGCGTCCGCGGCGAGGACCTCGGCGCGCGCGCCGCCTTGCCCGAGCTGGAACGTCTCCGCGACGACGCCGCCGTCGGCGGCGACGAGGACGCATCCGCTCTTCGGGTGCGGCTGCGTCAGGCCGTCGGACTCGCCCGCGAGCTCGACGGCGCGCGCGACGTGCTCGAGGTCGGCGAGCGTCACGTCGTTCGCGCCGCTCGCGGCGTCCGCGGCGGCCGCGCCGAGCCGCGCCGAGCGACGGCGAGACGAGGGTTGACGATGAAGATGACGACGGCACGCCCGGCGCGTCAGCGACGTCGTCGCCTGGCTCGCGCTCGCCGCGCGGTTCGCGGCGAGCGCGTCCATCTTCCCTTCCTCTCCGCTTCCGAACGCGCGAGCGGCCGCGCGGGGAAACGCGGGGAGGTCTCGCGCCGCCGGCGCCTCCGCGTCGTCGACTGTGACCGCGGTTCCCTCGGATACGGCGCGGTGCGGCTGCGGCTGCGGTGACTCATCATCAATGTTCGTTCGACATTCGTTCCCCGCGCACACGCACCCCGCGTCCTCGCCGCGCGAGGAGACAAATCAATCGTCGCGATGCCCGGCATCGACGGCGACGCCTACGTCGTCACCCCCGAGCAGATCGAAGCCTTCGAGCGCGACGGGTACGTCCACCTCCCGAACGTCCTCACCGAGGACGAGATGCGCGAGGTGGAGGAGCCCGCGATGCGATTCATCCGCGGCGAGGTCGTCCCAGAGGGGAAGGACCTGTGCGACATGTCCGGCGCGACGGACCGCACCCCGGACGAGTACACGGTCTTCAACGCGATGCTCCCGCGGCGATACATGCCGAGCATGCGAGGAAACATCTTCGAGCGGCGGACCGCGTCGATCGCGACGCAGCTGCAGCGGGGCAAAAACATGGCGATCGACTACGACCAACTCCTGGCCAAGCGTCCGTCGACGTCGGACTCGATATTCGCGTGGCACCAGGACATGGCGTACTGGCCGCCGCTCGAGGAGGACCCGTCCACGTGCACGTGCTGGATCGCGATCGACGACAGCACGGTCGAGAACGGCTGCATGCGGTTCCTCCCGGGGAGCGGCATGGAGAAGGAGCTGCGCGCGCACGCGCCCGTCAAGTTGAAAGGCGGCGACCGCGCGGACGACGAGAGCTCGCACGCGCTGTGCACGACGCTCACGGCGGAGGACGAGACGCGCGTCCGGCTCGTGCCAATCAAGCGCGGGGACATCACCGTGCACGACGAGCGCGTCGTCCACGGCAGCGGGCCGAACGGGAGCGACGGGTGGCGGCGGGCGTACGTGCTCGCGTACAGGACGAAGGACGTCGTGGACGAGGAACGGAGGCTGGGATTCACGCACTCGCACAACGACGCGTACAACTGGGACGCGTTTCACGCGTGGCAGGAGAAAGCCGCTTCGGCGTAGGTGTTGTAGTCGAGGTATATACGTGTCGTGTTTGTTATTTGATAGGGAGGGAGCGTCGCGGTTCAAGAACTTTGTTCAAATCGTATTCATCAAAAGACAATTTTCTTTTTTTTCTTTTTCCGAGTGCCGCGAGTCGGGCTAGGTCGTCGCGACGTGCACTTTTAAGCACGTTTACACACGGTCACATCTGTTCTACCACCAGTCCTCACGAGAGGACACGCTGTTGCTTTTGGGAGGCGACGCCACACCGCCCGAAACCGTAATAGTATACGGTTCCCGTCGACCGTATTCGCTCGGGAACCAAAGAATCAACTCGACGAGAAGACAAACCAACTCAGACGGAAGCGAAGAGCTTACGCGTACGCCGCCTCGCGCGCCTCCCTGCTGCTCTTCTTCACCTTCTTCTTCGTCTTCTTCACCTTCTTCACCGTCTTCTTCTTCGTCGGCTTCGCGGCCGGCTTGATCGTCGTCGCGTGCATCGGGAGCCCGAGCGCGATCACCCGCGTCATGTCCCCAAAGTGGTTGTTCGCCAACCTCCCGAGCCCCGTCGCGGTGATCGCGGACGCGAGCGTCGTCAGACGCTCCGTCATCCACCTGTCCGCGCCGCCGATGAGCTGATACCGCAGGTTGCAGGACAACCCGAGGTACGCCCCCATCCCGAGCATGGACGTCTTCAGGTCCGGCACGGGCAACGCCGGCTCGAACCCCTCCCCGCGCGTGGACACCAACGCCTTGTTGACGCCGTGGAACAACCCGCCGGTGATCGCGCCGAGGGCGGACAGCTCCGTCGCCTTCTTCGCGACCGACGCCGCGCGCATGCCCATGGTGTACTGCCTCAGAGGCCCGCACTTATCGAACGCGTTGTTCGGGATCGAGTCCATCACCCGCTGCCACCCAAACTTGTGCTGCGCGCCAAACGACCGCGTCGGCGTGAGGCACCAGACCGTCATCGCGTTCGCGAGCGACAGCTGTATGACGTTCGCGGCGGCTAAGTCCCACTCCTCCTTGAGACGGTCGCCTCTGTGCGCCGCCTCGTACGCGATCGCCCCGCCGATCGTCACCACTTGCTCGAACCCGAGCTTCCACAGAAACGCCGGGTCCGCCATGAGGCGGCCCACAAACGCCCGGCTCACCGACGACGGCGTGCTCCTGCTCACCGCGCGCACGATGCTCGGTCGCACGTCCACGGACATGAACCTCACGAGCTGCATCGACGACACGATGCCCATCTCGATCGCCATGCGAATCGCGTACGGGACGTCGGTCAGCGTGCGAAACCACTCCTGGAGCACGGCGTTGATGGCGTCGCGCTCGTACGTCTCTCCGATGGGCGACCGCGTCGTGAGGAAGGAGTCGTCCCCGCCCTCGTCGTCGCCCTCGTCGAAGTAGTCGTCGTCGTCGCCCTCGTCGCCGTCGCCGCCGCCCCCGCCGTTCTTGATCCCGCCGGGGGGCATCCCGCCGCCGCCGTTATCCGCGAGCTTCGGGCTCGACACGGAGATCTGCTGCGACGTGTCCATCCCAGTCTTCTCGAGCGTCGCGGCGCCGCCGCCGCCGAGCTGCCTGCCGATCTTCGCCATGGACGGCGCTTGCATGGCCGCGTTGAACGTGCCCTGCGCTCTGTCGGTGGACTGCGAGAGGGAGGAGAGAAGGGAGACGACGTCGTCAGAATCAGAATCGGGCGGGTGAAGAAATCGCCCCGCGCGTGTCGCAAAGCGTCGTCGACCACGACGCCGCAATTGGGGCTTCATCTGGCGCGGGGAACCGCGCGCCGGCGGCGACGCGACGCGGGTTCGAGCGCGCGGACGCTTCGCGACGTTCGGGAAACGAGCGAAGGAAGCGAAAACGCGGGTTTCGAGGGAAGCGCACCTCGCCGGAGCGGTCCGCGACGCCGGACTCCGCGTGCACCCTCACGGAGGCGCGCGAGCGAGCGGAAACCTTCGTGAGCCGTACGCGCGAGGCGTTCCGGAAGTGCACCCCGAGCGGGTCGAAGCGAACGACCGGAGCAGCCTTCGGCGTGCCGCGGGACGCGAGGACGTTCTGCCGAGTCCTCGCGCGGGTTTGACCGACGCGAGACGCGGCGGTCATCCGCGGAAGCGCGGCTTGAGCGGCCATGCCGGAGGATTCAGCCGCGAGCGGAAGAATCTGCGGTGCCGGTTTCGCGACCGGAAAAAAGTCGAGGCGCGCTGTGGAAGCGGCGGCGCTGCGACGTGAACGACGCTCCGCGGAACGGAGGCGGCGTGCGAGAACCTTCTTGAGGTCTCGTCGACGGAGTCTTGTACTCGGTCGAGGTCGTGGGGGGGCGCGGTCGCGAGATGCGAAGAGTGAGATTCGACGGCGAATTCATGCGCCTTTTGCTTCCAAGGACGGCCGTAGAAGATTGGCGAATGCGGCCAGGAGATCGTTATCTTCGTCGCTTTTGAGATTGTTACCTCGTCGACTTTTTCGTATGCGACCCAGTCTGAGTACGAGTACGTTTTCGTCGAGTACGCGGATTTTTCTCGCCAACCTGGCCGCCGACCGCGGGAGGCAAAGTCGGCGCGTCCGCGCGTCCGCGCCGTCACTCGAGCTGCGACGCACGGAAAGGCATGTCCGCCGTCGCCTCAGCACGACTCTCGATCGCCGCGCGCTCTTCTCGCACCTCCCGCGTCGCGTTCTCCTCCACCCGCGCCGCCGCGCCGTCGACGCGCCGTTCCCGCCGCGCGTCCACCGCGGTCGCGATGGCGTCCGCCGCCCCCGCGTCGCCGCCGACGTACCTCCTCCTCACACTGGACTACGTCGAGGACATCTTAGAGAAGCGCGACCCGTACCGCGCGGAGCACATCGCGGGCGCGAAAGCGCAGGAGGCCGCGGGGAAGTGCGTCTTAGCCGGCGCGCTGCAGAACCCCACGGACAAGGGCGTGTTCGTGTTCAAGGATTGCGACGAGGCGTACGTCAAGGCGTTCGTAGAGGGCGACGCGTACTACAAAGCCGGGCTGGTTCCGGGGTACACGATACGGCCGTGGATGATCGTCGTGGGGGCGTGAGCGAGCGACGGGCGCGTGCGGTGAGGATCTCGCGCGTGGGGGGTGCGGCGCGTTTACGTCGTCGTCGTCGTTGTTATTCCACGTTTTGCTTCATCATGCAGAGAGTTCAGCCGTACCAGACCACACGCGCAACGTCAACGACGCGCTGCGCTACCTCGGGTTCCATTTCGCGACAGATATTCTTCGCGAATTCTTCATCGCACTCTGGAAGGGTATTGACGAGCTCAACAGTGGCCATTTCTGCAGCTTTGCAGGTTGAGTGAGGATGAGGTTGCGATGTCGCCGCTTTGAGCCACCACTCGACCGCGGTGTGCACGTCCCGCGTCACTCCCTCGCCGTAGTAGTAGCAGCGCCCAAGTCGAAGCTGAGCGTTGGGGTCGCCATCTTCCGCCGATTTACGATACCACGATACCGCCATCTCAGAATCCTCTTCCACGCCGCTGCCGTACTGGTAGCAATACCCCACTCTCCACATGGCGCAGCTGAGACCCTGCTCGGCGGCTTTCGTAAACAGCGCAACCGCTTTCTTCGCGTCACGCGGCACGCCGGCGCCGTCGCGGTAGAGCGCCCCGAGATGGTCCTGAGCCTCGGCGTTACCCTTCTCCGCGGCGATTTCGTACCATTCAGCCGCGATTGATCGGGGGTGGCCGTCTACCACGCGTACTCTTGCCCTCGCGCCCCAAACGCCTGCGTTGTGGAGATAGAGACGGGCTGCGTCCTCTGAAGCGAAGTCAAACAAACGGGCGAACCGAAGCGCGTCCACCGCGTCTCCTCCCGTCGCCGCCCTTCGGAACCACTCGAGCGCCTTCCGATGGTTCGAACGATTCGCGGGTTCGAGAAACGCCTCCCCAAACTTCCACATCACCGCACGGCTGGGAAACGACGCGTCCCGTCGCGACGCGTCGCGCCACACCTTGGAGACCGCGGAGAGCTTCAGCCTGTCTCTGAGGTCTCTCACGTGCGTGAACACGAGACACGCGAGGTCCTCGGTCACGTCGAAGCTCGGCGCGTCGGGATCTGGGGCGGGGAGCGCGCTCATGACTTCACGACGACGCGGGGGGAGGTCGGATCGTGATCACACCGTCGCGGGGGCGGTCGCGTTGTGCGGCTGGAAAGAGGGGTCGTTGTCGTTGTCGTCGTCGTCTTTTCCCGCGGTCGCCGGTCCGTCGGTCAAATCAGCCCATCCGGCGCTTCGCCGTCGGTCAGTTGGGAGAAGTGCGGGACAGTTTGACCGGCTGGCCCGATCAAGGAGAGGTCGTCGGTCGAGTCGAAAAGCCGACGCTTCGCCACCGCGCGAACACTCCTTCGCGCGCGAGAGCTTCCACCGGACGACGACGGGACCGCGCCACATCGCCACGGCATGGGTCTTCTCAGCCTTCTTCGGCGACTCAAAAAGTCAGGCGGCGAGGTGCGTCGTCGTCGCCGTCTCCTCCGCGCGCTCGCGCGACTCGATCTCGCTCGGCGTTCGGCGGGGGAACGAGTTTTCCATCGCGCGCGGCTCCCGCGCCGCGTCGTCGTCGCGCTCGGCGTCCACGGGATCGTTCCGCGCGCGTCGACGCGCTCGATGCGATCCCGCGCGTCGTGCGAAGCGATATCGACCGGCTTCGGCGGCGATCTCGTCGTCCTCCACGGCGAACCCGCGTCGCGCGGCCCGCGCGGAGTGACGCTCGAAACGGACCCTTCCGTCCGTCTCTCGTCCGTCCAACATCGTATTCCACTCGCCGCCCGCCGGCCGCGACGGATGATGAACCGACGGACGCCTCCCCAACCCACCCCTCCAAACGCAGGCCCGCATCCTCATCCTCGGCCTCGATAACGCGGGGAAGACGACCATCTTGAGGAAACTCTCCGAGGAGGACATCACGACGACGACGCCGACGCAGGGGTTCAACATCAAGTCCATCCTACACAACGGCTTCAAGCTCAACGTGTGGGACATCGGCGGACAGAAGACGATCCGACCGTACTGGCGGAACTACTACGAGAACACGGAGGCGCTGATCTACGTCGTGGACGCCGCGGACCGTAAGCGCGTCGACGAGGCTGGGTTCGAGCTCGCGGAGATTTTAGGCGAGGACAAGCTCGCGACGGTGCCGCTGCTCGTGTTCGCGAACAAGAGCGATCTCATCACGGCCCTGAGCGCGGACGACGTCGCGGAGAGCCTGTCGCTCTTTAACATCAAAGATCGGCCGTGGCAGATCCAGGCGTGCAGCGCGAAGAAAGGGGACGGGCTAGAGGAGGGGTTGCAGTGGGTGGTGAAGCAGGTGAAGTGATGCTATCGCCGTCGTATCTATCTAACGGGTTGTATCTAGACGCAGCGGGAGGGAACTAAGCTACCTGACGCCGCCCGCGGCACCCTCCGCTACAGGAGGTGCGCGCGTATCGCCGCGGCTATCGGCTTCGCCGGCCTCTTGTGCGCGATCCCGACGATCCTCGTCTTCTCCTCGCCGTCGCGCATCAACAGAAACGTCGGCACGGTCTCGACGCCGAGCGCGTCGACGGCGTCGTCGTCGAGCGCGTCCACGTCCACGCTCACGAACGCCACGTCCGGGAACGCCCCGGAGAGGTCCGCGAACTTGGGCTTGAACCTCTCGCACGGCGCGCACCAACTCGCGGTGACGTTCACGACGATCCGAGGGGACGCGGCGAGCGCCGCGCGGAGCGTGGGACCGTCCATCGCGCTCGCGGGCGCGGACGACGTCGCGCCGATGGCGGGTCTCGACGACGCCCCGGCGTCGCGTCCGCGCGGGCGTCGCCGCGCGCCCGTGCGCGCGTCGCGGACGTCGCACCCGAACGCGCCCGAGCTCGACGCCGCGCCCGCGTCGTCGTCCGCGCGGCGCGACGTCGCGACGATGGACGAGGTCGCGGGCGCGGCCCACCACGGCGCGGCGCCCGCGTCCATCGTAGTGCGCGCGAGAGATCGCGCTGACAGCAGAAAAAGAACGCGCGATGACGACGACTGCGACTACACCGACTCGACCGGCTACGCTAGCTAGAGCCTATCTACGACGACGCCGGGGGAAACACCGCGACCCAGTAATGCCCGGGGACGTCCTCCCTCAGCTGCTGCAGCGCGGGGAGGTACACCCCCCGCGAGCACGCGCGCACGGTCCCGTTCGCGACGAGCGTCGCGTCGCTCGAGTACTTCCTGAAGTCAGCCTCGATCGTCCGCCTCCACTTGGACGCCTTGTCGACGTCGTTCACCGCGTTCTTGTCGTGCTTGTTGTGCACGCTCGGGTCCAGCGCGGTGATGTCCACGAGGATGAGCGGCTCGGAGTCGCGCTCCTCGCGTTCCTCCTCCCTCGCCTTCGCCTCCGCCGCCTTCGCCTCCGCGTCTTTTCTGGCGTCCGCCTCGCGCTTCGCCCGCGCGCGCTCCTCCGCCGCCGCTTTCGCCTCCGCCGCGGCGATCGCCTCGCTGTCCACCCTCGCGAACGTTCCCTCCTCCGGGATGTCCCACGAGTCGTCCGAGTCGGACATGACCTCTCGGCCGCGGCGCGGGAGGCGCGCGAGGCTGTGCGCGAGGCGAGCGACGCTTTCGCGCCTGATGCGTCAGTGCGACATTATTTTTCGCGTTCACCGACGCTGACTTCAAATGCGCTCTGATGGCGCGAAAGAGGCGCGCACTCTGGTCGAGCGCGGGAGGCGACGACCATGGCAGGGGACCCCCCGCCCGTGAGTCTGATCGACCCCGGGTACTGCTCCCCGTCCGCGACGCCGCCGTTCAAGACCCCGGGCGGGAACGGCGAGGTGGAGCTGGAGCCCGACGTCGAGAGGGAATTCGATCGCGCCAGCGACGACGACGAGGACGAAGCACCGCGCGCGACGACGACCGCGATCGTGCGCGACGTCCCGATCGCCGCGGTCGTGGACCAGAACGTGATGCGCACGCCGACCACCAGGCGCGTCCACGTCTTGAAATATCGCGCACCTCGGGCGTTGACGGCGACGCGCGGCCGCCCCTCGCGCTCCTCCCTCCCGTCCCCGCGCGCGCCGATCCTGTTCATCCGCTCGTCGTTTCGACTAACAATCGCGCTCGTCGTCCCAATCGTCGCGTCGTCGCAGAAGCTCGGACGTGATGGTCGCGTCGCCGTCGCCGTCCCGCCCGTCGCACCCCCGCGCGCGCGCTTCCGCGCCCGACGCCGCGCGTTTTGGGGCGTCGTCGAGTTCGCCGTCGGCCGGCGTCGCCGCGGGCGGCGGGTACGGCGAGGCGCACGCCAGAAGGGTGCTCGCGGATCGAGACGGATACGCGACGCGGCACGACGCGAAGACGACGCTCCGCGCGTCCGTCGCCTCCGCCGCGGCTCGGTTCTCCTCCGCGACGGCGAGTTCGAGCGCGCGACGCGGCGCGGGGGCGAGGGACCCGAAGACGCCGGACTTTGAGAAGAGGAGCCCGGGGTGGCCGACGGGGCACCGGCGAGAGGCGTCGACGGCGACCGCGCGCGAGTCGCGGCGGTGGCGTCGAGGATTGCATCACGCGGCGGCGTCGACGGGGTCGAGGAACAGCACCCCGGGCGGCGCGGCGGCGGGGACCCCGGGTGGAGGGTTCCCGACGTCGTTCACGCCGTCCGTGTACGGCGCCGCGATGGCGCCGCGGGGATGGACTCCCGGGAGCGCGGCGGGCGGCGGCGGCCCGAGACACTTGGAACTGCTCAAGGGCGTCAAAGGCCCCGCGGACGGAGACTTTTTCGCGACGATGGAGGAGGAACTTCGCGAGGAACACGCGCTCGAGCTCGCGGCGTTGCACGAGGCGTTCAACAAAGAGAAGGCTGAGCTCGTGGCGATCGCGGAGCGGGCCAAGACGGGCGCGCACGCGCAGCGGATGTCGCACGAAGACGAAGTGAAGCGGCTGACGGAGGAAACCGCGGCGGCGAAGGCCGCGGCGGCGAACGCGACGCACGACGCGAACGCGCGGTTCGAGATGGCGAGGACGGCGCTGATGCAAGAGCGCGACGCGCACGGCGCCGCCGCGGAGGAGGCGAAAGCGAAAGCGGCGAGGGAGGTTGAAATCGCGAAGGAGGCGTGGGACAGAGAGCGCGAACGTCTGAAGGAGGCTGTGGAACGCGCGCGCGCCGGGCCGGTCGCGGACGCCGCCGTCGCCGCGCGAGCGGAGGCGGAGCGATACGCGGACGTCCTCCTGGACTGGGAGAAGGACCGCGAGGAGTGGCGCCGCGCGCAGGAAGAGACGAAGCGCGTTCACGACGCGGAGAAGGAGGACCTGAAAAAACTTCGGGACCAGGAAGTCGCCGCGCTCCGAGCGGAGGCGGACGCACGATCGAAAGCGTGGATCGACGAGCGCTCGAAGCTCGTCGCGGAGAACAACGATCGCGTCGAGGCCATCGTCGCGAGGCACGACCTCGAGATGAACGCGCTGAGGAAGGAGAAGCACGACGTCCTCGAGGACCAAAAAGCGCAGTTTGACAACATCCTGAAACAGCACGAATCAGACAGCGCGGCGTGGAGCGAAGAACGCGTCGAGCTCATAAGCGAGCACGGGAAACACCTCGAGTCCGTCACCGCGCGGCACGAGGAGGACAAGTCGCGATGGAGCAACGAGCGCGTCGAGCTCCTCGCGGAGATTGGGAACAAGCTCGAGGTTTTGAACCAACGACACGTCGCGGAGAAGGCGCTGTGGGAAAAAGAGCGGAGAGACATCCTCGCCGTGCACGAGACGCACATCGAGCGCGCGAACGAGACGCACGAGGCCGCGGCGGTCGCGTGGAGGAAAGAGCGCGCGGAGCTTCTCGCCGAGAGCGCGACGCGGGAGGACGTCATCGCGGCGAAGCACGAGGAACGCGCGGGAGGGTGGACTACAGAACGCGCACGGATCATCGCCGAGCACGACGCGCGCGTCGACGCGATGACGCTCGCGCACGAGAAGGCCACCCGCGCGCACGACGAACGCCACCGCGCGGAACTCGCCGCCGTGGAGGACCGCTGCCGGCGTAGGAACGATCTCATGAAAGAAGAGCACGCGCGGTCCGCGACGCTCGCGAAGACGGCCTCGGACGCCGCCGTCGCGAAGGCGCGGTTGGAGGCGTCCGTCGCCGCGAACGACGCGGCTTCGAAACGCGACGCGATGTACGCGGAGTGGGCGCTCGAGCGCGAGCGGATCGACGCGGAAGCTGAGGCAACGCGCGTCGTCTTCGCGACCGAGCTCGCGGCGGCGAAGGACGAGCGCGACGCCGCGGACGCGGCCGCGGTCGAGGAAGGGATGCGAAGAGAAAAAGCCGAGGCGGAGCGATCCGTCGCCGAGTCCGCGGCGACGGCGTCTCGAACCGCGCGAGAGGAAGCGGAGCGGAACGCGAAGACCTGGAGCGACGAAGCGGCTCGCGCGCGCCATGCGGCGGAGACGGCGAGGATCGACGCGGAGGCGGCCATCAGAGTCGCGCGCGAGGAGATGGAGCTCGAGCTCGCGCAGTTACGCGAGGCGCACGAGGTCAGGGTCGCCGCCGCCGCCGAGGACCTCCAACGCGAACGCGAACGCGACGCGGAGGCGAACGCTCACGCGCAGCGCGCCACGGAAGAAGGCGTCGCCGCGGCGTTGGAAGAAGCCGCGACGACGGTCAGATTCGCGCGCGAGGACGCGGCGTCGAAGATTGCGGAAAAGGAGCGCGCGTTCAAGACGACGCTCTTGCTGCGAGCGTGGAGGACCCACGCCGCGTTTGAAGCCGGGCCCCGACGCGCGTCGCTCGGGCGCGACTGCCTGCGCGCGTGGGCGGCGGCGTCCCCGTCCCCGCTCGACGTGCCCCGCGCGGATAAGTGCTATCGATCGAGGCTGCGCATGCGAAGCCTGCACGCGTGGATCCGAGTGTGCGTCGTCAAGGCGGCGGCGAGAGAGCGCGCGGACGCGTTCACCGCGCGGCGGGACGTTTTGCGGTATTTGAACGCGAAAAAGAAGGCGCTCAGGGTTTGGCGCGCGGTGACGCGGTACGAGAGCGGCGTTCGCACCGCGCAGGCGAGGGTGCGTTCGAAAAACCGTCTCGCGCGTCTGAAAGAGTTCCTGCGAGCGTGGAACGCGCACTTGAAGGTGACGCAGCAGAACGAGGCAAACTGCGACCGGTTTTGCGACCGCAGAACGTCGTACTTGTGCCAACGGATTCTGAAGTCGTGGCGGTTCGAAGTGTGCGGGAGACGGATCGAGAACGGCCAGCTCGAGTTGATAAGGAAGCGGTACCGCGCGTTCATTCAAAAGAGGATCATGAGGCAGTGGTCCGTCGTCGCGAGGGAATCCATCGTGGAGAGCCACATCATGAAGTCGTACTGGAAGCGGCGACGACGCGGGCAGCTCAAGTTTTATCTCGACCGGTGGCGGACGCGTAAGCAGCAGCATCGGAGGATGACGCGTTTCGAGACGAGAGCGAGGAAATTCGTCGTCACGCGATATCGATCCGCCGCGTTTCACGAGTGGCGGCTCGTCGCGCGGACCGGGACGCGTCACTACGTCGCGGTCGAGCGGTTCAAACAGCGCGTGGCGTGGCGATACAAAAAGACGACGATTCGTTTGGCGTTCCACGCGTGGCACACCCTCCTCGCGAGCGACGCCGCGGTCGGTCGACAGCTTCACGATCTGTACTACCGACGGGCGTCGCGACGGATGCGTCAGTCGTCGTTTTTCGCGTGGCGCCGCGCGGCGAGACAGACGAACGCGGCGATGGACACGATGCGCCGGCTGTACGACTCGAATTTGACGACGAAGCGGGTGCTGAGGCCGTGGCGGGAGCGCGCGAAGGCGCTCGCGACCGCGCGACGGGCCGCGATCAGCCTCCTTCACAAACGTCAGCGCCCGGTTTTATTCCGCTGTCTCTACGCGCTGCGCAACTACGCGTCCTCGTGGAGGATAAAACGCGCCGCCGTGGAGGGCATGCGCGTGCGATCCGCGATGAGAAGAGAAGTCACGCTCGTGTCAAAGTCGTTCGTCTCTTGGTGCACGGTGTTGGAAGAAAGCAAGAACCACCTGCGGCATTACCTCGCGTTCCGACGCAAGTCCATAATGGCGCTCGTCTTCAAGAAGTGGTTCCAGCGCATGATGGGCGAGAAACTCGGCGTGTCTTTAGCCGGTCGCCTGCGCGTCGAGCTCGAGGCGTCGCAAGAGCGTAATCTCCGTCGCTTCGCGATTCGCGCGATGCAGTCGTGGGCGGAAGCCGCCGCGAAGGAGGTGACGTACCGCAAGAAAGTTCGCTCGTTCCGCGACTGGCGGTACAAACGACGCGTCGTGCAAGCGTGGTTCGCGCGCGTCGTCGCCGCGTCTAATTTCCACGCGGTCGTTCACAACATCGGGACGGATTACAAGCTCACGCAGCACGTCCACTTGATCACCGCGGTGTTTTGCGCCTGGCGCGTGCTCCAGAAGACGTGCGCGGACGCCGCGCTCGTGGGCGCGCGGAGGTTCCACGAGCGCCGGGAAAGGTCCGTGCTCGTGCTCACGATGGAGCGGTTCAGAAAGAACGCGGAGATGGGCCGGGCCGAGGGCGCGATCGCGTTCGCGCACTTCCGCCTGGTTTTCCTCGCGTGGAGACGACTCGTCGCGTCGTCCAAGGACAAGGCGCGCAAAGAAGCAAACGCGGACGCGCACAAGGCGAAGAAGCTCCGCTTCCGTTTGCGAATGGCTTTGAAAGTGTGGCGCGTCATTAAAATTGGCGCCGCGTCGCGCTGGGAGCACGCGCGCGCGGAGGAAGCGAGGGTGGAGGAGGAAGTCGCGAGGAAAAATCGCGAGCTGGAGGAGGAGGTCGCGAGGAAAGAACGCGTCGCGGAGACGAACGCGCGTCGTCTCGCGTCGCGCGCGCGCGCGAAGGCTTTTTTCGCGTGGCATCGCGTCGGCGTCGTCCTCGAGCGGAAAATCGCGTCGTTCAAAGACCGCGCGCTCATGCGAGCGGTCGTGCGCGACTTCCGCGCGTGGCACCTCGCGGTGACGCTCCTCCCTAAGCTAGAGAAGGAAGAAGCGAAGAAGCGCGCGCTGAAGGATGCGTCCGAGGGACGCGCGACGAAGTGTCTCCTGCGCATGACGCGCCGAAGAAACGCGATGGCGTTGCAGAGCTGGAGAGACTTCTCGACGCACCGCGCGCGGCATCGCTTAGTCGCGAATAGGATGGTGCTCCGACACCTCACCGCGCTCGCGGCGAGGGCGGTCAGGGAGTGGCGGCTGTTCGCGTCGAACGCAGCGCGAACGCGAGACGCGGCGATCGAGCACGCGTTGTCGTCGCAGCTGCGTCGGTTGCGAATGAATCTGATCATCGCGATGTCCACGTGGAGGTTTTTCGTCCGCGAACGGAAGAACGACGAGCGCATCGCGGACGTCGTGATTCGAATCCACCACCGAAGCGAGCGCGGGAAGGCGTTCAAGGCGTGGAGGGTCGAGACGAGTCGGCTGCAGTCCGTTCGCGTCACCGCGGTGAAGGCGCTTTTCTTCCATCACAGGCACGTCCTCCTCCGACACACGGTGGACGCCTGGACGGAATACGTCGCGCGCGTCCGCGCGGATAAAAACGCGATCGCGGAAAGAGATCGACTCAGCGTAGAGGCGACGAAGGAGGAGGAGTTGGCGGCCGTCGCGGCCGCCGCCGCCGCCGCCGAGCGCATCGCCGCCGAGGCGGAGGCTGATCGCCTCGCCGCGGAGGAACGCGCGCGCGCGACGAAAGCCGCGGAAGCCCGGGTCGACGGTTGGCGCGCCCGACGCGCGTTCTATCGCCTTCGCGAAGTCGTTCGCGCGTGGCGCGCGACGACCGCGCTGGCGCTGTCGAGGCGCCGGAGGCACGCGCGCTCGAGAGTTTCCCGCGCGTTCCACGCGTGGCGCCGCGCCGTGACGGTCACGCCGTTGGACGCGAAGCGATACGAACGCCGGCACGCGGTCGCGGTCCGACACCGCGATCGCGCGGTGATGCGACAAGTCGTGGCCGCGTTGCGCCGACGCGCGAGACTCGGCGCCGCGCTCGTCGCCGTCGCGGACGAGTCCTTCTCCGTGCTGAAAGCCGTCCTCCTCGGGAGAACGTTTGGCGCGTGGGCCGCCTCCGCGGCGCTCCTGCGCGAGAAACGCGAGGCGTTCAACCGCGAGGTCGCGGAGGCGTGCGCGAGCGCGGTCTCGGAAGCCGCGGAAGCGAGAGCGGAGGCGACGCGCGTTGTTCGCGAGGCGGAGCGCGCGGTCGTCGAAGCCGAAGCCGCCGCCGCCGCGGCGACTGCGACGAACTTTTTAGCGACGGACCGAGCCACGAGCCCGATGGTCGCGCCGCCGCCGACGCCGCCGCCGCCGCCGAGCTCGAACGCGCGCGAGCTCGAGACAGAGCTCGCGCAGGCCAAGGCGGAAGTGCGCAGGTACAGGGACGAGCTCGCGGAAGCGAAGATCGACGCGGCGAGGATCAAAGCGGACGCGGACGCGACGATGCTCGCGGCTTCTCGTCGGGCGTCCCCGACGCGGAGCCCGAGCCCCGCGGCGTCGCCGTCGTCGTCGTCCCCGCGGCCGTCCCCGCGGAGCGGCGGGATCTTCTCGCTCGCGTACGGGGACGAGTTCGACGCGGAGTACGGCGCGTTCGATCGCGAGCCTCCGCGCGAGCCCGTGCTCGCGCTCACGCCGCCGGAGGAGACGACGGACACGCCGCAACGCGCGGAGGAGAATTACCAGTCCTCGTTTCAGCAGTGGCGGGAGAGAGAGACCGAGCTTCTCGACAGGATCGCCGTCGCGGAAGCCGCAGCCGCGGCCGCGGAGGTCAAGACCGCGGAGATCGTCGCGGAGAAGCGCGCGTTCGCGTCCACGGCGCCCGTGGACGCGAAGGTGTTCGATCCGGACTCGACGCCGCCGCCGTCCCCCGCGGCGCCGACGGATCTGTTCGAACTCCAACGCGAAGGCTACGAAGCCGACCTCGCGCAGAACAAAGCGATGGTCGAAGACGCCGTGCGATCCGCGGAGATTTCCAAGGAAGCGCTCGCGGCCGTCGAGGCCGAGGCCGCGGCGGACCGCGCGTCGTACGCGCGGCGGTTCGAGGAGCTCGCGAAGCGCGCGGAGGACGCGGAGGCGGCGGCGACGACGGCGCGTCGCGAGGCGGCCGCCGCGGCGGAGCTCCTCGAGGTGGAACGCGCCGCCGCCGCCGCGGCGAAAGCGGCCGCGAAGCAGTGCGCCGTGGACGTCGACTCCCTCTCCGACGCGCTCATCGCGAGCGAGGAGGAGATTAAGCGCGTCGGCGCGGAATTGGCCGCCGCGACGCGCGCGTCTGGCGCCGCGTACGAAGCCACGGACGCCGCGGAGGAGGCGACGCGCGAGCTCGCGCGGACGACCGAGTACGTCGCGGATCTCGAATCGCGCCTCGCCGTGGTCACGAAACGCAAGGACGCGCTCGAGGAAGAGATGGTGGACGTTCGCGCGGACTTGAGAGAGAAGACCGCGGCGTTGGAGGACGCGTCGGGTGCCGCGAGAGACGCGGCGACGCGCGTCGCCGCCGCGGAAGCCGCGGAGACGACGGCATCCGCGGAGCTCGTCAAAGCGCACGAATCCGCGTCCACGCTCGCGGCGACGCTCGCGTCGAAGGAGAAAGAGTTCGAGGTGAAACTCGACGAAGTCAGAGCGGACGCGCGCGCGGAAGAGCGCGCGCTCAGGGAAGAGCGCGACCGGCTCGACGTCGCGCTGACGGCAACGAACGATAAGCTCGAAACCGCGGAGGCGCGGTGCGTCGATCTCGCAGCGCAGGTTAACGTCTGGGTGAAACGCGGGATGAAACTCGTGAACATCAAGGAAGGCGACGCCGGGGAGGAGAACGAGAACGTCGTGAACGCGATCGGGACCCCGGGGTGGTACGCGTTCATGGGTTCCGGCGTCGAGGCGGCGACGAGGATGGCAGACGCCGCCGTTGCGGCGGCGTCGCCCTCGCCCGGCGGCGCCGCCGCCGCGCCCGCGTCCGCGCCCGCGCCGAGACGAGTGAGCTTCACGCCGACGCCGACGCCGAAACGCCGCCCGTCGGAGTCGACGCCGCGACCGACGCCGCAGGTCTCGATCCCGATCACGACCACCCCCGATCCGAGCCCGACGGTGGCGACCGCGAAGGTTGTGTCCGCGATGAAGAGCGCCGCGAGCGACGGCGCCGTCGAGCGCGTGACGGCGGCGTTGAAAGAGAGCGCCGACCGCGCGGCGGAGGCGGAGAAGCAGCTCGCGGAGGTTGTGCTCTCCGGGGAACAGTCGGACGCGAAGTACGAGAAGCGAATCGCGAGTCTGAAGCGTAAGGTTGTCGACCTGACGAACGAAGTCAACGACTTAAACGCGGAGTTGCACGCGTCGAAGGAGAAGGTTTCGCTCGCGGAGAAGCGCGAGAAGTCGTCGCGAACGAAGCTCGCGGCGACGGAGAAGAAACTGTCCGAATCGACGCAAGCCGCGATCGATAAGGCCGCGGCAGAGAAGACCGCGGCCGCGAAGGCAGCGACGAGGGCGTGGCAGTCCACCGCGAAGTCGTCCGCGGACGCGAAGCACGCGGGCGGGAAGCTCGACTCCGCGGTGGAGACGATTGCGCTTCTGTCCGGGGAAATCGAATCCGCGCGCGGGAGAGAAGCCGAGCTCGCCGCACGGTGCGCCGCCGTCGAAGCCGACTTACGCGTCGCGCGCGGGGAGCTGAAGTCTTCCGGCGTCGCCGCGCTCGAGAAGAGGCTCGCGGCGTGCGCGGAGCAGATCACGTCGCTTCAGGCGCTCGTGGACGCGGTCCCCGAGAGAATCGCGGACGCGGTCGCCGCGGAGACGACGGCGTTGCGAACGCGCGCGAACGACGCGGAAACGACGGCGAACGAGAGCATCCGATTGCTCGACATCGCGCGCGCGGAGACGGTCGCGATCGCGGCGACGCGCGGCAGCGCGCTTCGCGGCGGCGACCTCGACGACGTGCTGACCTCCGCGAAGGCGTTGCTGCGCGAGATGCGCGAGCGGCGCGACCCGAGCGGCGAGATTGAATCCTTACGCGCGACGATCCAAGAGAAGGAAGCCGCCGCGAAGGCGTTGACGGCCGAGCGCGACGACGCGCTCGCCGCCGCGGAGAAGGCGTCGCGGAAGAAGGCTCCGTCGGTTCCGATCGACCCCGCGGACGTGCCGGCCGCGCTCGCGGCCGCGCTCGAGCGCGAGGAGGGTCTGATGAAGCAAATCACCGCGTTGCGCGCGGAGCTCGACGACGCCGCGCGAAGCGAGGATTCGTTCGAGGAGGCGGCGGAGATTTCGCGCGTGGACAACGCGAACAAGGCGCGCGCGGAGAAGGCGGAGGCGGAGCTTCGCCAGGCGAAGGCTGCGCTCGCGACGCTCGCGGACGAGCGCGCCGGCATGGGCCTCCTCGGGAACGGCGGCGTCGCGGCGTCGCCGGGACGACGCGGCGGCGGCGGCGGCGGCGAGGGCGACGAGAGCGAACTCGCGCGGCGCCTAGACGCGGCGCTGAAGGAACGCGACGCCGCGCGCGCGCTCCTCGCGGAGTCGCAAAAGCGCGAGGAATCGCTGCGGGTGACCCTGCGCGATATCAAGCGCGACATGATGATCGCCGCGGCGGAGACCGCGGCCGCGAGCGCGCGCTTGACGCCGTTGAAGGCGGGCGGCGGCGACGAAAACGAAAACGAAAACGAAAACGACGCGTTCGCGAGTCCAACCCTGAGCGAAGGTCGACGCGCGAGACGAATGTCGAGGGAGGAGAAAGCGAGCGGGCTACGACGCGGCGCGGCGCTCGGGAAGTGGCGGGAAGTTTCCGGAGCAGGGACGGAACCGGGGCCGACGGTGATCGGCAGCCGAGGGTCGAGCGCTCGGCGACCGAGGGCGGAGCGCGAACGCGGGCTCGCGCGAGCGACGGCGCAGCTCGAGGACATGCTCGAGGACATGCTCACGAACCGACGATGAATTTACTTAGCAATTTAGTGTGTTACACGTCTCATTTTAGATCATACAAATACAGGTGCGCGAGCTCAAAAAATCAAAACATGTCGACGCCGCCGCCGTTGTGCAAGAAGTAGTAGGCGTCGATGGCGTCGCGGAACGCGGCGAGGCCGAACCCGAGGGCGAAGATCCCCGCGAACGACAGCGCGGTCCTCCCTAACCGCGCCGTCCTGGGCGTTACCCCCGCGGCGACGGCGGCTTCCATCCCTCGGACGACGCCCATGACCGCGCCCGCGCGCTCGCTCGCGCTCGTGCTCGCGAGTAACCTGAGCGCGACGTCTGGCTTGCCGTACAGCATCGCGTCGGCGACGGCGAAGTCGTTCATCGCCGTCACCTTCTTCCGCAAGTTTGTCTCGCTCCACGCCTCGCCGAGACCGATCGCGTCGCTGTAGTACGAGTCCGCCGCCATCACGCGCTCGAGCGCGGTCGCTAACGCCGCGGACGACGCGGTCGCGGTCCCGAACTCGGCCTCGTCTGACACCGAGACGGGCTCCTCCTTGAGGGTCGCTCCGACGACGTTATTCTTAGCCTCGCCCGCGCCCTCCGCCGCGGCGGGGAGGACGTCTCCGGCTCCGTCTCCGTCGTCCTCGATCGGCACCGCGTCGACGACCATGTACGGGTTCACCTGTCGCACGCGCAGCACCTTAAACCTCGACATGCCCTTGGCGTAGATGCTCAAAACCTGCCCGTTCACGACGACGTCGTGCGCGCTGACGACCATCGCGGTGCCGACGCTCGCGAGTTTGCCATCCGGGCGTCGGTACAACGCGCCGTACGTCCCGCGCGCCGCGAAGTCTGTCTCCGGCATGCGGCCGTACCCGGGGATGATCTCGTACAGGTCGTCGTCCTTGGCTTCGTACGACTTGCACGACTCGTTCCGGCTCAGATCGATTCGCGCGTCTCCGCGCCAGCTCTCGAGGACCAACCCGGTTTCGTCTTTCCCGTGGATGAGCTTCGAGAAGAGCGTCAACCACCGAGGCTCGAACAGGTTCAAGCGCACTCTCGACCCGGGGACGCACGCCATCGGGTACGGGATGACCGGGATGGAGAACTCCCCGGGGAGCCGCTCGGACGGCATCGGCGGCTCGAGATACCGCGGCTTCCCGTCGTCTTCGTCCTCCGTCTCCGCGTCGGCGTCGGCGCCCTTCGGGAGCGCGCCCTCGATCCACGTCGTCTCCGGGAGGGACGAGATCTCCACGACCGCGGGATCCTTCTCCGCCGAGTTCGTGAGCAGCGCGCGCCCGGGCGCGGGGAAGATCGGGATGTCGAGGAAGATCATCTGGAGCTGCTGGAGACGAAGCGCCTCCGCGGCTTCGCTTTTGAACGCCTTGGCGCGGACGGCGCGCTCGGCTTTCGCGCGCTCCGCCGCGGCCTGGACCTCCGCGCGCGCGCGGTCCGCCTCTTCCTCTCTCCTCATCTCCTCCTCCTCATCGCTGTTTCCGAGCAGCGCATTCAGGGCGTTGATCGTGTCCACGGACGACGACGGGGACGTCGACTCGAGCGACGATCTCGCGTCGGAGGGCGACTCCGACGGTTCGGAGGACGCGTCCTTCTTCCCGAAGAACGACGGCAGCTTCCACGCGCGGCATCGAACGGACGACCGCGCGGCGCGACCGGGGTACGACGCGATCCGCGCGGGCGTCGACGCCGCGCGCTGGGCGCGCGCGCCGCGCGCGCGCGACGCGCTCGGGCGCAGCGCGGTTCCGCGCGTCGGCGCCGTCGTCGTCATCGTCCGCGCGGAAATATCTGGCCGAGATCCGGGCGTCCGCTCGACGCGACGGCGGGGCGAGCTGCGAGGATACGCGCGTGCGGACGCGTCTGCGCGCCGACGACCGATGCGCGCTCGACCTCCTGAGACCGAACCGGATGCGGCGACGACGATTCGGTCGTGCCCGCGGCCGCGTCGGCGCGTCTGGCTCTGACGCGGTCGCGGCCGATGACGCCGTTGCGTTGATGACAACGTGGAACGCGAGCGACGTGGCGCGACATCCGTTCGAATTTTTTCGCGGGAAGATGAAAGATTCGGTCGGCTCCAACGTAACAAACGCGCGCCCGCGAGCTTCTAGTCCCGCCGCTCCCCGCCGCGCCGCCGTCCCTCCTCCTCGCCGTCCAGGAGGACGTCGTACCCCTCCTGCCGCCTCCCGCGCCGCCGCGGCGCGCTCGCGACCGCCGCGACCCACCGCCACGCGCTCTCGAGCACCCCTCTCGGCCGCGACGGCGCGCCGTCCGAGCCGTTTTCGTCCGAATCGAAATCCGCGGTGACGCGACTCGCGGCGTCGTCGTCGTTCCCCCCTGACCCTGACCCTGACCCCGACGCGGCGCTCGGCGACGGCGCCATGAGCTTCGCGATGAAGTGCGTCCCCGCGTGAGGGATCTCTTCCATGACGATCTTTACCATGCACATCATCGGCACCGCGAGCACGGCGCCGACGCCGTTCCACACCGAGAACCAAAAGATGATGCTCAACAGGATGACGACCTCGTTCAGGTCTAAACCTTTTCGGTACATCATCGGGCCGACGATGTCTCCGACGAGGAACGAGCCGAACGCGGGGATGAAAAGCGCGCACCATCTCTGCGCTTCGGTCATGTCCGGCAGAAGCAACACCAACGGCACGGGAATCAACGCCGCGACGAAGGACCCCAGGTTCGGTATGAAATACAGCCAGAACGACACGATCGCGATGGACCCGGCGAGCGCGCTCGGCACGCCGCACGCGAGTATGAGCAGCCCGACTAACACCGCGCGCGCGGCGGCGAGGATGACCATGATGACGATGAACCGCTGCGCGGACGCGTGTATGCGTCTCGCGACTCTGCTGCGGCTGCGAATCGGCGTCCGCGGCGGCGCGACAAGAAACAAGACGTACACCAGGCATATCGCGGCGTCGCCGAGGTACAGGAACAGCCCGCTGCCGAATGACGTCCAGAACGTCTCGTCCTTCACGAGGTTCTCTGCCGACTGCTGCAGCGCGTGCCACGCGTCCAGCGCGAAGTCGTCCCTTCGCAACACTTTCGACGCGACGCCGTCCGCGAACGCCGCGAGGTCGTTCACGCGAGCCGAGAACCGCGCGTTCCAAGACTCGTCCCTCCAGTGATACTGGATCCACTGCTCGCTGACGTAGAGCGCCCAAATGAACGACGCGACGACGAGGACGACGAGGCACATGGACAGGACTAAGCCGACGAAGCGGGGGAGGACGAAGACCCGGGGATGCCACGGCGTTCGGACGTCCCACTCGCGAAGCTTCGCAGCCTGGTACGCGCGGTCGGACGTGAAGTCCACGACCGGGCGTAAGATGAGCGACAGCGCGACGGCGAACACGAGCGGTTTCAGCAGGAACGCGAGGTGCTCGAGCCACCAGCACAGCGCGGCGAACGCGATGATGCTCACCGCGAGGAGGAGCAAGAGGCCGTCGCGGTCGCGCGAGCTCTCGTCCGCGGTGGACGTCGCTCGCGGCTCCGGGGGGGTCGGTTCAGCGGCCGCGGTGTCGTTCGCCGGTGGTGGGGGGGAGAA